ATTTACGTTAAAACTGTGTTTATTTACTTGGAATTTAATGGACTGTAAAATGATTATTATTCATTTGTAACAATTATATTATTATTGGTTGCCTAGCATAAACACCTGTTGCAAATTAATTTTCATTAGAAATGATAATTTCGAATCCAATTTCATCAAAAGTGAAAATCATAATTTTTTTAATACTTATCTTAGATTTATTTATTTATTTGCTTAAAAAATACATAGCACTTACTTTTTCAAAACATAACTGCTACTACCAAATTGTAATAAAGTCTTTACTTAATTAAAATTGATTTTTGCCATTAGCATAAACTCACGCAACTAACATTACAATAACTTATAACCTCGATTTTTTTATCTTTAAACATTGTGCTTGGCAAAGACACCTGTTCTTTGATAACAGAAAATTTTTGCTCATTTTTCTTCATCGATTTTAGATTTACACTTTTTTCAGTATATTCTGTCGGAGGCGCCGCGACGCTTATAACAGCTGCAAGCCATCCGCCCATTTAAACTTGAAACTTTACTACAACTAAGATAAACTTTAGTTTCCAGTTGTGATAAGTTGGGAATGTTCATAATGGATTGAGTGAAGTTTTGATCGAGCTACGAAAATTCGGACAAAGTTCTTCAATATTTTATGATTCTTAAAGTACCTATCTGGTTTCAGGTTTTTGGGTCTATGTGTAATGAAGGTTTCTTTTTTTATAGACTGATGGAAAAAATTATCATTTTTAAATACATATCTCTAATAACAATAGGGAACAAAGTAAATGCACAGTATACAGGGTGATTCACGAGGAATAATGAGCTTGACCAAATTCTTGATGCAACCACCACTACACTTTCGCAAGTTGCTTTGCGACACTTTAAAAAAATATAATTTGAATAAACAATACCTACTATTATCATTAATCATCGTCATTGTCATTTTTGACAAACGTTACAAATTTATTATAAACTGTGCAAAATGTGGACTTATACCAATGATGATAAGACTGACATATGATTTTAGTTTATGGAGAATGTTTGAAAAATGCATCTCTTGCTTCTTGTGTGATGCCCAATGATATGCCGGAAAAAAGAGCATCTTTTGACACGATCAAGTTAGTCTTGAGAAAATTGGGTTCCTGTTAAGTTATCAAGGCGAAGGGTACCACTGGATGAAACTTGAATGAGTGCCTTCCGTAATTCGTATTTTAATGTACCCATTATGTGTTGGTATTTTGGTTACTTCTGTTTTTCATTAATTTAATGTCAAGACTGACAAATTGTAAGTGTGCTCGCTATGATTTCATATTTATTTCGAAAAATCTTTGAAATCTGATCTATGAAAATGTAATGTTGGTTGCATCGAGAATTTGGTCAGGCTCATTATTCCTCGTGAATCACCCTGTATTATTTAAACGACAAGTATTTTTGACCAGTAAAAATAATCATTGCACAGTAAAGAGAATGAGTGAATGTCTGGCAAAACTAATTAATTTAATAATCACACATTTACAAACAAAATGTTTCCGAGTAAAATAGGAATATCGCATAGCGATCAAAAACAAAATCGTGTTATCAGAAGCACAGCATTGCAAAGAGTGGCGTACGCTGATTAGACTGATTACCATTTGTGCCCAGTTTCCAGCCCTTGCAAAAATAATTCTTGCACAGGGGCCCTTGCTAATACATATACCACTCTCCAATAATAAAATAAATATTCAGTAATATAAAAATAAGTATCAATAATAAATAACATTCTTGCGCAGGGGGGCATACATTGTTATGTAACCAAGACTGAAAATTCTTTAAAATTAATGTTTTACTAATTTTGATTAAAGTTACTGAGCGTTTATTATTTACTGTGCAAATTTGATTTTTTTACTGAACAAATTACAATAAAATACTGTGCGTGCTTTATTTAGCATTTGTTATTTTTACTGTGCAAAATATTCTATTGTACTCATCACTTTTAATTTTTTACTGTGAAAAAATGAATAAAATATTGATTATTATAATTACCATAATAACAATTATTAAACAATTAGGCAACAGTAACAACAGATTGTTTATAATTAATGTTTCTTGAAAATTGTTGCAATCGCAACAGTGTCACGCAGTAAAAAATATTATTCCATGTCAACAATAGTGTCTGAGATAAATTGACCTCTTATAAGAGCTGTTTTATGGTTTTACTTACACGGTTTTCAAGTCCTGCTTTATAAATAATGTGTGTAACATCTAATTTAGGACAGCATTAAAATTCAAACAATGTATCTGAGAAACTCTCCTGAAAACACAAAATAGTACCGAAAAGGTGTGTATCAGAATCGAGTTTTTTTCTCGTGGAAGGTCACTATTGTCTCAACTAAATCGATAATACTAAGTGGTTCATTGCTCAGATTTCCAAAATAGTGTGGGAGAACACTCACGAGATCTAAATTCGATTATCCGGAACTAGAAAAGGACTCCGGAAGGTCACTAGAGACAATAAACTTTCCGGCAAGGCATAAAAGTCACATAAATATACGGAGAAAGTTTGTTATATACCCAGTGAATTAAAAAAATATTTTTATGGCAAGGTTAAGTGAGTCAAGTATTTTTGGCCGTGAACTGCCCAAACGACCTGCTCCAAGAGAACAATTGGGCCACTTAACAAAACAACCTTCAAAAATATTGTGACATGCCTTTATGAGCGTCTAATTGTGTTTTTTTACCAGAAAAATGCTCATCTAGCAAATAATAGAAATTCTCAAGACACGAAACAAATTGTTGTAAGGCTGGAACAATACAAGTCATTTAATTGTGCAGAAAGGTGCGACCCAATTTTCCAATTATTCTAAACAATCTCAAGAATCGTTTCTTTTATATTTAAATCGGATGCAAGGAAAAAATTGCATAAGCTTGCAACCTGTTCGAGAAAAAGACCAGGTTTTCGGCGTGTAGTAACAGGTGGATTTGTGCTTATTATGGGCACATGAATGAATTACTTGTAGGTACCCTTTAAACCATGCACCACTTTCACTCCATTGGAAACTTTCACTATGTGTGTATGAGACAAAAGTCGACGTTTGCAAAAATGTGCAGAGATTGGGATGAATGAGATGTGTGGGTTGCGTTCGAGAAAAAACACATGTCAAATACATTTTTTTTTATTTCAGTGCCTAGAACATTAAAATGATAGAAAATGTGCAAATAAGAAAATTTCTATTTCGTTTATGACTTTATCTCAAAAGATTTTCTATTTTTTTTTGGAAGAACTTGTAGAAACAAATGCAATTTAAAATTATATAAATTAACATAGCTGTCACCAAAACTAAAAGAAATACTTTCTTCTTAGTTACACAAAGGGAATTACTGGAGTCAATCAAAGTAATATTATTTTTCTGTGACCAACTTACAAGCTTTTCCAAAGTCCCGTGGTATAAGCAATCCATAGTAAGAACAAGAGATTTAATTCTTGAATCAGTTTTAAAAAGATCGTCTGATATGGTAATAGGGTTGAAACTTAAATCAATCTCCCAAAAACTGTGCCCCTGAAAGACGCGTGGAGAAATAAATTCGATAAGATTTTGTCTCACAAAGCCACATTTGAGAGTAATTGTTGCTAAAAATTTGGAAAAAACGTTTTTCCAATTTTACGATTTTATTTTGTTGGGCTTTCACGCTTTCCAGCAGTGGTAGTGCGAAGAAACTTTCCAGGTTTAACGTTTTTAAATTATTGTTGTTTAATTCCAGCTCAGTTAATTGGAATAAGTTTACAAATGATTTATCATCAAGTGTTTGAATTTTGTTATAAACAAGTTTTAAAGTAACTATTTCCAAATTTTTGAAGGTGTATTTTTTGATTCTTGTAACTCGAGTTTTTGAAATTACGAGGTTATAGACGTTTTCTGATTGTAAAAACTTTGTTTCAATCTCTTCAACGTTGGAGCCTGTAATTATTAACTTTGTGACAACTGAAGAAAGATTGAACATTTTATTGCACAGTTTTGTGTTTTCCTGCAAGTCTACTTGTAGGAAAGATGTTTCTTCTTCTATTTCGACAACAGTTGAGTTATTTTTTTCTAACATTGTGTTGCGTGGATCAGTATCGGCAAACTTATAATGTAGTGGCTTTTCTTGATTAGTCACATACCCGAAAATATAAAAATAGAGAGCAAACGTGTTAAAACATAAGAGCCGCATCGCTGCTACTAATGAAGTAAAAAGCTCAGTGTGTGGCAAAAATGTCGAAATGTGAATTTCATCATAATAATGATAATAAAACAGTAGTTATTAGAATAAAAATTGAATGACTAATAATTGCGGGAAGAATCAATATTTTATGGAGTTTTTTGATCCACTCTGAATATTTACGATATTAGAATGTAGAATGTAAAACGAATTATGAATAAATCCTCCAGGTCTAGCAGCGTCTTATGTAATTTCCACTTCAAAAAATGTAAATGAAACCAGACCTTCCAATCTTCAATTTGTCGACATTCCGTCGAAAAGCTATCTTCTAGTTAGAAAAATCGCCAAATACCTGTTCCAGCTACCAGTCATTCGGCTTGTCACAATCCAACCTCATATAAACTCAACCAAAGTTAATGAGTCCCCCTCGAGCCATCTAATAACATTTCGCTTTCCAACTGTTTCGATTTTACTATTTTCTGACCCAGAATTTGCCAAAACACGCACTTTGGGTGCCTAAAATGGCAAAGACCCCTGAAAGCGTTGTAGTAATTGGTTCCATTAGGAGGTAAACCACCAGATTTTGGGCAAACTTTTTCATTTTTCCGGCCCTGCGTTCGGCTTTTCGGAAACTAGGAAAAGAAAGGTACCCATAGTCCTTCGACCGGAGCGAGACAATCCGAGTTTCAAAGTGTGTCAAACAGAGACACCGATTCGTAACTTTCGAATTGGTGTGCTATATGTTTGTGGTGGAGAGAGACAGCTCAAGACTGTTCTGGGGGGCTGGAGAGAGACAAGTAGTGGTTGGTAGGGGCCTTATCGAGCGAAATTCATACACTCTTTGAATTCAGAGTGGCAGTTAAGCTGAAGACGTCGATTTCGAATTGTAGCGCGCATTGTGAAGAGTTACATGAGTGTCAGTGGAGTGCCTCGTTTATACAGTGACAGTGATTTTGAACTAGTGTGAAGTTTTTTTCAAGTGAAAAATGGTGAGTTTCGATACGGCGGATGTTCAAATCAATCATACACTAAATGAATAGTAATTATGAACTCCCGTTAGCGACTGTTATTACTGCGAAACAACCTAATATAAACACTCTGTATATGGAATAATTTCGTTGCTTTACCCAAGTTTTGGCTTATTGCATAATTATCTATTATACAATAAGCTTTTAACACTAGTAGTAATTATTTAATAAAATTGAAATTCTGGCCGTGTTACGGTGGTTTGGCACATAGCGTGATTTTTTTCTCCTAATTTATAATTTATACCTACTGTTCGGTTCGATTCGTAATTCAATTACGGGTTTGGGTTTAATTAATACAAATGATTTGTTTGTTGGCATGTTGAGAATTGAATTTCATCATTAAATAATTTGTTTGGACAAATTTCGTAATTTAGAAGGTTCAATAACATAGCTATTCTTGAAGAAAAGCTAATAAAATTGGACTTAAATTAAGTCTAGAGTATTTTACAATGTGAATTTACAAAAATTAAAACATTTTGAAAAATCAAAAAACTAAAAAGATGCTAGTTTTTTAGTTTTTTTACTCCGAACATTTCTTTATTATAAATTGAGGCGTAAAAACCTGTAGAAATAAAATGTATTGTGTTTAAAAAACTCGTATGCGTAAATATACCATATGACCCAAAATAAAAAAAAATAGAAGCTATGGAATGTAAAATGTTTAGAAAGTGTATGGTGTAGTTTAACGCTAGTTTAACTATAAGCTCTGCAAAAAATTGTTAATATTCTTCATTTTCCATATGATAATTATGACAAGAGGACCTTATTATGACGGACTTCTTCTCATTTCTCACTAGTGTTTATGAGGGAACCAACAAATAAGTTATTAGCTAAGGACTGGCTTATGGTATAGATATTGTATTTTTTAAATGCCGTTTGAAACACGGTTTATATTGATTTTATTAATTATGAAAATGAATTTTCAAAAACAAAGCTTGTAGACCTTGGCCATTTGTCGCTCTCACTAGACACTCGTATTGCTGCCTTTAATCGTGTTTTTCCACTTTCTGTTTTTTTGTGTTTGTTATATTGTTTTAAAATAATTTCAGTTGATGAAATTTCTTTTCCTCTTTATTCTCAACAAAAGTTTATCACCTTTTTGCTCAATTAGACCTAATTATCACATCCCATAAATAGATAAATTAAAAACCGATGTAGGTGACCTATAACTAAAACAATCCAATTAGCCACTAACATTAATATTTTAAAATTTACAATCACAATTTATTAAGGTCAACTGAAAGCAAACAGTTCCATCGCCGCTACAAATTTTCACCACAAACACAGCAAATGAGTCCATTATAAAAAATTAACACCAACAAGGAACATTTTTTATAATGATTTCCTGGTAGTTATGTCGAATCAAAGAAGGCCGACCTGCAACCTGTCCTCCGGTCTCACTTTCTTGCATTTAGAGCAGATACGTAATAGCCCTGAAGCTATATTTAAACTAGAACTCAACAGAGTGAACCAAAAAAAGTTATTTTGACATTAAAATTTGCTATTCCGGCCCCACATCGTGAAAACTGTCTTCATATAAATGGCGACACGATTTGTAAATTTTTGTAACACTTGAAACACCGATTTCAAGGTCACGAAAACAAGTGAAATTATTTTGTTACAGTGAGGCTACTTTTAATTAAATCAGTTATAACGGTAATTTCAAGGTCGCGAACAATTTTGGAAATGTTATGGTCGCAGAATTAGCTTCTATTCCAGTGAGTTATATAAGAAATTTCATAATAAACATGGATAATTAGAAAACATCCACTCGCAGGGGCAAATATTAGTCCGATTGAAAATCCGCCTCGAGCTTTCTCGATTGTACTCGATGTGTGTAATTTCTCTCGATTGTTATAATGAGAGTTTTTAAACGGTCAAGCACTCATTATATAACAGTTTGAGATTCACTGGGACGGAACAGGTGTTTACAGTTCGTGCCTAAGTGTAACACGTCTTGAGGATGAGACATCCTGTAGCTTAATGGGTCATGTAATTGTTTTGTTATACAGGGTGTGTCAGTAGCGATTGGTGTTGCAACTGGTTTGATTGTTCTGTGTTGCTTCTTGAATAATGATGACTCGACTAGAATGAAGTAAGACGATTTCGTAGTCGTTTCCTACTGATTTTTCTGACTTAACTAATTATGTAAAACTTGGTTGGGCATAATCGGAGCTTCATACTAAAGAATTAATTCAGAACGCGGAAATTCTTCGGTTATAAAATCAATTAGTTTGTAATTAACATGCGAGAATTTTTCAATAATTTAGTTGGAAACGAAGAATAAAAAAATGAAACAAGCCGAAATAAAAGCAATCCAAGATTAAACTAAAAATTAATGATTAAAGTAGGTACAGTTTGACGTGATAAAATTGTAAAATTATAAAGATTTAATTTAAGTAAAATAATTACTTTATTTTTATTTCAGTGACATTTGACATGCAGACTTGAAGAATTGTTTTCATTTCTGTAAACATAAGAAAAAATAATGGAAATAATATGTAGAAACAAGTTTTTTTACAAATTTGGTTCAGATATACCATTATAAATCACTTAACAAAGCAATTTAGCTACTTGTACAACAATCAACACTTTTACCGGAACTGCCATCAACTTTTATTAAATTTAAAGGCCACGTTCATAATCCAACAAGTAATTCTCAATCTAATTGAGAGTTATGAATAATTAATTATTACTCCATTTCTCATGATTTTACTCGTGTGAACATTTTCCCATTTGAATAGTGATTTTTGAGCTTTCTGTTCGTTTTGGCAAATCTTCCGTCACCATTATCCAAGGTCTGCTTCTTAATAAATAACTTTTTTATTGTAACCACACCTTTTTGTCATCTTTTCAAATTTACCATAAACGACCTGACACGAAAACCATCTTTGATAAACAGAGATGCATCTCGCATTTGCATTGAATGCAACAATGAAACACCATCATCTTGTCAAAAGAATATTTTCTATCGGATTAAAAATGTAATTAGTTTCAATTTAACTGTAATCTGCCGAAGGTCAGGAAAAGATCACTCTTTGCATTATTCATTGGGGTGTTTTGAAGCGCTCTGTTATTAAGAGGCCTTAACATTGTATGGTAATAAAACTGCAAGAAAATTTTAGGATTTGGTGCAACTGTGTCGTCGCCTTGACATGCTTCTGATTTTTTGTGTTTTTCTTAGTTTTTTAGAGTTTGAAGCAAGTTTTTTCTTGGCTTTGTGGTCACTAGTCGGAAACCCGTTTCAGTTTTTCTTTAAATTTCAATGCACTTGCAGCAAGGGCTCTTGCGTCATTTTCAAATTAATTCCAATTACGTAAAAATTCAGATATTAATTTACACCAGCCTGGAGGGCGATTTATTGGCACTTTTACTTTTTCCGCGGCCCAAAATCAAACTTCTTGAATTAATTACCAGACAGTTTACGTAATTGTCATCTCGAAAATGTCAAGGTTAATCGTTGGGATTCTCCTGATTTTTGGAATTTTCTTTCGGTCCGCTTTCTCGTGACAAAAAGCCCGATAAGATCGTCACGAAGCGTCGTGAATAGCGACTTTTCAGGTCACTAGGTTGATGACGCGAAAAACTGAAAAAATTTCACTTCGTATGAAATTTTTGCGAATTTTTACAACGAATCGAACTTAACGCACGATCAGCGATGGAAAATGTGAGTGGAATTTACATGGCGGGTGTTAGCTGGACTGGAATCGAGCGATTTGCCTTGGAAGTTGACCGATCGGTTATTAAAACGCAGTAAATATCTGATTAATGGTAAGGGGAAACGAGCGCAGATGGTGGGTTTCATGTAAAGGTCTCCAATAAGCGGTTTTTAGCAAGGTTTAGAAAGTTTAGGCCGTTTTTGTAAACAATTTTTAAAGAGAAAATTTTCAACTTTAACTGAAAAAAACGCATTCTTTCAGAAATTTTTCTCGATACTTTATTTAATCATTTACACTTTTGGTCCTTTGTCTGTGTCTTGTGTTTCTCTTATCACAACTAAATTACGCTGATAATTCATGTCAAAAGAGAAAGTAGTTTCTATACCATTTATACTTTTTAGACACCAAAATTGAATATTTCTTGATATCTATTGCTAAAATTGTAGTTTAGTAATATTCTACAAAGAATAACTACGTTTTCGATATGGAAAAGATTAAAAGTGAAGGAAAAACCACACAAAAAAATGAAAATAATAGTAAATAAAACAGCGTTACTGTCTTTCTTAATACTTCTTGTTTTGTCTAAATTTCTCTGCCTCTAGTTTTCTAGTTTCTTATTTTATCAATGTGTTTCTTTCTTTTATTCTGTATCTGACTTATACCATGTTTTGTATTCAATTTTTCTTAATTGTCGTTTTCTTCTTATTTTGAAAAGTTGTTTATGATCTGACGTTCCCAGTCCGGCACTGCTTTTTTCATGCTCATGTTTGTTCTTGATTTAAATAATTTAGGTTCAGCTTTTTCGACTTACTTTTTTTTCAATATTTTACTCTTTTTGTTCTTTACAATTTTTTAAAAGAAAATTTTGATTTGTTCAAGATATAGTGGAAAAAGTTCATCTCAACATTGTATGTTTTTCTGACAACAATGTTTTATTTGATAATAACACTACCCAACAAATTTTATTTTTTTTTAATGTGATTGATCTATTGACACGTGTATCAGGGTACATTACCATCCCTAATTACGAATTTGATAAGAAAAATTCTCCATCACGTACAGATTTTAAGTTACAGGAAAATAGTTTTCTCAAATTTTATCGTAAAAATTGTTCATTTCAAATAGAAATTAATTAAATAGACGACAAAAGAAATTAATTTATTCACTAAACAAGAACAATGTTGAAAGATGTATAAGATTCTAACATAAACCTGTTGTAGATGAGTTTTTTGCAAAAGCTGACTTTCTTTTGTAGGGTGTTTTAACTTCTCTTATCAGGAACCAGCAGTAATCCCCCATCTCCCTTGGTACCTCTTTTCTATTGTCAATATATCTTGGTGGAACCTTTCCCCTTGCCCGTCACTAATGGCACCCAAATTTGGGGGAAAAAAATTTTAATGAAAATGGAGAAAATGAATTTTAAGTGTTTCGTTTTTCGGCGATTTTATCGAACATACTTACATATGATATCTCAAAATGCCTAACTTTAAAATCTGATGTGCTATGGAATTTTCCTTATAATTTTTGAGTTTAGCACATAGAATTGAACAAAAAATAATTATTTTCTTCTCAGTCACAAAATGCTTGTTGGCTAGTGTAATTATTTGAGCCCGAAAAGGGTATAATTATTACAGTCGACTTCACTAGAATATCTGTTTTATTTTTGGCGCTAAAGGCTACAATTTCGTGCTCCATAGATTTTGATTTACCATGCGCCATATTTACCATTTTGTAAACTTCTTTTAGAAGGAAATCGGAGGTTCTGAAAGCCGCGAAACCAATTAGAGCGTATGTCTCGCCATATTTTATGCTCATTTACGCGTCCGCAACAATAGCCCCCTGCAGCCACGACCAGAAGGTTAACAACTATATCAAGGCGCGGTCACGTGTAGATCACTTACCCAACCGGCCCCAAAAAAGCCATTACTTAAGCCTGTGTACAGGAAGTGGGTGCCGGATCGTAATTGCGCTTACGAATTTTTTTTATGACTTTCTCTAATCGCACATGTTGAGAAGAGCCTGTGACTTACCAATTCCGGGCTTATTTCCGGTAATTAACATTGAAGTGCAAACTGAAAATTTCACTCGGTCTTTGAGATTTTTTTTGAAGCGTGAAAGTTTTCGGATTTTGATTCATGTTGAATATTCAACAAAGGTGGGATCGGTGGGGGATTGTGTAATGGTAAAGTGACAATTGATGGTCGCGAATTCAGTCACTGAGGTGGGCAAAAAAGCACTTTCATTGTGAAATCGATATTTTAATTAAAATTAATTCCGAAACAATCGGAGAATTAATTCGAAACTCCGAAATTACTCTTATGTAAGGGTTTATTACTCGGCTGTGACAATAATTAGGAAAAATTTAATTGGCGATTTATTGGCTTTCCTGGTTAGTAGTTGAATGGTGAAAGGTTAAAGTTAGACTCATAAATTTGCAGGGAATAGGTGAGCAATTATTAGACATTTTCTGTTGGCTATTGATGTTTTTGTTTGAGAAGTGAAAGGTTCAAGATTGATGATTACTAATTACTAGTGACTCACTGATTATCTAAGTAAATAACATTATTTCCAAAATTTATTTTTAATTTATAATTTAATCTCGCACATATCTAAGCAATGGTTCATTCGAGTAATAATTATTAAGATAAGAATCAATTTTAGGAAGTTAGCCAAGGCTGGGATAGTCATTTCCTGAGACTATCTAGCTATGTGAATATACTATCGTATTGAAAACATGTTGAGTATTAAATAAATAATTTAATAGAAGTTTTGTTTATTTTATTTTTTCCATTTATTTTCTTTTTTGTCATAATCGTCTATTTTATTATCAATTTATTAATATTAAGTAACAGAAATAAGACACAAAAGTCAAAATTGTTTGCTACTTCTTGACACCAATTTGCCTCACTTTCGTTTTCTTTATTTTATTTATTACATTGTTAACAATGAAAGTGTCTACTTACTTGCTCACTAAGCTAATAATAATACAATAGAACTTGGTGTTAACAATTTTTTTATTTAAATTTTTTCTCGCTTTTGTGTTTGTTTCTTTACATTCTTGCGCTCTACTAATTTTAAAAATCTTTAAAATCTTTTTTCGTTTGCACCTAAAACGTGTGACATTTGTTAGAAACCACTGTCCATCAACCTTGATATTTATAAAATTGCAGTTTTTCTCGTCGCAGATGTAGACCATCCTGCATGCTCTATTTGCTTTAGAAAATGTCCAAGTGTGTTAAGTCGTTTTACGCTATGTAACTGCGCGAAAAATTCCCTTCAAAAAGCGTTTTCCAGTGAAAGTGTCCGACTGTTACCTAAGTACGTAAAATGTCGCGTTGGGTAATAAATGTAGAGTGATTAGGTCGAAATTTGAGGAATGCGCAGATTCGCTAAAAGCTTTGACTTGTACTAGTGTGTAACGTCGTCTGGTAAAAAAATAAAAAATTTCTAAACCTTTCTCTGGGTGATTTGACTCATTACGTAAAACGGCCGACCTTGACGATTTTGCTTGATTCACTTGAGCGGTGAAATTTTCGTGAATATTTAGACACACGAGATTTGACAGTTTTTGCTGAGTTGATGGCTTTAGAGAGTAATGATTAAGTACATGAGTTAAAAACTTGACATTTACATTACATTACTTCTTACAAGTCCCAACGATTATTAGAGAGTACAGTTTTTGCAGATAATTCATTAGAAATTTTGGCCCGCAGTAATTACTTGAAACTGTGAGTAATTTGATTGAGTTTATAAGAATTCATGACTACGTTTAATAATAATTTACATTTACTTTTATTGTATTATAAATCAAATCAAGCTGGAAATGAAGGTCGAAATGACGGAAGAGCTACAAGTAATTTTTTTAACTTCTGATAATTATGTATGCAAAAGCAGAAAAATCTTGTATTGATCAAATTGGAAGTTGAACATCTCTTCAAGGATTTGCAACAAAAAGCTGTGATATTTTTAAAATAAGTAGAATGGATTTTTATGATAATGAACTTGTCTAAAAGTGGGTGGCATTTTTTGGCTCCTTTTTGTTCGTATACCAAGTGAATACAAATAAGTATAAATCAATGAAGCTTTTTTGTTACTTTACGTAAAAAAAAATATAATTAGTGCATTGTAAAATACTGTAAAAAGGTGATCGTTTTTAAAGATAAAATTTTTCGAAATTTCTTTTAGTTTTTGAGTTTTGCAATTTTCTTTTTAATGGTAACGTACCATGACAATTTTTTCTATCAATCAATGACTATGATAAAAACGTTTCATAAATAAGTTGTAACTGCATTTTCAATTTGAACGAATTTTACTTTTCTGATTCCTTTTGCCATTCTTACCTTACCTTTCAATTTTTGCTAAACCATTCCCTAACATACTATATTGTTTAGTACCTACAATGTAAGTAATTTTCTTTTAGTTTTTCAATTTATTCTGCATTTTTTGTTTCTGTTTTTTTATTGTTTCCAATTTATTTTTTAATCTTTTTGTACCTTTGTGGCGAAATCCATTCTGTAACTGTGTTTTTTTAACTTCTTCCATGAATGGGGTTTATATACTTGCTTGCTGAATTTGTTAAGCAAGCTACAAACACTTGCAGGAAATTACTGACCTTCTAAAATTATTTTGCTTGGTCAAGAGCCTTGAAAAAAGTCTACTACACTTATTGCGAGAATGCGAGGCCATAGTCGTTAAAATAAACAAAATTTTTCTGTCCTGTTATTCAGTTTTATGCATAAAAAATGCGGTAATTTATATGTAGATTTGGAAAAATAAAAAAAATTCTAAGAAGTGTCAGTGTCAATTAATTTATCACTGCAATGATTCAAAAGTAGCAAATCAGATCAGAAAAATCCTACTCATTATCCAAACCCCACCCAAGGCTTACCATTATGTCACTTATCTCAACATTAGCTCAGCTGAATACCTTGAAATTAATTTCCAATCGTTTCTCTATTTATTTTTCCGCAGTGTTAGTCACTTAGTATTTACCATTTGATCTTTCTATTACAGATACCACGACCCCGTTGCAAATTACGAACCATCTTCATCGTTACTCTCTTAGTCTTCCTCCTAGTCCAGATCTCTACATCAGAACGAGTTACACGACGTCGACTTCGACGACCCCTCAAAACCACACAAAGCGTTTCAGTAACCAAAGACCAAGAAGTCTCTTCCAGTGTCAACCGTTTCCGGTTAAGATCGCGGCCGGGCCATCGCAAAACAGATAACTCTCTTTCCGCGACGAGCAAAAAAGACAAAGATGGATACAAAGTGGTGTGTTATTACACCAACTGGTCGCAGTACAGAGTCAAAATTGGGAAATTCACGCCGGAGGATATCATCCCGGACTTATGCACACATATCATCTTTGCTTTTGGATGGTTGAAGAAAGGGAAACTGTCATCATTTGAAAGCAATGATGAGACCAAAGATGGGAAAGTGGGGTTGTATGAAAGGATTCAAAAGTTGAAGAAGGCTAACCCAAATTTGAAGACGTTGTTGGCTATTGGAGGGTGGTCTTTTGGGACGCAGAAATTTAAAGATATGGCGTCCACGAGGTATGCAAGACAGACGTTCATCTTCAGTGCTATTCCCTTCCTGAGGGACCGAGGATTCGATGGATTGGATATTGATTGGGAGTACCCGAAGGGGTCGGAAGATAAGAAGAATTACGTCTTGCTTTTGAAAGGTGCGATTTTGCGTTTTTTCCATTTTTAATAAAAAAATGACTAATGCACAAGATTTCTGTATTTAGAAAAAAAAGAACAAGAAATAGTATATAAAATAAGAGACAAGTAACAGAAATAATTTTTGGGAAAAAATGGCGATTTTCTTTTTTTTTTGGGAAAAAATGGCGATTTTCTTGTCTACACGCTGATATGTCATCGTTGCCTCTTACGATAGCCTAAATTTTAATAATTATTAGTATTGTTACTTAAAAAATAATTAACTACTAATAAACTAATTAATTATTCCCGGTCTTTGCTTGGTTGTAATTGCGAAAGAAATAACGGAACATATAATTGCTGTTATGTGCATGTATACATACATTTGTATAACATTTGAACAGGATAATAGATAGTTAATAAATTCTGAAAAAGAATGACGTTACAACATTCAAAAATCACTTAAAACATGTTCTTAAAATTGATTATCTACAAAACTTCTAAAACAACATAGATAGGTTTAGGTTTTGAATGAATGGGTTTAAGTTTTGTTTGTATTCCACGCGTAAAACTGATCTAATTATAAATACAAATTGAGTAGAAATCAATTTTTCTTAGGTATATCAATTAAGACAGAAGTTAAATTTCTCTCCCGAGGGAGAAAAATGAACTTAACGACGGACGGGAGCAAACATTTGCTGAAAATATTCTCATTCATGATAGGCTCATTGTCAACAAACATTTTTATTTTTACTATGGAGTAATTTCAACGAATAGTATCTTTACTCTACTTTTAAAACTTTATTAAACAATTACAGTCAATCTCTTAGGTTTTTTAATTCAAGTCGTGCAAAAAATAGTATACAGTATGTCCCCGATTGAGTTTACGAGAGTAAGAAAAATATCTTTGATTTTACGCTAAAACTGTAAAGGAAAAACATTTTTTGCTTCACATGAAACGAGCAAATCTGTACTTAAAACTTCATTATTCTGATTCAGTGAAAAGACTTAATTTTTCTCTGCTCTTTAAGTCACATTGGCGGTTTTATTTATTTGACAACTATATGTCATTTTGACAATTAATTTGTTAATAGTTTTTGGTAAAAATGACTTTGATTTTTATCTTAAAGCTGTTTCTTTGAGTTTCTATTTATTAAAATTATGTTTTTCACAAACATGTTTGTTATTTAACTTGCGTAAACTCATTTGTCAAAGTGACATACATCATTGTCAAAATAATAAAACCGCCAATGTGATAGGATTTAAAAACCAACAGAAAAATGAACTTTTCTTTCTACTGAGTTAGAATAATAAAGTTTTAATTACAGATTTGCTGGTTTCAGGTAAAGCAAAAAATGTTTTTCCTTTGCAGTTTTAACGTAAAATCAAGGATAATTTTTTTTTCCTCTTGTAAACTCAATCCGGGGACATACTGTATACACTACTGTAGAGAAATATGCTATTATTCCTTTGGCATCTCAGGGATAGTTGTGCATTTCTCTCTCTTTATGTAGATATAATGTATTATTATGTCTCACCTGCTCATTATTGACCCATAAATGACTTCCATTTGAGGTCTATTATGAAGCATAGAGCATTAAGGGTTGCTAAAGTTGCACAATTTGCTAAGATAGGTATTTTACTTGTTTCCTATGGTACTGGGAGTAGCAAGCCAAGCTACTTCACTTGATAATTTGTCATATTTATTTTGACATTTCGTACTTAAAATTTTTAAGTTCAAGTGAAACATAAAACGTTTTATGTCTTGCTAGTCCATTAAGTATCTGACCCACGCAATTGACATGCGGAAATCCGTTCTTACCGGTTTAGTAGGTAGATCAATTTTACATAAAGCACTGACATTTACAAAAATCGGCTTGATTGTGACCAAAATGTGACATAGAAGTGTTAATGAAAAGTTCCGATCACTATTTCCAACCCTAAAATAAGGTGGGTTAAGAAATAACAGGAGCGTCATTTGAAATTTTCGTAAGTGGAGGCAATAAGTTAATTGATTAGCACACGAGTTAGCTTTTAAAATTAATAATAACGCTAGATAATAATTTTAACACATATGTAACTAATTGCATACAATTTATTCATTCAAACAATATAAAAATAAAAACAAACAGTACTTTATGGGAAGATATAAGTAAACTAATCTGGTAAATAAAAAATTTTACTAAAAATTTAAACTAGTATACTGATCTTACTAACTTTTGTCGTCTTATAGAATTCCTTGTAAAAATCTTGGGATCAAAAATATTGTACAACAAACTCCTGACTACACCTTGTTTTGATGCGGAATATTAACGACCTATTTATTACATCATTTAAATTAATGAGTAAACCGAGGAGTAAACTAGATGTAGGTACCCGACTAATAAATAATTCAGTGGAAACAGCATTTTATTAAACATTTGAAATGGGGTTTAACTTTAGAATTCCATTTACGCTAATAATTTCTAAACATATCGCTCAAATATGCGACCGTTCGCGAATTCTATTAAGCGAAATATTCCAAACTTTATATTATAAAGTAAGATTGTTTCATATTTAGATTTGTTTAATTACAAAATGTCTAAGACAAGTGCGCATCCAAGTGTGGGTGTTACGCTAATAACACGAATACAAATTATACAGTTACTCAGCTGAATCAGATGACCGACATTGCATTCATTATCCCAAGAAAATTATGCCTTTAATAGATGCGTAACAAATGACGGTGTTGATTTTTTATTCACACGCGTTTAATAATTTCTCCAGAACTACGCGAAGCCTTCGAAGCTGAAGCCCAAGAGATCAAAAAACCGGCTCTTCTTCTCTCAGCCGCCGTCCCCGTAGGCCCTGACAACATCAAAGCCGGCTATGACGTCCCGGCTGTGGCTTCATATCTTGATTTCATCAACTTGATGGCTTACGACTTCCATGGGAAATGGGAACGAGAGACAGGCCACAATGCACCTCTCTACTCCCCCAGCAGCGATAGTCAGTACCAGAAACAACTGAACGTAGAACACGCGGCCAACCTTTGGGTCAAACTGGGTACTCCTAAAGAGAAATTGGTTATTGGTATGCCCACCTATGGGCGTACTTTTACTCTATCAAACTCTGCCAAATTCGGGGTTCATTCCCCAGCAAGTGGCGGAGGTAAAGAAGGTACTTACACGAAAGAATCCGGGTTTTTGGCCTATTATGAAGTGTGCGAGTTGCTCCAAAACGGGGCTACGTATATTTGGGATGATGAGATGAAAGTACCTTATGCGGTCAATGGGGACCAGTGGATTGGGTTTGATGATGAAAAATCGATTAGGAACAAAATGAAGTGGATTAAAGATAATGGGTTTGCGGGGGCTATGGTGTGGACCATCGACATGGATGATTTCTCAGGGACGATTTGTGGGGGCCAAGTCAAATTCCCTCTTATTGGAGCCATGAGGTACGTAGTTAAGTCCAATGACTGGTGGTACTCAAACACTACCCAATATTAGGGAGGAGCTTCGAGGAATCTCTCGCGGGAAGAACGCCAAAGACGTCGATTGGCAAAAAATTGCCGGTGCTGTTGAAGAAGATGACGAAGACGCGATCGAAAAACCAGCCCCGGTCAAGATTTCGGTCCAGGAAGTACTCAACAGGGTTAGGAAACCGACCAAGAAACTCCATTTGAAAAATTCACCAATCAGCAAGAAAGGTACTTGTAACATGTTCCTGTTATTACATAAAGAATGTCGATGACTTTGAAATAAAATAAAAGCAAGTGACAGGATTTGATACTAGAGGCTGTTTTGCGGGTTATGCAATAAGTAGGTTGAATGAATGAAATATAAACGTGACCACTTTGTTTATTGCCACTGGCTTATCTAATTTCTGGTGCTTTCTTTTCTTGAGTTTTAGGGATAATGTGATCCTGAGACGCGATTATTTATTTTGAATTTTTTCTCAGTTCGCCCCCCTCAGGTCCTCTGCTACATTACCAGCTGGTCCCAGAAACGTCCAGGCGCTGGTAAATTTACTCCAGAAGACATCAATCCATCCCTCTGCACTCACATCATTTACGCTTTTGCCACTCTTAAAGACCACAAACTCGCTGAAGCAAGTGATAAAGATCCAGAAATGTACGATCGGGTTGTAGCCCTCCGTGAGAAAAACCCCGACTTGAAAATACTCCTTGCAATCGGAGGATGGGCTTTCGGTTCAACTCCTTTTAAAGAACTCACGAGTAACGTCTTCAGAATGAACCAATTTGTTTATGACGCTATAGACTTTTTGCGCGAATTCCAATTCAACGGTTTGGACGTCGACTGGGAGTACCCTCGAGGTGCCGATGACCGTGCTGCTTATGTCAATCTTTTGAAAGAGTTGAGAGTGGCTTTCGAGGGCGAGGCGAAGACGAGTGGACAACCTCGTCTTCTGCTAACAGCAGCAGTACCAGCGTCGTTTGAAGCCATTGCTGCTGGGTATGATGTACCTGAAATTTCGAAGTACCTCGATTTTATCAACGTGATGACGTACGACTTCCATGGTCAATGGGAACGAACTGTGGGTCACAACTCGCCTCTATTCCCGCTCGAAAGTGCTACAAGCTACCAGAAGAAGCTTACAGTGGTACGTATTTATTTTTTTAGTAAATCAAGGCACTAGCTGAGTTTTAGGACTACTCTGCCCGGGAATGGATAAAACAAGGGGCTCCTAAGGAAAAACTCATGATTGGTATGCCCACCTACGGCCGTAGCTTTGAACTAGTTAACAAAACCCAATTTGATATCGGAGCCCCAGCCAGTGGCGGTGGTACTCCCGGGAAATACACTTCCGAGGCCGGTTTTATGAGTTTCTACGAAATTTGCGACTTTCTACACGAAGATAACACAACACTAGTCTGGGATAATGAACAGCAGGTCCCGTTTGCGTACCGAGGCAACCAATGGGTGGGCTTCGACGATGAAAGGAGTTTGAAAACAAAGGTACGACTTTTGAGTACCATCGCTCTTCAAATGACACAATTGAATTACAGATGGCATGGTTGAAAGAAGAGGGCTTTGGGGGCATAATGATCTGGTCGGTGGACATGGACGACTTCCGTGGTTCCTGCGGAAGCGGTAAGTACCCTCTAATCAATGCCATGAGACAAGAACTGGAAGGTTACAAAGTGAAACTGGAGTATGACGGCCCTTACGAAACATCGATTTCTTCAGGACAGTACACGACGAAAGATCGTGAGTTGTGATCGTGTTTCGTCGATTTTTTCTCAAATTATGATTGCAGCAAATGAGGTGACTTGTGATGAAGAGGAAGGTCATATCAGTTATCATCCTGATAAGGCCGATTGTCGGATGTATTACATGTGTGAAGGAGAGAGGAAACACCACATGCCTTGTCCCTCGAATCTTGTTTTCAATCCGGATCAGAACGTTTGTGATTGGCCCGAAAACGTTGAAGGGTGCATGCAACACACAGCTGCTCCACCCACTAAACGATAATTTCTAACTGAAACTTTGTAAATAATTGGAAATTTAGTCTTGTTTAGTAACACGGAATTTATTTGTTTTATTAATTTAAGTGATTATGTTACTGCCATTGACTGAAAAAGATTCTTTTGTGAAACTGCCATAAGAAAAGACAGTTTTTTGCACTCGTATTGGGGATCAATTTTAATAAATTGTTTTATCGAGTTATTTAACTTTCTATTTTATACAATAATTTATAAATTATGCATTGTAGTTGTAGCGAAAGAATATTTTTATATGGTATACGTTTAGTATATTATAACAATTGTAAATACATATAAATAAATATAAAAAACTGATCGTTTTCATTCGAATCACCTTATGTATTTTCTTATTTTTTCTTTTGTTTCAATGTCTTAGAATAATAGTTGTTTCAAAAATGGGCATTCTGTTCGCTTCCCAGTGGGACTTTCGCTGAAAATACCCTTCCAACAATACATCCTATCATGCACCGGGTTTAATGAAACTTTCAACTCTCTCCCAATATCAAGAAATTCAATTTCGTGTTTTTTCATGGGTTTCCATTTAACTTTCAACAGTGGATCCCGTTTATGAGGAGTTGGTTCTCCAAATGTCGCAAAATTGCTCCAAAGTTTTATAAATTTTGTTACTACAAGTTCTTCCACACTTCCAGATTTAATTTCAGGAGTTTTCAACGTTTTAAAAAGGTAACCAATGTCGTCAAAATGTGAAACACCTAACAAAAGTATATGTATGCGGTTTGTGTGACTAAGAAACTTACCAGGTTCTTTAATTTTGGCCAACTTTTTGTAGAAATTTAATTTAGTCTCTGCTGATATCATATAGACATATGTGGGCGCTTTGTTTTTGTGAAATAAAATCATTACTGTTTGGAAAAGTGGGAAAATAAACATTGAGTCAGATATTAACTAGAAAACAAAATCAAAATTGCGAATTTGAAGGAAATGTGACTGACTTCATAAATTTTGTTGACTTGTTTGAGCGGATCTTCATTTTCAAAATAAAATTTCTTAATCCTGTCACATAATTTATCCGTTTCAGTCTTGTCCATATTATAGTTGAAACTCCAAGGAACGAAAGTTTCAAGAGGTGGCAAACCTTGAGTTTTCAAATTTTTGTAAATTTCCATCCCTTCAGAATTTGTAAAACCAACAATCAACGGTACATGGTTAAACCTTCCCCCCAACATAGCTTGCAGCGGTTCTTCGGTAATAAAAGCAAACTTGTTATTAAAAGACTCAAGAACATAACCGAAAGGTCTGATTTCAGACGCTACCAATTTCTACAAATCTAATTTAAAATCTTTTTTTAACAGAATTTACAATTAAGTACATCAATAATTTTTTCTTGAATTTCAAAAACTTCCTCAACTGATTTTTTCATTAAGCATTCAAGAAGTCCTTTTTCATCATTCAATCCCATTTTTAGAACTTCAGCAATGGTGTTACCTCCTTTAGTCCCCCTGGCCCACGGATTCACTGCACACCCACTTTGGGCAATTGCTCGATGAAAAAGCCCTTTGGTCAAAGGTGACAAAAATAGAAGATGGACACTGGAACCGCCGGCATCTTGTCCAAAAATTGTAACATTGTGAGGATCCCCACAAAACTTATAAATATTCTTCTGCACCCACTTTAAGGCCATTACTATGTCTTTCAATCCGGCATTTCCAGGTACATTCAGTGACAAGTCTTCCAAACACAAAAACCCCAACATTCCCAGACGATAATTAACCGTAACGAGGACTAAATTTTCAGTCAGTAAAAATTCAGGGCCGTAAACGTCGTCATTCCCGGACCCAAAAATAAAATAACCCCCGTGTATCCACACCAGAACTGGATACAAGTTGGTGTGGATACCATCTGGAATCTGAGAAAAGTTACTAAACTGAGGGTGAGACCAGAGTTACCTACGTTTTGTGTGTAAACGTTCAAAACTAGACAATTTTCACTCCCTGTGATTTTTTGACGAAATAAATCGCGTTGAAAGCTCACATTTCCGGGTTTGGTGGCATCAAGAATTCCTTCCCAGTGTTCAGGAGGTTCAGGGGCCTGAAAAAATCAGAAAGGAGTGGTACTGAGGAGAGATTTTACCTTAAACCTAAGATTGCCAAGGGGAGGTTTAGCATAGGGGATTCCTTGAAATTTGTAAAAAGGGGTTCCTCGGATGTCTTTCCCAGTTGAACCAAGCAATTTTCCTTGCTCGATAGTTAATTCGGGTTGTTTCATTTTACAAGAATTTTGACAATTTTTGACAATCTATTTCTAATTTTAAACTTTTCCATTTTTTAAATTTTGTTAGAACTCTTTTATTTATTCACTCCACTCGTTTGATAAGTAATAAGTTTTCAAAACATGTCAATATTTATTTTCAAGAAATAAATAATTATATGGATTTGCAAATCAAATGATAACAGAAATTATTTGGCGCCTGTAAGTATAATTTTCATTATTTTTAACTATTCAAAGAAATCAAAGTTCTCGAAATGTTTATTTCTTATTAAATCTTTATTTGATCAAAGTCGTGCGGTCACCTCTATTTTTAGACACTTAACATCAAAGATAAATAAAGAAGAATTAGAAACAAGCTATATTACGCCCCATTAACAAAATAGTCCAGTTATTTCCTTTTTCCAGCAGGACTCTCAGAATAAAGCTTTTCCCAAAACTGTATTCTTTTGGAATATGGATCTGACATCATTTTCAATTCGTTTCCAATGTCAAGAAAATGAATTTCAGGATTTGTGATTGGTTTCCACACAACTTGCAACAGTTGGTCGTTTTGGTCGGGAGTTGGGTTTCCAAACTTTGCAAAATTTGTCCACAACTTAACAAACCTTGAAAGACCGATGTCTTCAACACTTCCGGGAGTTATTTTCGGAGTTACAAAATGATTGAAGAGATAACCAATATCGTCAGCGTGACAAACACCTAAAAGTTTAATTCAGATTTTTTTCTCTTAAAACCATAGAAAAATTAGTTACCAGGTTCTTGAATTTTTAATAAATTCTTGAAAAAGTTTAATTTTGTTTCAATTGACATTTGGTACATGTAGATTGGTGCTTTTGAACGACTATATTGAGTCGTCACAGTTTTGTAAATACCGTAAAGAAATATAATATCAGTGACCAACTAAAAAACAAGATTCATAAAAAAAAAACAATAAAAGTAGAGTCAAAAACTAACATCAAATGCTTTTATAACATTTTTCGCTGATGGTTCTTCATTGCCAAAATAAAAGTTTTTTATTGTAGCACTAAGAGCCTTCGTTTCCTCTTTACTATAACCAAAAAACCAAGGAATATAATCATGAACAGAGAATTCTTTACGACAATCTTTAAACAACTGTGCCAACATTCCTTCACGCGATGTAAACCCAATCATGAGTGGGACTTGAATAAAATTCCCAGATAAAATTATTTGAAACGGTTCTTGAGCCAAAAAAGCCGTTTTGCTGTCACCAGATTCAACCACAGGTCCAAATGGTCGAATCTCACTGGCTACCAAAGGCTAAAACACCCCATTAAAACAATGGCCATAAACCAACTCATAATTACATCAACAATTTTTTTCTGAATTTCCAAAATTTCTGCAACGGTTTTAGTTCTCAAATGGTCCAAAATTGTTTTATCATCAGCTCCTTCAAGGTTCAAAACTTTGGCAATCAAGCTGGCCCCTTTAGTTCCTCTGGCCCAAGGGTTTAAAGCAGAAGCACTCTGAACAATCGTTTTGTGAAAAAGCCCTTTCGCTAGAGGTGACAGTGTTAACAAGTGAACAGAAGCACCCCCGGCACTCTCTCCAAAAATTGTAACATTGTTGGGGTCACCCCCGAAAGCGGAAATGTTTTTCTGAACCCATTTTAAACCCATTATCATGTCTTTGAAACCAGCATTGCCGGGAACCTCCAAGGATGGGTCTTCAAGGTTCAAGAAACCCAACATTCCCAAACGATAATTAATTGTAACATAAACAATGCTTTCGGTCATTAGGAAATTAGGGCCGTATAACTCTTCAGACCCGGATCCCCAAACAAAACCACCTCCGTGGATCCAAACCATGACTGGGCGAAAATTTTTACCATCACTTAACTATAATTAAATAAATTAGACCATAATTACAAAAATAAACCCAAGTACCTGGTGCGTGTAAACGTTCAAAACCAGACAATTCTCGCTACCAACAATCATATTTTCTCTTACTACGTCGCAGTGGTAGCAAGCATCCCCTTCTTTAGACGCATCTAAAACTCCGGTCCATTTTTCCGGAGGTTGAGGCGCCTGGAATACAATTAAAACGATTCAAGGTAACCAAAATTTTTACCTTGAATCGGAGGCCACCCAAAGGTGGTTTCGCATATGGGATTCCTTTGAATTTGAAAAAATTGTTTCCTCGAATATCAGTCCCAATGGACCCTCGGAGTTTCCCCTGTTCTATTGACAACTCCGGTAACATTTTTCACCAAAATAGAGAACCAACTGCGGCTAAAGTACTGATCTCACTGTAAATACTGCTTACATAACAGTCCATTAAATAAACATTCTAATCGCAAGATACATTCGGAAAGATTAGATTACGCGGAGCGCTTAAATTAATTTTTTTGTGGAGTAAATATCTATTAAATTATTAATTACATAAATATAATTGTTTATTTATTTTTGATTTCACAATTTTTTTCACAAGTGTGACGAAGAGTTTTTTCGTTCATAGAGATGTGTCAAAAATTTGATCCTTTTGTGCTCAACTGAGTTGGTAGCCGAGATCAAATTGTCGCCAATATCGAGATAATCAACTTCCTTATCAGTCACAGGTTTCCAGGTAACACTTAACTCGTCGTCAGGTGTAGGATTGCCGAATTTGGCAAAATTGGTCCATAATTTTACAACTTTTTTCAACAAAATGTCTTCCCTAGAACCAGATTTAATACGAGGAGAAGACACATTTTTGAACAAATAACCAATGTCGTCACAATGTACCACACCTAAATTTTAAATGTTATTAAAATGCAAAAAAAAAGTTACAAAGACCTGGAATTTTGATTTTGTAGTTTTGCCTCATCACATTTAGTTCAGTCTCTGCTGAAAACCTGTACAAATAAGTGGGAGCTTTCGATTTGTTAAAGTGGTTTAAAACAGTTTTATAGACACCAAAAACAAAATTTGCATCAGTGTGAATCTGAAATCAAAAACCTAGAATCAAAAGTAAGTACTAAAATTGAATACAAACCGCAATTTTTGTTTCTAGTTTAATCGTGGTGGGAATATGTCCACCGGAATAAAACTTTTTTATTTTCTCCGCCATAACCTGACTTTCAGGACTTCCAGTTTTAAATCCTAGAGTCCAAGGAATGGAATCCTCCATATTTTTAGCCCCTGGCCAATCATCAGGTCTGAGCGAATCAAACCCCCAAGTTTCCGCAGTTGTGTACCCTATCATAAAAGGCAATTGCTGAAATTTTCCACTCGAAATAATATCAAACGGTTCCTCGCATAAAAAACCATCAGAGTTTTTCTCAACAACATAGGCAAAAGCCCTTTGTTTACTTGCATATATATTTAAGAATGAAACAATTTTCTCTTGAAGTTTGAACAGTTCGTCTACAGGTAGTTTTAACAAAAGTTCGTAAATCTTTTCTTCATTTTCTTCCAAGTGTAAGATCGATGCCAATTCTTTAATACCGGTGGTACCCCGAGCCCAAGGGCTAAATGCACACCCACTCTGGGCTATAGCCTTATGAAACAAACCATGACTCATTTGTGACAAAAGTAGGAGATGAACGGCAACTCCACCTGCACTTTGCCCAAAAACGGTCACATTTTTGGGATCACCGCCAAAATTTTGAATGTTGGTTTGGACCCATTTCAAAGCCATTACTATGTCTTTCAAACCTGCGTTGCCTGGTACTTTTAATTCTGGAGTATCAAGACTCAAAAATCCTGAAATAAAGTTTTAAAAAAGAATTTCAGCTTTAATAGTTATAGCACCCAATATCCCTAAGCGGTAGTTTATAGTTACCACTACCACATTTTGAGTTATTAGAAAGTCAGGACCGTACATTTCCGTTCCTCCAGATCCGTTCAAAAAAGCACCTCCATGAATCCAAAACAAAACGGGAAACAAAGAATTATTTTCATTACTTGATGCTACTTTCTTCGTATAAACATTCAAATATAGGCAGTCTTCACTCCCAACAATTTTATTATTAAATGGGTGTCTAGAGTAACAAGAATTTCCTTCCTTTGTAGCATCTAGTACTCCAATCCATTCTTCAGGAGGTTCAGGAGCCTGAAAACTTAATCAAAAAAAGGAATATTTTTGAGGAGGTACCTTAAATCGGAGAAGGCCTACAGGGGGTCTAGCATAGGGAATGCCTTGAAATTTATAGTATTTCTCTCCAGATGAATCAACACAGGTGGTACCTTCTAATTTTCCTTGCACTGTTGTTACTAGAGGTTCCATTTTAGATTTGTTTAAAGTGAGTAAAAGTCATGCATTTATATTAGTATATTTTTTATTAAGAAACATTTAGTTAAAAATCAAACTCCAAGGTGACTCTATTATTTTATCGTTACATTAATTTACCATTAGCGGGACTTCTAATAAACAATTTTTTCCAGAATATCATTCGCTGAGCGTCAGGATTGGCCGAAGCAACTAACTCATCACCAATGTCTAAGAAATCTAATTCGTCTTCATTATTAACAAATCTCCAAATAACATTTAACAATATATCGTCTCTCCGAGGAGTCGGATTTGCATATTTTGCAAAATTGCACCACAATCTGACAAACCTCTTCATTGCTTTGTGTTCCTTGGTTCCAGGTTTGATATTTGTGGCAAAATTTTTAAAAATGTAATTAACATCCACTGAAATCCCTGATATCTTCAAGGCAGTTTTTAAAGACACTCTGTATAAGTAAGTGGGGGCTCGAGATAAAACGCAATGCCTTTTGATAGTTGTTTGAATTTCGAAAACTGTCTGAGAGTCAGAAATTAACTAAAATTTTCTGAATAATTTTTTGTGATAAAGGTTCGTTACCTACAGTTGTTGTTTTGGTTTTGTCTCTTGGTAAAGTTTCCTCAGAACCGTAATAGAACTTTCTGATTTCTTTGGCCACTGTGTAGCTTTCAAGACTACCAAACTCGTAACCAAAAAACCAAGGGATGATTTTTTCTTCAAAAGTTGGTCCTTGATTGAGTTCGGAACCAATGGTTTCGTTGGAAATGTATCCACATATAAGTGGTACCTGGTTGAAATTTCCCGAAGAAATAATTTTAAAAGGATCTTCTTTCAAGAATGAGGGTTCATCTGATTTCTTCTCAACGACGTAACCAAAAAGATTGGGGTCAAATGGACCACAAGTCTAAAACACAAATGTCAAAAAATGCCCATAGAATTTTTCCCACTACCTACTTCTATTAAAGTCTTTTGGAGTTTATAAATATCTTGGACTTTCAGTGACATTAAGTACTTGTATACACTTTTTTCATCCCTTAATTTTAAAACTGAAGCTATTTGTGCAATTGTAAGGGTGCCACGTGCCTTCAAACTCAAAATGGTACCACTCTGAGCTATAGCTTTATGAAAAAGGGTTTTGCTCATAGGCGATAAGTGCAAAAGATGGACAGACATGGCACCTGAACCGGAACCAAAAATGGTTATATTATGTGGATCTCCACCAAACAATATAATATTTTTTTGAACCCATTTCAAAGCCATTACCATGTCTTTAAACCCAGCATTGCCGGGTACTCCTAAAGACACATCTTCAAAACTTAGGAACCCCAACATCCCCAACCGATAATTAATTGTGACAAGTACCACATTTTCGCTGATTAAATAATCAGGACCATACATATCACTGGTACCACTTCCGGCCACAAAATCTCCACCATGAATCCAAAAAAGTACTGGTTGTGTAATTCGATTGGTATCGCTGCGAAGCTACAAAAAATAATTTTCCTACTACAGTTGTGATGGGCTATAGTATTTTACGTTTTTAGTATAGACATTAAGCACCAAGCAATTTTCGCTCCCCACAATTAAATTTTTCTTGAAAAAATGTTGTCCATAACAAGGATCACCCTCTTTGGTCGCGTCGAGAATATCTGTCCAATTTTCAGGGGGTTGGGGGGCCTAAAAATTTGCAAAATTTGATCAAAACCAAAATTATTATTACCTTGAATCGGAGAACATCCAAAGGCGGTTTAGCGTAAGGAATTCCCTGAAACCGGAAGTAGGTGTCACCGTTTATGTCATATGAGGTGGCACCACGTAATTTGCCTTGGCTGATTGTTATTTCCGGGATAGTCATTTTTATGGTAATTAGCAAATATTATTGGATTATCACAATCATACGTTATCCATTTATACAGTTTTGGAAAAGTATTTATTGTTTTTTTATTATGTTATTGTGTTATACAGCACCAACGCAATAATAAAATGGAATTTATAAGTTTTGTTTTTATAACCAATTACATACAATTACAATTAAAATACGAGTGAAAAGTTTTAGTTTTGTGATTTTTGCTTCGCTTCCAAATGTATTTTTTTTATTAAAATTGACTTGCAATTAATTTAACTGCAAAAATTGTAATAAATTTACTACAGGACACGTGTTTATTCAAACACCATTTCTCTAATTTTTGCAAAATATTTAAACTCAAATTATTGTTACAATAAAACAGTCTTATAACTTAAAAAAAATATTAGAAAAGTTTGAAATTTGGTTATGATTTAAACATTGAAAAAAATTGTTATTTTTAAACTTCTTGCCACTCAAACTATAAATCAAATTATGTCCCATAAACATACATTTTTGCAATACAAATTTTTAAACAGACGTTCATGAATTTCTCTAATTGTGTTGTACTCCAAATATATTTCATTCTCATTTCGAGTCAAAAATTCAAAAAAGCGGCTTTCAAAGCTTTCAATTTTATTATTATCAATTACAAATGTTTTTAAATTTGACTTGCACAAAATATTTTAAGTTGAAACGTGTTAGTTTTGGTTTAAATTAAAAGTTTCCACAGTACAGATAAATTTGTGGGTCTATGTCGAGTAAGTGGTACAAATCTTATCCTTTTAAAAATTCTTTTTTTATTTTTAGAATGAGTAAAGTTGTGATTTCTAAATTGATGATTTTGTGTATCAAGTTAAAAGTACTAGAGCAATTTAGGTGTTGGGTTTAAAACGTGACTGGTATAACTGATATCAATTGTGATAAAAAATCGACAAAATTAGAATTATTACTCTCCAAGATTATGAGAGTTGTTGAAAACTAAAACATTTTTTAAAAATAAACAACACTGTTGAGGTAAAAGAAAATGAGCTCTGTGTTTTGTGTGTATGTACAAATCACTCAATAATAATCGGATTACATCAAGACTGAAGTAATCAAGCGAAAGTTACACAATTACTAGAATTTATTAAATTATTACTTCTATTTTTATTCTATGTTATACAATACAGTACATTTTTTATATAATATTCTTTGCACAAAATTATACAGGAGATCCCACGAGTAATAATGAGCCTGAAAAAATTTCGAAAGCAACCAACATTACATTCCAAAGATAACGTGGATATTAAAATATTTAGTTTTTATAAATTAAACATAGTGACCAAGGATCACACTTCAACTTTAATTTATAAAAAGTCGAACCTTTGAAAATTTAGTGAAAATTACTAAAATTTTGCCGAAAAGACCAACAAGATTCTCATTTATGAAGAATGTTTGAAAAACGCTTCGCAAACTGCACGTTTCTATTCAGCGCGATATCCAAATAGACGGACTTTCTAAAACTAGAGTAGTCATTTTGACAGATAGAAATTTGTCAAAAATAAAAATACGATTACTATGTTTAACTAATTAAAACAAAATATTTTAATATCCACGTTATCTATGAAATGTAATGTTAATTGCTTCAAAAAAATTTTCAGGCTCATGATTACTCGTGGGACAGCCTGTACAAGCAGTACCTTACTTTTTTAAGTAATATTAATTTACTAGAATTGTTAAACTGAAAGTTTTTATATTTTTTTGTGAAAACGTTACTACGATAGTTTTGTCAGTTAGTTAATTACTTGTACAGTCAACAAATTAATTTTAAAATACTTTTCAAAAATATAGCTTATAGACATTTGCAACAATCATCAAAACCAAAAATGGTGGATGCGCCGGGACAAAGGTCTATACAATTACAAATGTCTTGCCTATGCTAGAAGTAACTATGATATTTATGTAGATACTTATCTCATAAAAATACTTCTTATCAATTATAAAAGTAGTATGTAAAATGTCAGTTCTACCGCAAACTCAGAAAAGTATAATTTATTAAAGAAAATTCCTACATTTTTAAGGTAACTCAAAAAGTAAATATTTTGAGCAAAACAACCAGATTTCCAAAGGTAAACAGAAAAAATCGTGAAGACAACCACAATTTTCAAGGTAACTCAATAAACGTTAACTTTTCAAGCAAAACACCCCTATTTTCCAGGGTAACCAAAAAAGCAAATATTTCAAACTAGTTAAACAAGGGTAAACAAAACAGTACGATTCTCGCACAAATTATAGAAGTATATTCTTAATAAATTTTTTCACTAATAAATGGAGCAACAAGATGAGATAATATTAAGAAAATGTTCTATCTGCAAAATTATTAAACCTCATTAAAATTTTGTTAAAAGTAAAAATCAAAAATATGGAATTGGATACACATGTTATGACTGTAAAAAACGACAAAATGATAAGTTCACTTGTAATATATGCTTTATGGAAGTACCAGCACGCTATAAAAAAAACATTTTAAAAATATATGGCATGAAAAATTAGAAAAATATATAAGTGACTTAAAACGTGAATTGGAAAATTCGGACGAAACGAATTTGGCGAATACCCAAACGGTATACACCCCAGAAAAAAGATTCAAACTGCTTACAATAAAAAAGTACCGGTTTCTTTACAACTGAAACTAGCTGACCTATCCAACGGTAGTTATTCAATCTTTTTACACAAAGACAAATTACGAAAATTGAGAAATCTAAAAAAGATAAAAAAGGTTGTAGAATAACAATGACTTTTGATCAATTTAAGCAAAATCATACTGGTGGATTTCTACCCCTATTATTTGCAGGTTTAGGTGCTTTAGGTGCTTTGGCAGGAGCAGGAGCTGCAATAGCAAATTTGGTTATAAATAAGAAAGCAAAAGATAAAGAATTGGAAGAACAAAAACGGCATAATAAAGCAATGGAGAGAAAAGGACTAAGCAACAAAAAAAAAACTGGCAAAATCAAGAAGAAATAATTCCCTTGTCCAATTTTGATATACTAAAACTAGTTGATAATTTGAAAATAAAAAATTTTAGAGGTGTTTTTATGAAAAATGAATTACCATCCAAACCAAATAAAAACGAATGTGGTATTTTAAATCTAAAAAACTAAGATAATTTGTGGTATAATGAAGAAAGATATCAAAATTATGACGATCCACCTATCTGTGGTCATTTGTGTTTATTATTTCTACAAAATCTACAATATTTTTTATAAATACATGAAAGCTGTTTTTACAAAATATTCATTATGAATATGTAAATTTTCAACCAGACTCAATTTTAAACTTAAATGCTGTTAATAGGAAAACAGTTGTGGGTGATAAATTTATTGGACCTCGATTTCAGTACTATATAACTGGTAAAGTTGTACAAAAAAGTAATGATCATGATTTTAATGCTGATAATAAAGTTACGTTAAGTGACAATTTTCCAGCACATTTATTTACTCAGATAGAGGTTAAAAAACATGATAAAATGTTAGATCAAATAGAATATGTTGGAGTACTATAAAAGGAACAATAAGTTATTCACTGGATAATAATGGTCTCACAATTAATTCTGGTTTTCAATCAGAATATGAATCACAATTAAAAGATTTTTCAGTATTTGAAAATCTGGCTAATTTTGGTTTAGGGTTCTTTAAAGACGTACAACATCCAATATTTAAAGGTGGTTTTGAAATAACTTTTACAAGAAACAGTGATGATAATGCTATATGTAAAAAGCCAACTGATCCAAAAGCAAAAATAATTATAGAAGATTTTATTATTAGAGCTCCAATAATTACCTATCTGACCAAAGTTGAATTGATTAACGAATTAAAAGTATTATCACAAAATAAACAAAGCATATTTATGTTTAGATCCTGGCAATGTATTTAGAAGAAAAATATATCAGGAAAAACAATATCCATCAATATAACTAATATTTATAGGAATGTCCACAATCCATTATTCGGAATTAGCGGTTTTCAAGTAGATAGAGAAACAAATAATGATCAGTCAAAATATTGTAGCTTATTTAATCATTGCAATCTTAAAAATCTTTGGTTTGAAGTTGATGGTATTAGATATCCAGAAGAAATGTTAAATTTAGATTGAGATAGAAATATGTATAATATTGCTTACGCCATTTTAACTCATTATAAAAAAGTATGTGGTAAAACATTTAATAAATTACCTCTGATGTATGTAAATCCTAAGCAGTTTAAGAACGCAAGACCTTTTATCCCAGTTGATCTTACAAATCAACCACAAAATACAAGTAGATCTAGAAGTAATATTATTTTACATGGTGATTTTGATAAGGCACTTCTGAATTTCTTTATGATATTGTTAATAACACTTTTAGTGAATCAATCTGAGTTTTTTATTATTAAATGGGTAATAGCTATTTTACTAAATGCAGGAAAAAAAACTAAAAATGTTAATCCACAAGTTGTAACAACAAAAAATAATAGAAAACGATTAAAGTCAAAATGCGCGGTTTGTGGTAGAACGAAATCAGAATTCGTACGATAGTTTATAAAATAATTTTTCATATAAATGGAAGGTAACATATTTGAAAGTGAATGAAATATTTACTCTTTGTTGTAAAACAAACGGTGAAGAATTTAATTTTTTTATAACACACGATGAGCATATTGAATTGCTACGAAAAGTTACTGTTATTTTACTTACAAAATTACCTCCAGAAGTAGCGCAAAAACATCTGAATAACTTCTTAAAATTCGTCTAATTAATTATAATTAACAATCGTGTTGGATAAATCGGACTGTATTGTTTACCCTTGTTGAACTAGTTTGAAATATTTGCTTTTTTGTTTCCCCGGGAAAATCGGGGTGTTTTGCTTGAAAAGTTAACATTTATTGAGTTACCATGAAAATTGTGGTTGTTTTCACGATTTTTTCTGTTTACCCTTGGAAAGCTGGTTGTTTTGCTCAAAATATTTACTTTTGAGTTACCTTGAAAATCTAGGTGTTTTCCTTAAAAAATTATACTTTCCTGAGTTTGCGGTAAAACTGACATTTTACATACTACTTATAAATAATAATTTCCAAATAATCAAAAAATATAATTTTTATATTAACTTACATATTAAAGTTTTCGTTCATTTATCTTTTATTTATTTATTTTGATTTTATTCTTTAAGTTTTTGGTAATAATACAAACTTTGTTTACAGTGCAAAATAGAAATGTTTTTGTTATAGTTTATTAATGAAAATACGAAAATTTGAAGAGTTGATAAGGAGAAAACAGATTAGTTAATTAGTTCATGGATAATGTTATTTATTATCATACCTAAAGTATTTTTTGCAAAAATATTAGTTAAAACATTTTTAATGTCAATATCAGTGAATAATACAGAAACAGATTGCAAAATAAATAAGTAATTTCATTATTTCCTCTGCGCATGTAGGTAATGACACTATTTACACATTATTTATTTTTTATAACTCACAATAAATTTAATCTAAATAGGGTTATACATATTAATCACAAGTGACTATTTATTCAATGATAAGATAAACATCTTACAAATTACCTATATATTTTATTCAGGTGCCCAAAATGAAAGTAATATTTTTACTCACCTTTGTGGTAAGTGAATTATAAAAAACATATAAAAATAAACATTTTACAAATTATATATTTTATTCAGGTGCCCAAAATGAAAGTAATCTTTTTACTCACCTTTGTGGTAAGCGAATTATAATAATTACTTTTTAACAAAGAGTCATTTAAATATTTTTAAATAAGCTTAAGCCAATTTAATTGCAATCAATTTTCAAAATCGTTAAATAACTTTTAAATGACGGCGCAATTCTAATTACAATTATGAATTAAATTTCCAATCCGATTCCTTGTACTTTCTTTCTTGCTCTTGTTCTAGATTTTCGTTGTACATTCACAATATTGTGAACCAAAAGACGAATTTTTAAACAAGAATTCCTCGGAATGGGATCTTTTTATGGAGAAGCTTGATGAAGTTACATTTAAAACAAATTATACAGCATTTTGTAAGATAAACACTCACAAAGAAGTGGTCGTCAATGCGAGTTCACCTATTTTATGGGAATTACGGTGAGTAATATAAACACAAAATAAAAAAAAATCATGTAGTTTTAATTTTTGAAAAAATATAGATTTGATATATATAACAAAAGACAACAAGAAGAAAATAAGACAATCGAACAATGTTATTCCGAAAATAAAGGAGAAACAACTTGCGATATTCAGGGCTTCCAAGAGTGCATGAAGAATGCAAGAAAAGCTATGCTTCAAGATTTAAATTCTGAATGGTGGAAGAGCGAAATTCAAAAAAAGTTAGAAGAAGAAGCTGAATTATGTTGATGAGAAACATTTATTATTATTTAATATTATGATGTCTTTAAATCTAAAAACTTAAAATAATTAAAAATACGTATATTAAAAAAACTTTCTTAAAAGCTTGCTCTGTTTTACAAAAAAAGTAAAAAACATTTTTTAAGTTATTGTAATAAATTGTTTTTGTAAAAGGTCAAGCNGATGTGTTTGCTTTGTGTTTAGATTTAATTTGTTTCTGTTTTTTGTTATATTGTTCTATGTTSTTTGATTTTTTGTTATGTTTAATTATTGTTTCACCAGTGAGAAATTTTATTTGATTCCTAATTGTGTTTACACCATTTTTATTCTGTTTAGCAAACTCTTTTAAGGTAAAAGCTTGCTCTGTTTTACAAAAAAAGTAAAAAACATTTTTTAAGTTATTGTAATAAATTGTTTTTGTAAAAGGTCAAGCGTTAACCTTAACCATTAATAAAATAAATTGATTATTATTTGTTATTTATAAAAACAAATAAAAYGGTTTATATGTTCCGTTAACATYAAGACCTCATATTATATATAAGAATTTAAAAAAGTTATATTTTTGTTCCTTTTATTTACACYAAATTAAAAATAACTGTCATGTTTTTAGTATTGCGGATCAACAACTCTTCCTGCAAAAAGAATCACACCTTTGACTTGAATATAAAACAAAAAGGGATGATTTGCTTTAAAATCTTTGTCAGTACGTGGAGGTCCAGACATCGTAAAAACTGAAAAAAAAAWWTATAAAAAAATCTTTTGGGTACACAACCATACTTAGATTCGTAGCAGCTGCTGCTTCAACACCATYCTTGTTAACATCAATATAACTCTTTTGTGTAACCCCTCCCACAACAAGCTCCCCTTTYTCTCCAGCAATTCCACTAAAATCGGCTTCACCGTTCATAAAAGCCTTCCTAACACCTAACTGCAATCAAAATCAGTATTTTCATAGATTTTCTGCACTCTTACCTTTTGTAAAATTATTTTAAAATCAATCGTACTTTCAATTTTGAATCGTGGTAACTCTATGTTAATAATAACAGGTTGAAATTGATGTTCCTTGAAAATTTTATCTGTTTGTTCTTCAAGCTTGCCGAGCCCGTCTATATCATTTGGTAACACAAAAACCATATGGGCATCTTCTCCTTTGAATGGAACTTTCAAGAATTGGGCTTTTAGTTCTTTATCTTCATAAAGTTGATAAGAACCGCCAAGATCCATCATGAATTGAGTTTCGACCTTGTCAGTGGCTGTTTTATAAAAAGTTTTATTTAAATAAGAATATTTGTGAAAATCTCTGGAAGCCCAAGGTGCTTTAAAATAAAGGGCATTTATCATAACAGAAGGACTGCCACGGAGACTATCAGRCTGTATCAGATTTTTTATTTTATGGTTTGTCTGATTCTCAACCCACTGGTTCATAACCCTGGCAGCTTCTWCACCTTTGGAAAAATCAATATTTTCAACCTCWGAATGGTACGTATCCGTTGCAATTTTCTTAAAATCATCTCTAATAGAAAAATTTTCTTGAAGATAAATCTTGTTGGCAGTATGAAGAGAGTAGTGTTCAGTCCCCTTAAAAAGCAAAAAAAATTTTTTGAAAGCAGTTTGAGTTTTTTGATCAGAATTGGGTAAGTGGAGAGCAGTTTGGATTTCTGTAGCTGTCTCATCTTTGGCACCAGACTGAGCCAAAGCTAGAACTACTTCAGCAGAAAGGGGACTCACTAGAARATTGTTCTGTTCATTTTTTACACTTTCCTACAAGAAATCATAAAATTTTTAAATAATTTTTGAAGAACTCACTTTATAAACAGCARAAGTAAACAAATGATTGGCTTCTACAAATTCTTGAGAGGCCACATTCGCCACATAAGTGGCAAAAATTACTAAGAATATAAGAAAAGCAGTAACCTTCATTGTGACTTTAAAATATAATAAATATCTTGTTGCTTGGGATGTGTTTGTTATCTAAATAAATCCATAATAAAGGTCAAGTCAAAAAAAAATATTCGAACTTCCCGCACATTGCGCACGTGTATTTTCGACCAATCACAAAGCTTCATTTCGCGCCTTTTGTTTGTGAATAAACATGTCTACCGGCTATTCTTTCGAGTCGAGATGTAGTTCGAAAGTTCCTCTGCTTAAATTGTTGTGCCATATTGTTTTTATATCATTTTTTGTTATTGTACACCTTTATATTGTTTACGTTGTTTGAATTAGAAATGGAAGATCTTCCATTAACACAGACGCAGGAGGACATCGTAGCCTCCCAAGAACTAGATGAAATAAGGAGACCATGGGGGCGACTGTGTGCTTGTATTTCATCAATGATGTCTATCGGTGAGTCTTCTTCAATGCGGGCTTTTAACTTTTACGAAATTCTAGATTTGTTTGAACCGGTATATACTTTTGGAAGAGCCCCCAGTTGCGATATTTTTGTCGACGAAAGACAGTTCCCCACAATTTTAAATGTTAGCAAATTCCATTTTAAGTTGTCGAGAGAAGACAACGATTTGATTTATATTACAGATCTAAGCAAAAACGGAACATTTATAAACAAAACAAAAATTGGTAAAAATAACAAATGTGTTATTTGCAATGACGATGTCATTGCTATTGGACAACCCAGTATTATAGGTATTAGCGAAAGTCAAGTGTAACACAAAACATAACATTTTGCTCAGCTTACAGTTTCATATGCGATATCAATCGTGAAGATTTCGAGTTTCTACCTCGAGAATTACGCCAAAAATACACTATTACAAAGCTTTTAGGAAAAGGTTCTTTTGGCCAAGTTCGCTTAGCGACTGATAAGGTTTATTTTTTCATGTTTGTTATGTTTTAACTACCTGTAATTGTAGCATACTCTGGAACAATTTGCTATAAAACGAATTGATAAACCAAGGTCCAGTATCTCAACGCGTCAGAGGGGTAATTCCACAAGTATTAAAACCGAAGTTGAGATACTAAGCTCGTTTAGTCATGTAATTTTGAGCTGTTAAAATTCTGTAAAATAATTGCGAAATTTTAGGCCTTTGTTATTCAAATGAGAGAAGTTTTTGAGACTGAGAATGAGGTTTTCTTAGTTTTAGAATATATGAGTGGTGGGGAACTCACAAGTAGAATTCGTTCATCTTTACCGCTACCTGAGTGTGAGGTGAAGTTTATTTTTTATCAAATCTTACTTGGAGTGAGATATTTACATTTAAATGGGGTTACACACAGGGATTTGAAAGTAAGACAACCACATTTGTAAAATGCATATTTAGTCTTGTCTTGTAGCCTGAAAATGTGCTTCTGAGTACACAAAATCACTATCCCGCAATAAAAATCACAGATTTTGGATTAAGCAAAATCATGGACGACATAAGTGTGATGGAGACTGTCTGTGGGACTGTTCAATACGCTGCACCTGAAGTTTTGCGATTTTTTGAGCCCTACAACAGAAAAGTTGATGTTTGGAGTCTTGGAGTGATTCTGTTTTACATGCTGAGTCGAAAACAGCCCTTTGCGTAAGTATTATTGTTTATTAAAAAATTGTAAACGAGTTCTGTTAGAAATCTGAAAATTATTTATAAAAATGTACAGTTGCTATAATTGGACTGAAATTTTAAATATATAGGCCTCGCTACGCTCTGTTCGTCCACTGTCAGATAAAATAATGTGAGTAATAGAACTTAATAGAGTAATAGAAGTAGAAAACTGACTGCACTAATTGTTATTATTTTATCCTAAAGCTATTTTACCACGTTTTATATTTCTGCTAGTTTAATCTCTGTAGCTTTAAAATAAATATATTGTGATTTCTTTTTAATATTCGTTTTGCAGTGGTTCCAGTAGGGAAGAAGTTGCGCAAAACATTGTAGCGGGTAAAATAACATGGGATAATAAAGCCTGGAGAAGTATTTCAGAGTCGGCCAAGGATCTGGTGAAATCTATGATCACCGTGAACCCAGTTTTTCGCTGTGCAATTGTAGATGTTTTCAATCATGAGTGGATTGCAAAGGTTTTGTAAGATTTTTTACGACTTGGATAAATTTTGTTTTTAGGATCGTGAGACCAGAAGAAAGGTTGATGAAATGATTCAAAGTTCTGAAGAATCTATCTACCTATCTGCCGACTCGGACGACAGCCTCCAATTACCAAAGAGAAGAAGGATCTCTTTCTGAATCTTTATATTAATAGTATTATCATTTATTTTTGTTTGTTTTATGTTTTGTATTTTTTTACATGTTTGTTTTACTTTTTCATTTAATTATATTCTATATTTATCTTGAAATGTGTTTCATTGGGATTTGGGATTGGTTTTAAATCAAACCTTTATTCTATTATAATTTATTAATTTTTATTTCTGGTATATGTAATAACAAGTTTGTAATAAATAAAACAAAAACTAATACCATTTTAAAAAACTTAGTCTTACTAAATGATCACAAGATCGTTATTTATAATACAAAAAAGAAATTGTGCGTATTATTTGATCTTACGTTTTTGTAAAAAACGCAAATAAAAATCAGTCTTGTACAAAACACAATTGGAACTCACACAACTCATATATTTACACAAAAACCTTACACGTTCAAACCACACACGCGGCTAGGAATAAGTCTAAAGTTCACTCTTCTATCGATATTTTACTTCCTACTATCTTAATAAACCAATAATCAGGAAGGATTTTCTGTTTCTGAACCATCCGCTAAGAGTTGTTGCGAGTTTGCTGAAATAAAAAAGCATAATGTAACAAACTTCAATGTAAACAAATGAGAAATAAGCAAAGAAACCCGCCACCTAGCCCAATAAAAAAATCACATACACTATTCGGTCGTTTGATTAGATACAACATCTCCTTGGCCAGCAGTGTCGTAATCCGAAACCTCTGCACAAAGCAAGTTTCATTAAAACAACGCTTAAAACTAGACCAATCAGAAAGAGATTTGAAATGTTTATTAAAGTAAAATAATTACATTCTACGAGATATAGGATAATTGGTTAAAGTCATGGCTATTTCATACAGAACACTACTTTTCTGATTAGTCACTAATAAAACCACCCCTTTACTTTTTGCAATTATTGAAAAAACACTCACCCTGTATTGCTTTTTCAACTTTATGTTTATCTTGTAATATATACAAGGCATTGATGAGGAAGAAGAAAGCTCCCAGGATTTCAACGAAACACGTCGTAAATAAAGCGTATTGGAGTGCTTTAAAATCATTTCCGTTGCTCTTTGACGAATTGTTGAGCATTATTAAAACGGCTTCGGAAATCTAAACACAATTAAGTTAAAACAATGGTGCAAAAAATACACAAATGACTTACAACTCCGATTAAGTAAGGACTTCCGGCATCCCCCAAGGCGTGTGATACCAAAAGTTGGAACCCTTCAGCGGTCGATCTTCGTGTAGGCAACACAACATACTGTAAGGTCAGACTTTTAGTATACCACCAATACAAGAAAATAACATAAAGTGTAAGAAAGACAGCAGTGTCATAAAATATTTGATGAGAAATGACTGCAATGTTTTTAAAATGGGTGAGATGATAATGAAATGTACTATCTGACTAAAGTTTAACGGTCGTTTCAGCTCGACGTTCTATACTTAAACTACTAGGAATCTACCGTTTCTTATAGTTGTGTCATAAGTTTTTGCAGTTAGTTCTAAGCGGCAGTAACGAAAACAGAAAAAGAAACCAAAATAAAGATAAGCAAAGTTATTGCAGTCTATCTCACAAATTTTTTATACGGTTATCGACTTTAAATGAACCAAACATCATATTTTCAAAACATCTCTTGCATAATTTAGCCTAAATATAATCCGCATCACTGGAAATTTTATGACGTTCTGAGAAATCGGGGACCTCAATTCCATTAAAATCGACAATCAACTTTTTCCTGCATAAAAAAAACTTGAATTTGAATGACAAATATTATTACCAAAATGTTTATTTATAAACCTACGTCTCTGGGGTATTTTCGAAAGCTATAAGTTATGATTGTTACTTTTTTCTTTAAGTTCAATAATATTGTTTGTTATTAGTGTCATAATAATTTTCTACCAACTGTTTATTCACAATAGCCTTTATTTACCTCTAAAATTGAAGGTCTAAATTTAGGTAACTTCTCTAACGCTGAAACAACAATTTTTGAAAATATGACGTTAAAAGTAAACTTGGATCTCAGAACGGAGTTCATTTGTATCTGCACAACCTTCAAAACAGTATGACAATATTTACTTTAAAGCTTTTGCTTAGTAGTTTTGAAGCTCTTTTGTTAGTTGAAAGATACAAACGAATTCACACTCTTCTTATCTAGAACAGCAACAAACTTTTCTCTTTTTTCCTACATTGCGAGTAAGGCAATATCTACAAAGCGATTAATTTGTGCAAAGAGCAATGAAACACAGTGCAAACACAAAATGTAAGAAATAAAATAAAACAAAAAAAAACTAAAAGGTTGAATAGAAAAATTTAGTCAGGTGTACCACAACCAATTAAGATAAAATTAAACACGTAATAAACCGAATCAGGATAATTAATTAATTTTTTCTAACACAAAAGTTCGAATGTGATTCTTTTTTTGTTTCTTACCAGCAAAATATCACTGACAATAGACCAATTGAGATTCAACGCAACCTGTCCTAGGAACAAAAGTACGTAACAGAGGACGATGTTATAGGTGACTGCGAAGGTGGTTCCTAGTAGTAACGGTGCTGATATAAGTAGTCCCGCTGCGCATATGATGGGATCAACCCTGGGATACTTCGGTTTGAGAATTTGACTTAAGTAGCATCCCAGAGTTAAACCAACTAAGCCCGCCAGTATCGTTATCGCCCCGAATATAAACGTCGAGCTGAAACATCACGTAATATCGGTCAACAGGGGCGGCCCAAACTACACACACATATGTTTGTCGAACAAATACAAGCTGAGTTTGCCGCCGCCGCCCCCACGACTCACGGTTCTTACCAGCAGGATGTCGGCCACGATCGACCAGGTGAGGTTTAGGAAGAATTCACCGAAAAATACGAAAGTGAAACAAAGACTGAGGCTGTACGAGGCGGAGAGGCAAGCGGCGAACACCATAGGAGTCGACAATAAAAGGGCAATGCCGCACAAGTGGGCGTCGATACGGGGGTAACGGTGGCGCAAATGTTGCGCCACGAGACTGCCCGCCGGGACGCCCAGGATGCCCGACACCATCGATACCACGCCGAATTTATACGACACACTAAAACACAAACCAAGTAAGCAGTGGAATTTACAAAGCCAGACATTGGTCACAACTAATTTCTTCATTAAATGACGCTACCATATTGTGAGAAGAGAGACAAGACAGACTTATTATATTATATTTCCATAAATCCTTTATCATAATAAACTAGACATTTCAACCGCCTTTTATACAAGACGTCCCATCAAAAACTTTGTTAGTGGATCATACTTCAAATTTAAAACACTGGCAATTATAGAAAAAAAAAGAAAGAAAAAATATTTTTTGTGGGACACAAATAGCAAATGAATCAATCAATAGTGTGTCTATGTGGTTCACATGACCAGATAATTAAAAATTATAGTAGAGGGCGACATTTCGAATGTTTCATGAAATTTTTGGTTTGAAAAAATTAAAAAAGAGCAGCGCAATCGTTTTTTTTTATCGTTAAAATTCTGCACGATTTCACTGTAATTAATATATTGATTATCAAAGTATTCAATGACAATAAACAGTTAAATTCTTTGCAACAAAAAGTATTCTCACTATCTTAATGAAACATGAAATAATCTCGTATACTGTGTCATTAGCCATTATATTATTTTTTGCATACCATTCAATGTGTATGTGTAACTATTTTCACTCCTTTAATAGATTTTATCTTACTGATATCTTAAGTGTTAAATCAAAAAAATATATATGCAACTTTTTATAAACAAACCAGAAACTAATCAGGAAATTCTTTATACAGTGAACGGTAAAATTATGGAATAATTTTATTAAAACTGAAAATATTTTGTTTTTGCAAAAATGCTCAAACAGGTCACTTTTCTTTTAAAAAATACACAATTTTCAACTTGATTTATTTCAATTCAATTCGATAACACATAATTTTCGAAATGGTAACACCAAAATATTAAATATTACATAACAAAGTTTTCGAAAAAAAAAATCATTCAAAAAGTGAAAAACGTAAATTTTAATATTAACAAGCCAAAAAGTGTAAAACTTTAAATCAAGTTGAGAATTATGTATTTTTTTAAAAGGAAAATAGCATTCGAGCATTTTTGCCAAAACAAAATATTTTCATTTTACTAAGATTATTCCATAATTTTGCCGCTCACAGGTGCGCCAGAACTCGCGCCCCAGAGAAAATTTTCAAGTAAGGTAAGAACCAGGAACACAGAAAAAATGTTTAAGAAATTCTATCTGTCATTTTTTTATGTCTATTTAATGATACTGATGATCTTGTATATGTTTTTTTACAATTACAAAGTACAAAAATTTTGTCAATAAAAGCCACAAATAACATTAAACAGAGTTACAATTTAGGATATAGCTTCCTTGTTTGCTCTTCTAATAGCTTGTAGCAAAAAAACTTGGAAAATTATTTTTCCAACGAAATAAATACAGTCAAAGTGCAAAATTTAAACCCACATAACTTCGAAATTTTTATATATATATATATAATTTTTTTAACATGTTTTCCATGTTCCTGGTATCTTACCTTATATGGCATTTTTCTCTGGGGTGCAAGTTCTGGCGCATGTATGTATAACCGTTCAGTTGAGAAAAAGTGTGTATTTTTTTTTTTATAAATAACTAGGAATTTTCTACCGGCCAATGCCTCCACTGCTCTTCAAAAAAACTCATATTACTGTCCTTTGACAATAAAGATAATATTAGGACGTTACAATAATAACACTAAACTTCACTAATCCTTTGGATCAATACAGTAACCAACACATGTGAAAATCGACAGCTAAAGCGAAAATGTAAATACACTCCGAGTACTAAGTAAATCTTGAATATTTTTATTTTAAATTATTACAGTTCGATGTTCCAGTCATTGTTCACATACTCATAAAATGAACTTGAAATATTTATTTTTGCCGTTTTAGTGAGTAAGTCTTAAAATAGCACAATTTTGCCTCGGAATGCCTTTGTTGGATTCCACAATCATCCAGTTGCTTACAACAATTTTTCTACCAATTGAACAAATACAAAATGCCAACATAGTTGCACACATGTACCACAAAAACCTTATTAACGATACAAGAAAACTTTAAATGCTATAAATGCCGCTGTTATTTATTGCTCGCTCATTACTTCGAATGAATTAGAGCCATATATTATCATCTTAGGAAATTCAAGCACACGACAACGTTCTTAATGGACTTGTCGTGTTGATGCGCTTGACCCTTACTTTTTCCTATCATTTCCTTCGAACTAATTTTAAAGTTGAAGGTGACGTATTCTCGACTTGCCAAATATTCAGTTCACGGTCCCTGATCTTAATTACTTACAAACCTTACCTGTTACTATCCACGCTGCTCGCATGCGGCTGTAGCTTAAGCCCCATTTCGATAAATTTAGGTCCCCACCAAGCCAACGCTCCGGCTACGAAAGTAACACACGTGAAACCCGCAGTCGAAATCATGAAACTTTTACTGTGAGAAAAGAAAAATTGATTATGGGATTTAATCGCAATGATTATAAGTTACTTTTTGACTAAATCTTTCAAATCTTCAGTCCATGGAGTCGTTTGAATGTGACTACTACCCTCACTTTGACCTCTTTCTGGATCACGAAGAGCAAAGAGAATGAGAACTACGGCAATACCGCCAAGAAATGGGGTCACTCGTAAGCCCCACTGCCACGTTCCTGCCAATTTGGCTGTTTCTGAACCGACGATGTAGCCCATACCGCTGGAAAAATAAATATTGTGTGCTTTTGGTGCGGTTTCCGGCGTCTTTGTCGGTATTTTTAAAGTTTGACAATAAATAATTTTAATTACCTTCCCACCGGAATGGCAAAATAAAAAAATGCCAGCATTTTCGACCTGACATCGCCGACGAACAAATCGCTGATAATCGTCGGTGCAATAGTCGAATAACTCGCTTCACCTATTCCTACTAACGCTCTGAACAACAGGAAGAACCAATAATCCTAAAGATACTCATTTAGTCACAAAAATCCCCTAAAATCGCCCTACTTACTCTCATAAAGGAACCAATCAAAGTGGTAAGACTCCAAAGGAAGACCCCGAAAGCCATGATTTTTTTCCTGCTATACCTGTCTCCCAAGTAGCCAAATATGGGAGCAAAAATCATATAACTTAAGACGAAAGCCGTCTGCAAAAGCCCTCCTTTATCATTTTGCACGTTGAAATATTTCTGAATGTCTTCTAAAATGCCTGTAACAAGAGAAAAACATTGAGGTCATAATTCAAATTTTTAATCAAGCGGAAACGTAAATGTGAGTTCTCTCCAGTCATCTCGGCTTATTACATCAGGGACTCCCTGATGCTTGTGGCGTGACCCCGCGGCCACACGTGCCACTTCAATCGAGAACCCCACAATCACGGTTCATTACGACGGTTAACAGGAGGAGAAAAAACAAGTGTCGAGTCGTGATATTTACATATTTTCGATTAATCGTATCCAGATGGTGAATTTTCTAAGATTCATTCATGAAGTTTTTGGAAAAAATTGTGAGATGTGAATAGACGTCGCCAGATACATGTTTATACCAGACTTTATGTGGGTGGGCGACTGTCTTTTCTCGAGACACGAAATGCAACACTTAGATCAACAGATACATAGACGATTCTCGAGGGGACGTTCTTTGCAAATGGGGTGCGTTTTGGGGTTTACTTCCACTCTGCTTTTCAACAATTTAATCAAAACTGACGTATTTTTGTAATAATACAGAGAATCTCAAGAAAAAAAGAAAAAAATATGAGCACGAGCACTGCAAATCATTTTCTTGTCCCATTTTTCATAAACAAATCGTCTCATCAAATTTTTATAAATGCATAGCAAATCTGGGGTCAACATAAAATCGATTTCAGTTTATTTCACGCTTGGTTTTGATCAAATGGTAATTCGAAATGTGTTGAAACTGGACAAAAGTATCGACTCTGTTATCGCTACCAACGTGCACAGTTATTTTACACACACGATAATGACTTTTCTAGTAATTAAAGTTTCATACACTGGATCGCATTTCAAATTAACGAGCGTACTTATTTACTAAAATTTGAGTAATACAAGATTATTAATCGAATATAAGTATAAAGTACCCATCAGGTAAGTACATTTTTGTACAACTATAATGGTTAGCTGAACATATCGTAAGATAATGATCTACAATTACAGTCAACTGAGATTTATGCATACAAGACTTAAGCTTTATCTAAGTGCATAGTAACTATTCTTAATAACAGACATGTCAACTCATGAAAATTCCCATTCAACTACTACTCTTGTTTAATCAAGTTTTGTATCTTGTCACATCTAATCCTGCTTGGAATTTCATTGTCTTAAGAAAGAAACAATTTTAATTTTATGAACATAAACTAAAAATTCCAGACTGACATTATATTGTATATCAATAAAAAATATGAAAATAATTTTATATAATTACACACAAGAGAATAATTACATAATTATTCACAGTGATGTCGTGTGTCTATAAAAAAATATGTAAACACAGAATTCTGTTGTTTCGATTTCATTTCGTTTCACCTTAGAACACGCGGTTCAGCCACGGAACTACGCCCCCATATTTGGCTGGGCCACGATGGATCCAAAGTTTTTTAAGGTGGCCTAAGTAAATCGTATACAGAGTGATTCTTAAATAGACCGACAAAATTTTATCACAGCTTCCCAAGGATAAATGGAGACAAACTGTACCCTTTTTACGTTTGTATCTTTTAGGGGCAAAACCCCCTTGATCCGTGCCACTTACGGCGTTTATGAATTGTTGCAATGATCAAATACATTTTTATCAAGTTAATACCATGGTTTCCACTACCTGTCCTAATACTATTTAGAAACACATCAGTGGCGTACGCTTTACCTCGAAAATATCTTTAATAAATTATATTTAGAGAATGTTTACACAATTAATTTTTTAAACATTTTTTCTAGCATGTTCTCATTTGATACTACCAAGGATAAAATTTTGTCGGTCTATTTAAGAATCACTCTGTATGTTAGGATAAAAGCCGATAATAATAGGCACCATGTTTTAAAAACCAGCAAAAATGTTTTAAAAACTTACAAGTTAGTGAAAAATGGCTCAGGAAATGATATTTCTGTAAAGTAACTTATATTAAAGTTGTATAAACAGTAAATTTTATTTTTATGTTTTTTTAGTTTTGAAGCAGGTGGGTCAAAGGGTGGGCCGTGGCCCCCTGTAGTTACGTGCTTGATGCGGTTAAAATTAAGTTGATTACGTTAAAAAAAAAATTATTGGTATGTTCCTCACTTTTTTGTTTTTTCTTTTTTAAAATTTGTTCAAGAGTCAAATAATGCTAACCCTTAAGATTATCCAATTAAGTATTGTATAGTGTGACGCAAACGACCAATGGTAATAGAACAGAAATTGAATAAACCAAAAGAGAAAATTGTTGTGTTCCATTTATCTCTCATCTCATCAAAAATAAACCAAATGCACTTAATTCCAAGCATCCTGTCAAAACCTCTATGAAAGGGTAAATTTATCGAACGCAACACATGAATAATTCATTGATTTTAAATTAGGTTCGATAAATTTCGTAATGAAATTTTTTGTTGCAGCTGAAACCCTCATGATAGATGACTTTCAGATCGAATCCGCCTCCCCCAAAATGACAGCAATTTTCCGTCAAACGAGCTGTTTACTGAAACTTCCTCTGTCCGTAACACTCGCAATGTAATTGCCTGTTTTCAGCTGACAACGGGGGCTGTTCTTGACAAGCTCTGGAGGGTATGTCGATGACACGTAATAAACCGGCGACGTTTTTCAGCCCTCTTTATTTTCATGCAATCAAAATTTCAACGTCCGGCAAGCCTCGAGCTACGCGTCTTGAATAACAACAGGGTGGACCTGTTTGATTTATCATTGCGTTATTTTGTAGGTTTATCTCACCTACTTGTTACGTTGCCCAAGCGTCAATAAATATTTGTTAGAGATAAGGTGTAAGAATGTCGCAAGTCAAAACAAAGAATTTTCGCACCGCAGATTTTCGAGATTATAAATCTCCAAAAATAGTACGTCGATGACACGATTCAAAATAAAATCTCGTCATATTTGAGTCATCTTCTCAGATTGTTTTCACACCGGCAATTCCCAAGCTCCCTTGGGCTTGGGGCAAAGTTGAACAGTATCTCTGCATAATATATAAATCAAAAGTGTGATTACTAACCCGTCAAGACGCCACGGTTATATTCAGAGAAAAACATTGTGTACAGCAAGAAAAAGGTTGATGAACTAAAGCTACATTGTGTGATTTATTAAAAGTCTGGAGCTCGAGTGTAAAATTTTTAAAAAGATTCACTCGCAAAATTTTCAAACTAAATTGAAACAAATTAAAAAACCAACACAGACGCCCCACATTCGTTGAGGTTTCTGAACATAAGGCTTCAAGCTCGCATCCGCCACGTAAACAAACCATTGTAACCATAAAACCCTTTCAGTGTATCCATAAAAGCTATCAATCAACCGCAAATGCGCCTGAAAAAAAAACAATTCTTAAATACCGCCGCCACGAACATCCCTCCATAACCCCAAAAAGTCTACGCCGACTCAAGTTCTATGCATAGCTCGGCTTTTATTTATAGTTTCTTTAATGTGGAACGATGCCGGGGCAATTAAGAACGTTTTATCGCTTATTTCGGGAGCAGATCTACGACTATGACCCATGAAAGCAAATGGATGGTAGGTGGTGAAGTACAATGACCAGAAGGTTGCAAAGGCGTAATGAATCAGCGTGAGACGAGGAGTGTTATCTTCAAAATTGATTCATCAACGAATTCTTCTGAGTGAATTTTCTACTACTAGAGAAGAAATGAGCAATGCCAAGAGCAATAATTTTATAAATTATCTACACTTGCTGATCCTCAAAGTCTGCCAAGCATGAGAATAATTCGAGTTGTTCGAGACGAAAGAATGCGGATTGGGTTCGTAAAACCGTTAAAAAAGCAAGATTCGGTTTCGTTGCCGGTGACTTTCGATCAGGTGAGTGCTTTCGCAGATCGAAAATTTTTAAGTAAATAGAAAAATCATATGACATCCTTACGCTCAACGAAGTTTAACTTTACAGTTTAAATAATCCAGACAATTTTAATAATTTTATTAATAACGATTTTATTTACATAATAGTGCCAAGAAAACAAGAGACTTCTGATGACATAACTTGTTTTTCTCAGACTCAACAGTCGTTGACAAATTCAATAACGCCATTAAAAACCTTCCAGTTTTATAAAGCTTGAAAGATATGGTTTCCATATTTCCAAGAGAAACGAATGATTTAAAAAGTCTTCGAAAAATTCTAGTAGACAATCCTTATCTGAAATATTTTTAGTTCCCTGCCTAACATAGACAAAAATTATTTTAAGGATATTTTTAGAACACGTTCTTCTAATTTGCATCCAGTACGAAAAACCAACATACTCGTACACAAATAGCCCCAAATTTTATTACAGTCTAAAATTTCTCGTTCCACTCATTCATAGCCGAGTAATTTGGGTTGGGAGATCGCCTGATTCGAATCCACCAATGCCAAGTCGCCGTGTTGTTTGATTATTATAATGCATACACTACGTGTGTCGGTGCCAATCATTAAATACTCGTTAAAATACATTCGAAACTAAACCTTATCAACACTTTATCACTGATATTTTCTAGTGCAAAATTTCGTGAACTGACACAAAACAGAAACATGTAAATTGGTGGCACTTAGCCCCAAACCAAGGTCTGAAAGAAACCTTGATAGTACGTTACACGAAGTAACTTTAACAATGTTGAGTTAGGTCACTGAGGTCACCAGACGAAAATAAACTTCCATGTCTGCTCGGTTTACTCCCCCTTTTATCTGTTTCGTCATCAATCATTTGTGTTTTTTTTTTCCAAACAGAGATGATCCAAAAATAATATCCACCCCTGATGACTAAGGACAACGAGATTTGTTTGCAGAATTATTCATCCCTTGTGATGACACCCTTCGATGGGGTTCTAGTGTCATGGGTGTAAATGATTGTGTAATTTATTTATTTATGGATGGTGAGACAGATGGTCGAATAAACCACTGTTTATATTGTCACGAGGGTTGTGATACATTCAATAAGTTTTATCTCTTCTCTTTCGATTTTTTCTGCTAGTTGCTATTGATTTTCTCATCTAAATCTTGACATGTGATAGTAATGGAATGATTTAATTGATATTTTTTTAATCTAATTACGCAAAAGTACCACACGTTTGTATCACAATGATAATTATGTGTAGGTGAAGGTTAAACTATTTGTATTTAATTAACCTTCGACAAATGACTATTTCTAAGCTGAACGTCAATTGAAAATACGTAATACAAATCATCACGTCACGATCATACGATATTTTTAGGGAAATATTGTGTTATTGAATTTAGTTTCTAATCTCGTCAGCTTCCTGTCGCTAAATCACTTTTGGTTTCCTTGCCTTACAAACTTCGTATTGATTAAAGTCTAACAATAATTAATTTTCTTACATGTCTGCGTACAATTAAAAAAATTGCATATTCAAGTGATTCAAAATAATCTTGTTTTTGTAGCAGCTGTTACATTTTTCAAAAATATAAACATGTTTTTTAGAAGACGTGTTTTAAATTGTGTCAATCTTCGAAACGCCCGTAACATCACGTTGGGTCTTTTGTACCATTCACAGATGCTTAGAAATGATCTTAATCTGGTACAGGATATGCACGTAATATGATGGGCTTATTCAGTACTTCCTTATTTAGTTTTTCTTAATAGGAGGTGAAAGGAGGGGTGGTATAAGAATAATATGCCTGAACATTGAATTATACGTTTGAATGTTGAAAATAGAAAATTCAAAATAAATTTTAGGTTGTATTATTTTTTAATGTCTTATCTCTTTTATTCTGTTTTAAAGTTCAAGTTCACTATCCAAATACGATTGCAATATCTCATAATTAGGTGCCATTAGTCTGTATGCAGTTTAGGAAAAAACATTTATAAATCTTTCTTGCATTACGCATAAATAACAGATATAATTATTATCGAACACTTAAACCAATTCAATTTTTTTAGGGTTGTTTTTCTTGTATACAATAATAAAGGTTACTACTAATTAACGTATAAAAGAATATAGTAGGTAAAGCGTTATTTTGTGACAGCTTCAGTTAAGTATGTATTTTCAGTATTATCTTTAAAGCATACAGACCCAAAATTAAATAAAACTTAAAATTTTACATATTTCACTGGCATTCATTCCTAAAAAAATTTGCTTACAAACGAAACTAAAAATTTAAAAATACAACTTTAAAAGTAATTTTTATTTAGGATCTGCTTACTTGCACCATCGTACATTTATGTAACAATGGGAACAGTAATTAGAATGAGATTGTAATAACTACTTATAACTTATAACATATTATAATTGTTGTACTGGAGTATGCAGACATCAAATTTGCATTCAATTTTTGTGTCGAAGCTGTTTAATTTTTTTTATTAACTCCTAGAGAAATCTGCAATCTGCCCAAAAGGCAATAAGCGTATGGTATTACAATTAAGAGACATGAAGAGTCTCACTCCATTAAGTGAGCTCATTTAAATAAATATTATTCTTTAGCCTTTTTTTGCTAGTACGCCGGTCCTGTTTAATAAAAGAGTTCAGGTACATACTATTAAATTAATGATCCTTTTGTTATACCATTTTGTCATAAATCATAATACATCTGGTTTACGTTTAAATAAAAAGCGATTTGTAATTGTGATAACAGGGTTTGATCCTGCGCCTAAAAGTTATAATAATGAAATTGTATAAAATCACTAAAATTAAACGCTGCTAATACAACAAAACAATATAGTGAACACATTAAATGGAATTTTCTAATAGTAGATAGGTATAGCAATTTGTTTAAGCAATAAAAGTAACTGATACAAATGTGCTAACAATGATAACGATAAAAGCTTGAGGACTTGGGCAAATAGTATTTTAGAAAAATATTTTTCATTAATTAAAAAAAAATAGGTATTTAAGTGACTTGATACAAAAAGTAGATTTCTTAAATCTATTCACAGATGTGAAATTTTTTAACTTATCTAAAACTTTAACTTATTAGCCACTTCTTGTATAAAGCCACAGGTATAATAAATTTGAAGTTTACTTACATTGAAAACATTTTTAAGTTTTTCCTAAATTTTCAAACGTATTGATTTTTTACATTTTTTAAAGAAATAAGAAAAGATGGCAGTATTTTATCAATTTTTATCATATACACGGTTGTTTCTGTTTGATTAAAATTTAAAAATAAAAATGAGGACAGTAGTAGAAACAAAAACATTTAGTATTCTCATAAAATGTTTTATTTTGACAAGAAATGCTTTACCATTTCCAAACATGTGATAGAAATAAGAGGTTACTAGTCTTATCAAAATGTTGCAACAATTTAATGTGCGCTTATTTATAATCTTTTCATGTAAATTGCTTGGTATACATGATACGTAATGTTATTTTATTCTTCGACATTGTCAAAAGTTACGGTTTTTCTCCTGTGTAAGGAAGTTATGACAACTGTTTGGCACTTCTCAAATCAAAACGTCTGATTATTTTTAACAGATTTAAAGCATTTTTAAGCCTTGTTGAATCTAATTCGAAGAATAAAATGTTGTATTTAACTTGTCTTCGTGTAAATCAATTCATTTATTCCACCACGTGGATGATAAACTACTTGTTAACTAACACTCGTGGTTTAAAACTCCACTCGTGAAATAAAGCGTCCGATTTACACTCAAACTCGTCGGATAAATAACCATTATAAACGTTAAAAATCCATTAACAATTCCTTATTAAACCCTACACCTTACTCTAACAAACTGAAAAAAATTTATAACATTTCAATGATTTAAATCGTTTTACACTTCATAATTAGTTGATTTCAATACTGAAGATAAGTCAGCAAAAATGACTGATGATAAATAAAATCAATGACACGCACGACCTTATCTACCTGAGACAAGTATGTTTCATAATAGTCAATTTCATGGTTTTAGCAAAATCAAGTCTTGTTATCAGAGTTATGTTATTAAGCACTATCGGAAAAAACAATTCAAGACATAGCATTTATAACCATAATCTTTAATTCACAAATCACAATATTAATAAAGCTAAACATTCAAAAATTAAGTTACAACAGAAAATTTAGTCACACGAGTTGCATATTTTATTTCATTATCAACTTTACATTTATTTTACAATAAGAATCACACAGATTTTAAATACAAAAATTAATTGTTTTTTTTTTTTCAATAAATGTATCAATCTACTTTATGTTATGTCTAATCATTATATGTAGTTCTTGTCTCTATAAGTGAAGTAAAGTTTATATTTTAATGAATTGCTGGTGGGGGTAGTGTGAATTAATAACACGACATGACCTCCGCCTGTTTTTGACATTAAATTTGACAGCTTCAGACATTTTGGTACTAAACTCAAAAATTAAAGCTACTCCCTGGCATTAGGATTTTTATAGGGCTGGAATTACGATTATTATGGTGATATAGAGGGTATAAATATTAGCCTCAAAAGAGTTTTCCCCATTAAAAATGAAATACAAATTACTTACGTGAAGGTAATACACACTTTTGACGTACGTCATTAGCTCTGTGTTACTTTAATCGCATTTGTTAAAGTGAGATAAATAGCGTGACCGACCTTACGCAAATACGTAGCGAGAGAGCAACAAGGCTGTTTACAATAAGAATGTTAGAAAGAGATAGCTATTTGGTACGTCTTTCGAATTATTAATTGATCCACACGATATAATTAAAAAACAAACTTTACCTAAATCAGAAATTTAACTTTAATATTTTTGTTTAAAATAAGTAATTCTTGTTAAATTTACTATAGCTTGTGCCAAATCTGGTGGTGAACTGACGTTGTCAAAAATGACTGAATTTTGACACTAAACATACAGTCCGTTTTTTTTTAATGGAAATGCCAAACAGTCTTAACGTTGGCATCACTAGTAAATTCATTCGTGGTAACTTTAATAAAGGAAGTTGGCAGTTCCGGTTTTTTGAATTAATTTGAAAACAATGTCATTAAACGTCAACACAAAAAATAGTCTAAGAAAATTTAGAGACGAAACACCAAAAAAGAAACAAATTCGGTACAATAACAGTTTTTCGAAATTTGGAAACGAATGGTTCCCAAGCAGGAAGTTAGAAAAAGGGCCCGTTAAAATGTAGACGCAATTTGTAATGCAGGTTTGCTAAATATTCTTAATTTATAGCAAGAAATCGACAAGAATACAATTAAATTAGTGTCTTGTGCATCGTTTTTGAGGAACGAGTTGAAAAAGTAACAATCTTGAAACTAAAGCTGAAGAGGAATTTATAAAATGCATCAACTTTGAGCTCATTTCAATAAATTACACAAAATTTATTGCCAATCATCATAATAACAAATTATAAAATTGTTAACGCATGAAAAGAATTTTCAAAAATGATATTCCTAACAAGCCTTGTCTTCAAAATTTTTAGAAAAAAAAGTACGCCCATGTATTTTTTTATCTTAACCAAGTGGGCGCACTCCAAGTGTCTTTTCTGTCACTGTCAGTTCGCCACCAGATATGGAATAAGCTCTATCAACAAGAAAACATTCTTGAAGTACAAAATAAAAGTCGGTAATTTCTACATTTTACAACGCAAAACAAACCTTTTAATTATCGAAATTCATTATCCATGAATTAAAGTAATTACTGTAATCAATTACTGCCGTTCGAAAATTGTACAACATACAATTAATTATGTCATAATAAATACACAACAGTAGTCATGTACTCTTCTTTAAAAAATAACGAAATTGTAAAGTGTTACACAATTTTTAGTCTGTTAACAAAAGACAATAAATTACCTGCTAAGGTGAATCTATCCATATAGTTGATAAGGTTGACGAAACATAATATAAAAACCATAACCCATTCTCTAAATTTAACATCTTTGATAGTCCTTTCACTCTGAGAAGTTTCGTTACTTTCTTCATTGGAACGCACAAGTTCTGTACTTGAATTATTCTGTGTTATATCACCTTCCATTTTATTTATACTTTTCAACACGAGAACTCTTTCGAACTTTTCAGACGGCATGACAGTACGACACGCTAAATAACCTAACTTCTTGACACATAAGACTGGAATGAAAATCAAACGAAACTTGTTTGATTTCCATGTTGGCGGGATCCCACTGCGCAAGCGTCGTCCGATCATACGATGATTCCAATCAAAGACTTTTAAGGGTGTTTGCGATAAAAACACTTGATAAAAACGAACCAGGAAAAAGCACCCACACAGATAGAAGAACTTGCACAAAAACACTTCAAAGTTTGCAATAAAAGGCCCAAAACCTTGACAGCTGCATGAACCAACACTTCCAACACTTGAAAAGTGGCAAATTACAGGTTGCTGTTTTATCATCAACTTTGCCACCTGGTGCCAACTTTCGGTATTTTCCACTAAGGTTTGAATCGGTCCCTGCCGAAACATTAAAACTCAGGTCGTTAATATTGGGCTTTATTTAGATTAATAATACACGTATAATGTATTACGAAATAAAATGTAAACAAAATAAGTCAATTCATAAATATAACACACAGAAAGTGCATAGTTTAGTATTAAAATCTACCGTATAGGAAAATGTATTGCACAATTATACAATTATTATTGTATTAACAGATTTTTCATGAACTAGTATACTCAATACTGTTTATTACATAAGTAAAGCATCTTTTAAACGATAAGGTAAGTGAGAAAACTTGCCACTATCCACGAACCAAATTGACAATTTATTCCAAATCTATTTTTTTTTATTTTGCAGAATGATAAAAGTGTCTAAATAATTACACATATTACGCAGATGATGGATGTTAATTACGCAGGAAGCATCCACTAATAAATAAACTCCCTGTTAAAGATACATAGATAAAATATTTAGATAGATTCACTATAATATGGTTAAAATTCCTTGCAACATCAGAGAATCCCAGTCATAATTAAAAAAAAACTTTTTGATTTAATCACAGTCTATAATTACGTCTCTACTCCCGAAAGTTTTCCCATAAAAAAGTGAACTTTGCATGTGTCAACATGATTATAACAACAGTTTTAAATCGCGGGGAGTATTAAAATATTTGTATCTAATACAGACAGAATTTAAGCGCTTGATTACAAATACCCAACGCCTAAAATCATTTTGATTCTCGGTTTACGACGGTTTGGTGCTCTTATTCTGCCCTCTGTATTTCCTACCCTCATGGTAATGATTATTATTGGCACCTCTCCGGCCTTGATATTGGGTTGAATTACTACTTTGCAAGTTCGGTAAAGCGGTATTTTCCGCACTACCGTTCCTCTCAGGTCGAGATCCTTGCTGCCAGAAACTCTGAGAGTGGAGTGGAGGAAACCAATTGCCTCTGTAATGGCCACTGCCATTGCCTCTATGACGGCCCATTCCTCGTTGATTACCGCCTTTCTGGGACTCCTTATATGTCCCAGTGGAGTCCCGCATTTGGAAATGAGACACACCCGCGTTTTCGCGACGTAAGTCGGAATTTTCCCGCCGCAATCTTCTTATGATAGCCTCAGCATCGTCGAGTTTTCGCAACAATTCGGGGTCGGGTTGAAGGGCTCTTTCACGCTCCTTTTCCCTGTCTCGCTCATAACGCTCAAGCTTTCTACAAGAAAAGTAACAATAACACTGCTATTTCATATATCAAAAAAGTACTTTTTCTGCTCGTCTACTATAGCAGACAAATATACATTCCGACTTTCGATTTCCGACAACTGAAATTTCAATTCCCCCAACTCTTTTTCCAGAATTTCAACTTGAAGTGGAGTGATGTTAATTTGTTTGGGACTAGAATACACTTTATGTTTTGAGTCGTCTTCGGGTGACGATGGAGAACTAGGGAGAGTACCTTTGACGAAAACTAATTGGAATTGCAATTCTGCAAAATATTGAAATGTTAATTCTCTGGTTTTGAAATAATTGCAGTTTACCTCTGTTTCTATTTCGAAGACTTTCAATCTCGTTGTGAAGCCCTGTTAACATAAGTTGATGTTGTTCTTGGAGAAAACGTATGTTTTGCTCCAGTTGTGCGACTCTTGCGCTATCGGGACCTTTAGGTCTTTCAGGGCTGTGAGAGGAAACGTCCTGTGACCGCGAAACGGCCACTAGTTCGCTGTTTACGCCTCCAGATTTGGATTTGTTCACCTAAAATAACAAAAATAATAATGACCATTAAAACAAATTTATAAAAAATTTAAAAAAATTGTCCCTATAATTTATTATGTACTAGAAAGATTGCAATTCATTGTGAAAATACAATGAATTGTATTGAATACAAATTGGAAGATAGGTAATCAGAAAACAACAGTTCACTAAAAACACGTTGTTTTTTTCCTAAATAATATTGTGTATTTATGGTATAAATATTGCAAAAGAGAAGCGCATGTTTATTTATTTAAATTTTTGATTTGGAAATAATAAAAAAATTGTAGAAACAATAAATGTGTATGTCAATCGCGTGTTATTTACAATGATTTCCACCTATATGTCCTATTTACTTTAAAGTCTCTAATTTGAAATAATCTTGCAACAGTAATACAGTTTAATAATAGTAATAATGTGACATGTGACTGAGGTTTATGTCGTATTCACTACTCACTTAATAATCCTCCGCAATATTTACATAAAATTTTAATGTTTCTGATACCGCAATTGCATGTTGTATTGATTAAAAGAGAAAATTATTTTCAAATACCCACATTACTTGTTGTGTGTTATTTAAAATTCATCACGCTTATTTATAAAATTGTATATACTAAATTTTCATTTTAAAAATAACACGATGTAATAACTGTCAAGAGGTCTTCAAATTCATGCCTTATGCCTTCTAAATGTCAAAGGTCAACCAACTTAACTTCATCTGAAACCACCTTTCCTGATGAACCTTTAAAAAAAAATACAAATTCTCTACAAACGGTCAAACGGACGTCGTAATCTAGTAATTTTTGAAATCGATACGATTTTTACCATAAACAATAACATTAATTTACACGTCTCACAACTCTTATTGAATGAGGAATTAACAGCGTCGGAATTTAATAAAAAGCAATCAAACACTATGTCAACCCTCACCAAACATCTACTTACTTGCCCAAATGGTGCGACCGGTATTTTAACCATAACTTTCGAAGCCATGATTCGTTTCGTTCGATTATTTCCACTGACAAAAGTAACGCTCAGCGTTTAAATGAATCACCGCCTCAAAATACGTACTCTGAGTTGCAACACGTCATAAGGGGGTCCCTGTTTTAATATTCAACCTGATTACTACGTCGTACTTGGAAAGTAGTGTAAAATTAACTAACAGCGTCGCGTATTCACCACAGTTGAATCACACCTTTATGAGTATTGATTATTCGTTTCGTGTCATGCTCAAAGGCAGCGTTTGACGGGGGTTAAGAAATGGATAAGGGGGGCTTTATCTAAGAACGGGATCTGAACGGTTACATGCAAAATAATTTATTATTTGCATAAACAGGAAGCAATACACAACAATAGTGTAGTTTGGGCTCGTAGTATTAATTAATGACGGGAGACATAACCTAACTTAATTTGAATTTCTTTTTCAAATGGAAGCTTACCAATACTTTTCCGACAAGTTCCGATGTTTTTTCCGGAAGAGGTGGTGATAGAGGTGGCAAAATAATTGTATTAAGTGGTACTCGTCGACTGTTTTCCAAAACTGAAGTGCTTCTTTGGACCCCCAAGTGTCTCATCATTATTGTCGCTGAAATGTGCAAAAATAACACATTACAAATCATATATAAATGACCAACGTACCTTAATTTGTATGTATTCCACTAAATTACTAAATTATTGATAAAAGCGTCTAATTTTTCAAATGCAACATTATTCTATCAATTTGACCAATTTAGGGATTTTTGGTCGTAAATCCCGTCACTGTCATCTTTCTTTGTTTGACTCAGCACTTAGCTTATTTATCTTTCTCGCTTGTGGCACGTTGGCGAACCTGCGTTGCCACGACAACGTCAAGTGGTTGTGACAACAATCCTTAGTTACGAATGTGACAGAAAATGATAATAAACTAATTTTTATTTTTTTATAAGTAAGTGGATATAACTTTTATTGATTTTATAACGTGGATTTTCACCTGATAATGAATGAAATTCCGGTATAGCTACGTAGTTTTGTTTGTCGATAATTCTTAAAGTTTTGCTAGGAATTGAAGGATGATTTAGCTTTTTTAAAAAAATTTGACTCTCGGGGTAAAATCTGGCAAGACATCGACGCGAATAATTCTAAAGGAAAGGCAAAGGTACGTTCTAATTTTCTCTTGCATCCCAGACGGTTCAGTTCCGAATCCGAATGTTCCTCGACTTTGCAAACGCCAAGAAAATTCTTAAGCGGGACGGTGTTGAAAACATTGGAAACCCACGAAGAGAACAATGTGAGTCACCACGACGTATTTACAATTTACATTACACTTATTTAATAACAGAATGTGAAAAAACGATTTGATTATAATACAAAATCAAACATGGGAACATCAATTGACAGCCGCATTGAGACTGACATTGGCGACAGAAATAGCCCGATTTTGTCCAATACTAAAACTACAACTATTTTAAAGAAGCAGACAGTACGACCTGCGTCTGTACGTGTTGAAAACTTTGATAAGAAATTCAAGATTTTAGTTGAAAGAAGTTTGAAATTTCTCACAAGCATTCGGTAAATATTAAACTTTACAAACTCTATATAATAATAGTATTTTTTAGAGTGTTATTTGAAGAGGGAATTTCGCCCCCTGACGGGGAGGAAGACTGCATGCGCCGATTTAAAAGGCTACAAGAATTCACTTCCAGATTTTCACGAATTTATCTCTATCCTCTATTAAGACATGTATGTTTAATTTTATTTTTTTTAATTATTAATTTATTTGGCTGATTTTAGATGGACGAATTGAGTTTACCCGAAAAATTAGGAACCGTTATTATTAACCAAAAACTTCTCTCAGCTCAACAAGTGATTTTACAAGGGTTACAAGCATACCACACTCATTTGCCTGGTTCTATAGGAAAATGCGGTTCCGACAAACTCAAATCGCTGTTGGAGCAAACTCTTTACTTGTGTCAGATATACGACTTGTTGAAAAAAGATACAAATCTTGAGACTTCAGAATTTATAAACGTATATTTTACATTTGGTTTTACTTGTAATTAAGATAAAGCTTTTAAAGGCGATGCGTAGCCATGTTGAACTTTTATTAGAAACCCTAAGAAATTTCGATTTGAAATTCATCGAGAAAAAGAGCAATGAATCAATCAAGAAGAAACCAAAAGCACAATGTACGAAACCAAAGTCGAAACTCTCAATGTACGCAACAAATGCTTCGTTCCGAAAGGATTTAGAATTGAAGAAAGCTCTTCAGACTTTAGCGAAAAAGAAGTACAGTTTTTTGCGTGTGTATAATGTGTTGTTTCAGTTCTAGAATTGTAGATTTAGCGTTAAATCGAGATATAAGACTGCTACTTTTAAACATAGGCCACCTGTTGAAAGGCCGCGAGGGACAGAAGAGCAAGGCAAAATGAAGTTGTTTTGCAAACATTCCGGAAATTTAAAAAGTACACCAATGAGGTCGCCAATCAGGGAGGATGATATCAAAACCATGGTCGAGATCGACTCCGAATTGGAGGTGCCACCCAACACTGGAGAGGTAGGGATTTCGTTTTTCTGAAATGTAAACAATGCTTAATTTCTTACCTCTTTTTTTTAAGAAGTATATTTGCTGAAAATAAAAATTGAGGGTTTTAGACACTTTTGATTGTAATACTCGCTCATTTTGGGTGTGAGGGACACAAAAAACATTATTTTTCAATCAGTTTAATTGCAAAGCAATAACATATTTTTTAAAAAGAACAAAGTGCATAGAATATATTTATTGTATAAATATTCGTGGTGATTGCAAAAGCGTGTCGTGCGGTGTATAGATGTTTAACATTTAACACATTGGGGTTTCCCTCCCTCGGTCCGGAATGATTGGTCTTTCATGATGGGTTTGCCGCATTTCTGCAAAAATGTTCACAATTAGATAAAAATTTCTCGAATTTGCCCCAACTTACCGAACACTTGAAGCACAACTGGTGCCATTTGGCATCCAAAGCGACGACAGCTTGAGTAACAATCGGTTTTCCGCAAGCCTTGCACTTATCAGCGTATTTTTCAGTGTAGCATTTTTGACAATATGGGGCATTTTCGATTTCCATGAATTTGGTGCCGATGAGTTTAGCCTTGCAACCTCCGCAGACGAAGTGGTCTTCGTGCCAGTCAGCCCCCATAGCGGTGACAACTTTCTAAATTTTCAAAAAAAAAATAAAATAAATAAGCGTTTAGGAAAAGTTTATTGTTAGTAAAGCACTCACATCTTTGATCGGGTCGCCACAAGCTTTGCATTTTGTCAAAAATTTAGCCGCGTAGCAGTTATCGCAATAAGGTTCGTTATCTTTTTCCTGGAATTTAGAGCCAGTGATGGGGACCTTGCATTCATGGCAAGTGAAATGTTCGGGATGGTAGGCTTTTTCAAGGGCTATTATTGCCGGCTAAAGGCGTTAGCGTTCGAGTTAGGAGCTTGCAAAAAAATCAAATCGTTACTTACCCCTCCCTCAATATTCTGCTTGCAGGAAGCACAGACTTTCGGTGGTGCCTGAAAATGAAATAAATTATTTTACATTAAAAATTTAGCGAATATTTATACCGCAGCCATAATTATGTAAGGGAAAATTCGCACCACACCCTTTCAGAACGAAAAATGTAATAAAAGTGACATGTGTCAGGATAATGGATAATAAAATTTCACGGCTATGGAAACGTATCCAGACCCACTTGCTTCTATCGATCGTTTTCTATTTTCAGAATCTGAATCATGAAAACAGCATTGCATCAAGCCGACATCAACTGGTACAAGATAGCGATCGGGATGGAATCGAAGTGGAAAAAGCTCTCGATGTTTTGAAAAGATTTCTGGGCAATTCCGAAGAGGCACAAAACGATTTTTTGAAAAAAATCGCCACTCAAGTCGAAAGAGAAAAGAGCGACAAATCGAAAAAGAAACTAGAGTATGTAACTAGAAATAAGTTTCTTTTGATCTGGCACCGTAACAAAAACTTAAGTGGGTGCAAACAATTTAATAAAATTGTTTCATATAAAACACATAAAACTGTTATTACAAGCTCCAAATTTAATAACCCGGAAGATCAATGAGTCTTTATTGAATCATTCGATTTTTTGGAAAATTTTACGTAATTGTAGCCATTGCCAAAACTATTTAATTTTTGCGCCAAATTTTTCCGCTTCGCGGGAAATGTTTGTTCATTAGCGATTTTTTAATAAACTAAAATAAAATGAAAAGGTTGGGTATTATTGTTACAATGTATTTTGTTTGGACGTGTATTTTACTTTAAAGATTAAATATAGCGACTTGCGGTTTTGGTTTAAAATTAAACGTAATTCGAACAATCATTTATTTTCATTAAATTAATTAGTAGTTGCACCGGAAATGTGACACAAATTATTTTAAATTTATTAATTGGCAAAGTGTCGGATTGCCTTGGGAATAAAGCATAAAATTAATGAGCGTCATAGGGTGTTATTCTTGTTTATTTAGGTTAAAAGCATAATATTATTTTTGGAATTATTTTTCTAATAAAAAAACAATTGGAAATATTTTCCTACATCAGTTGATGAAAGATAACAGATAAACCAAAAATCAAGTTGTATAATTCAATCTAAGATAATAATTGATTTAACACTTAGAAGAGAAAATTTTCCGTGCTAATTTTGAGCATGCATATTTATGGGAAAAAGATACTGATGAATAATAACAATAATAAAAGTCTCTAATATGGAACCACTCATATTCGCAAGGCGCGCCAACCAAATCCATCAATACAAAACGATGATTAATAACCATTAATAATGTAACAAATTTAAAAATAGATTTGTGTACGCTTAAGTTTTGTAAGTTTAATTTTATGAGGGACTTATCAGTCATTGTTTTTTTCCCCGATAAATGGGCACCTGTTGTGAGTCAGAACCGTTGCAACCCATTATTAATAAAAATATTTTTAACACCGTCCAAAAACCTATAATTAACACTAAAGTGGGCGTAAACCCAGATGCATCTCCAATTCGATTTATCAAACAAAAAATTTAAATCAAATGAATTAGTGGCGAGCGCCAAGTTTCTAATTTATAAGAAAAATAAATTTCGAGATTACGTACCATTGTATCACCTTGTAAAAAGCACGCTTAAGATTCGATTGTTGCACGTTTCAAACGCAAAGTTGAACTAACTTAAATCTAATGCATCGTGGGAGGAATTCGTCGTTGTTTTCCGAAATTCGCTGGACCCGACGTTAGTTATTTTGGTATTAAACAGGACCGGACTTAAAACTAAAGTTGTGAAAAAATCACTCACCTTCTCATCAGCCATTCTGCAAAATTGTAATGGAAACTTCGTCGCAGCGTTTCTTTATAATGCACGATGATATCATTTCTTATCAAATTTAGAGTTGTACGTAATTGTAATTAATAATTTCTGGGTGTACCTGCTGTACTTAGAAAGTGGGCTAATCGCGTTAGATAGTTATAAACTTTTATCCTTTTATCCGAAATTTAAGATAAATTCCACATTGTTTCAAAGTGATGTCATCTTGTTCTCGATTCATGTTTATTTTTCATTATTTTCAAGGGCTTGTTTATTTGAAATAATTAACACAGTGTGATAATATATTCAATGCAATCGCTGACCTTTTAAGGATAGGTTCATATTGGGCGTCTCTAATTATATCTCGATATGAAATTTATTCAAAGCATTTTGCACTCGAAACGCTCAAAATATTGAAAACTTGGCTCGGAATAATCGTCGCACGGCTAAATCGAGGATGCTACAGGAAATTGGATTTTTCTGGAACGCGCGCACCAAGAAATTAAATTTCTCAATCTTCGAGAAAATAGTGATTATTTTTTAAGACGAAATCAATAAGTAAACAGAACTTGTTATTTCATATTGTTTCTAGGGATATTTTTTATCAACACTCAAGTTTATAACTTAATATCCACTTAAATATTTTCCCATTCTCTACACTTGCCAATTATTGCAAAAATTTATTTACTGAAAAACTCAGTAATTGCCTTTTTTCAGACCCGTGGTGACTGTTACGGGTGCGAAGAACGCCAAACTGATTTGCATCAGAGATGACAATTCCGTCGTTGAAGACGATTGTAAAAGAGACAAAGAAATAATGACCGACGCTGAAATCAAACTGACATCTTCGGAAACTCAGACGGAAATCGAAGAAATAAAAAAAGTTCAAAGCAAGTCTGTTGTCAAAATCAGTAGACTTCCAAAAGTCAACAGGATGTTGCAATTGTTGCCAAAAGAATGCGCAATTAGTATTATTCAATACAAACTGCAGTACAGTCAGTTTCGTAAACACGATCCCATGTATAGGAAATCGGCACATATCCAACCTTGGATTCTAATGGGACGGTAGGTGTTTGTTTTTGAAAACTTTTGTGCTAATTGGTTTTCAGGATTTCGGATGACTTGCTGGACTGCATATTAAAATCAGTGACGGGAGAATTAGAAGTTAATGAGATCCTTGAAAACTTATACAATGCAGAATTTCAATACTGATACTATTTTATATTTTTGTAATAAAATAAAGTACATATAATTTACTTAGTCAAATTTTATTTGCATCTATTTCTAAAAGCAATGCAATAAATGAACCAATCATTACATAGTCAGTTTTTGAGGTGAGGGAGTGTATACTTCTGGTGGGTATTGGATACCTAAAATCTTGTGACACACTGCAAAAGCAGCCATTTTCTTCGCAGACTTTTTATTGGGACCTATGAAAACATTTAGTAATTGTCAATTATATAAAAAATAAACAAAAACCTGTTCCACTGAAGGATTGTCCATCAATCGTACATTTGAACGTGAAAATGACATTCGGTGGATTCCCAGTTCTTCCAAGTTCTTCAAACTGCACATGCGGCATCATCTGATTTAATAGCATCAAGGGGTTCATATGTGCTGCATTTTCAGGCATTTTTTTCGCAGGCCTGTTTTGTGGAAGCTGTCCTGGCCCGCTCTCCTACAAAGACATTTAGCTCAAAAACAACTAAGTAAAACCAAATTACCCCTCTCGCCTGATTCGGATCTTCCCCCCACGAATTAAGCAATTTATACAAAGCGAAGGATGCGACATGCTGCCACGGGAGAGTCGGTGTCCCATCTTCACCCACCTCCATTTTTTCGTCCCCCTCTGCGTCTTTTGATAACGCTGAAAATTGCCGGTTCTTCACGATGTATTTAAGGGCGTTTTCAGCCGCCATGCTTTTTGCCTCCATTTTGCTACGACCTAACAGAATCGAAATTAGAGACAAGTCGATAAATGGGTACGCTGTACGCTTCGTCACTATGGCCAAACATAGAGAAATAAGGCCGACTCTCGGAAGCTTGGCTCAGACGGGTCTTACAATAAGTGATCAAAACGACCGACTTGGTGTAATACCGGAGGGCCTGCTCTTCCACAGGTGTAACGCTAGGCAATAGATGAGTGACCATTGCTTGGCTGACTCCATGTGGAAATTTAATCAGGACGAGGAAGAGTACGTACCACGACCAATATGTGTGACGCCATCTACCAGCACTGTTGCCGTATACTGACTCATGTCTGGGGGTTGAGGCATGTCTGTTACGGTGTATGATGCACTTTTGACAAGCTCATTCAAGATCATTACGGCGTTTTTCGGCTGAATCATACGACTTAGCCGTATATTTCGACGGCGCTGGCGCTCTTTTCTTGAGATTTTATTCGCAGCTATAAAAAAACACAATAACAGATTATACGATTAACAAGCAACTATTGAAATTTAGAGAAAGATTCAGTATACTACTTCACATTGCCGTCAACTTAGCTTATTAATAAGGAGGCTTCAAATTTGCGCAGTGATTTGTCATCATGACGTTTGATTCTACAAAAGCCAAATCTGCCAACCTTACTAGAAACTGTTCAATAATGCATACTGTAGTAACAAATGCTGCTAATTGATAATCCACTTTTAAGCCAACAAATTGAAGTTTAATTATACAGGGTGTTTCACGTAATTTTACGAGGCCTACGCCTGTAAGATGCAATCAATAATACATATTCCGACAAGAACTCGATTAAGGAGGTTAGTTGCCTAAGGGCCGTTTTATATTTTTATGTCATCGAATGACAAGTCGTCCAAAATTCCGTGTCCGCCAAGTTCTTCAACAAAAAAAAAAAAAAACAGAAAATTTTGATAAAATAATAATGTTGTCACTAATACCTAGACATTACGTCATTTTAAAGGCTAATTTATTACCAGTTTTAAGCCACAGTGGTTTGCTCTTCCCTGCATCATCCACAACCTCGCCCTGCATTGACTCTTCCACTTTCATTGGTACATCTAACGATGACAATTCTTGCATCTTCGGTGAAGGGTCTTTGAGTTGTATTTGATTTTGCCCTTGAGGAGGCATTGGCATTCGCTATCAAAAAAAAAAAACAAAACATGAAAATTTCCGCATATTCGTAATAAAAAAATGTACGTTTCGACGGTACAGCCCCAACAAAGCTGAAGCCTTAGCCTTTGAAACTACTACTATGCCACAGGTTGTAAAGCCGTTAAGATCTAGCAACACTTACAGCACTGCTCCTTGTGGCGTTCTTTATTACAAAAATTATTTCATAAATCAATGATTTGTGAAAGAATTTTATGAAATTGTATGAGTTCGAAATAGTAACGCACCTGTTGTGGTCTGAAATTCGTGCTATTCTGATTGGGTGGGGGCTGCATTCTGGGTTGCGGAGGCCTGTTCTGGGGCGCCAGCTATAGAGCAGGTTTAATTTTGGTTAAAACCTTCTTGGTTGTGCGCACCGGTATAGGTGCATCTTTAGCTGTGACGTACAGTTAAAGATTTCAAGTCAACAATACCTTGACCAAAATTGTTATTTTGCAAGATTTGTTTGATGCCTTGATTGTTTCCTATCAAACAAATTTTGAAACAATGCGCCAAGGTACACATTCTTGTTCAACCACCAAAGATTACAGATTTTCCTTACTTCTTGCGCATATGCATCGAATCGCACCGAAACATATGCAGCAAAATTAACACGGCTTAGGAGCTGTAATGTTTGCTGGAGGAACATTAAACAATGAGGTGCCTATAACAGTACCACTACCCAGGCTCTGTGTAGCTTTATTGCCCGTTGACACCTATACAATTAAATCTCGTTAGATTATTGGTCTTTAAGGGGGCGCAGATGAAAAGCACATTTAATTCAACGCGAAAAAATCAAAAGCTTACCTGCCCACCAGGAATGAAATTGTTGGTGATTGGAGGATTTCGACGTGCCCCAACTGTACTTATGGCTAAAAATGGGCAAAAATTGGTATTACAAGCACAAATAGAGAAATAAACTTACCCTCGCCGCCACTTCTTCGGGTATTGTACGCCATAGCTTATTTGGTTAAAACCTTTCGTAAATGTAATTATTTCTTTATATTTGCTCAATATAATTAAAAGTCGTAAAATCAACACTAAAACTTCACTGAAATTGTATGATTTTCAAAACATTTATTCGAGTGACGATAAGCGTGATGCATCGAGCATCAAGGCGTCACAGCAAGAGGAAAAGTGTCATGGCGACCGTAACGGAAATATCCGGCAACCGCATAGGGCGGAAATTTTGAAACTAATAAAACTTTACGCAGGAAATTATTTATTCCCATTATTAACAACCATTAAATGCCAATAAAATGCAAACAAAGTATCAAAAAATCACATTAAACTGAGGCGTTAAATGAGTAAGATTATTTACAATAAATTTATTTTCGTCGTTTTAAACCAAGCCACAAGCCACCCTCGGGAGTCATATTGAGAGCTTTCTTGCACATTTTCACCGGAATTGCGGTTTTATTTATTGTGACAATTTCAAAATTAGATAATAAATAAAAAAATAAAATTTTAATTTCTAATAAAGCAAATCTGTAACCAATACACTTCCTTGGTCCTGCCCCAAAAGGCATATAAGTGTATGGTATTATTTTCGACTTGTTTTCATCACTAAATCGTTCTGGATCAAAACGTTCCGGATCTTCAAAATATTTGGGATCATGATGAAGTCCATAAATTGGTAGAAACACGATTGCGTCTTTTTTTAAGTGTATGGGATTTTCATTTGGTGTTTTTGGCTTTATGGTGTAAGGGATTGTGCATACTCTGTTCACAAAAGGTGTAATTGGCCACTTTCTTAAACTTTCTACAAGTGGATGACTGTTACCTAATTTTTCAAGTTTAAAAAACATACCAACCTGATACAACCATATCCAAATATTTCAGGCTTTTGATCACATCGTAGTCTAAAGTTTTCGTATTCTTGTCGATTTCTTCAATTAATTTTTTCTGAACATCAGGGTTTAAGGCTAATTCGTACGACATGAAAGTCATCAAAGAAGAAACTGAGTCAAAACCAGCGAAAAAGAAGACGAGAGCTTGAGCAGTCACGTCTTCATCACTTATTTCAATACCCTGGATTAATTGATGATTTTCACGAGCTTCCATCAGTAAACTGATCATGTCTGGTCTTGATATATTTTGTAATTGTCTGCTCCTAATGTTTTCTTTAACAATTTTGTAAAAGAAATTTGAAATTTCCGTTGATAAAATTTTGATTTTTAAAGTCTTAAATAAAACCTATGTAAATACTAAGTAAAAAAAACACAAATCATTACTTTATACAATTTTGGAAAGATGAAAAAGCCTAGAAGCTTGAGGCCTTGCCAAAGTCCACTAAAGTCAGTGATTTTCCTCGCCATTTCATAAAATTTACTATCGGGGTCTTCCAACGAATCACTCTCAAAGCCAAAAACTGTGCTTGCGATAATGTCATTGGTTAGTCTAGCACATACATCTTTCATCTCTACAGGGATTATTTTATCTTCTTGTTTTAAGAAATGCTGCACGAATTGTTTGGCACTTTTCGTAATTAAATTAAACATAAACCTCATTTTTGATCCTGTAAAAACTGGGCTGAGAGTTGATCGCATCTCACGCCATTTTTCCCCTTAAAATAATAACACTGAAATTTTATTAAACACCGATCGCTGGTTTTACCAGTCAGGAAAAACAAATTTTTGTCCCAAATTGGATCACTTCCTTCTGGTATGACCCGTTTATGGTCAACAAAATGGTCAAAATCTTTGACTAAGATGTCCTTAATCAAATCTGGGTCTTTTAATACGAGTGCCGGTGACATGAAGTCATAAGCCCCGCAATATCTGTTAACACACTTGTCTAAATGTCTAATTTTATATAAAAAAATAGTGTATGTACCTGTCGCCTGGACCCACGTTGTAGACATTTTGAACCATGTCTGCTAAAGACTGATCGTGTGCAATTGCTCGCCATTTGTCCCCAAATATGAGAACAGGGGAGCCCTGTTTGACCCCTTTTTTGATCCAGTATTGGTTTTTGTTCTTTAGACGGATGTATAAAGCATATAGAAGTGTGATGACAGCAATTAGAAGCCACCACATTTTCACCAGCTTATGAATAATCACTGCGATGTCAAGGTTGTCTTTTCAATTTCCAACTACGAAATCGAAACTGAATTAGTAAGTAACTCACTTAAATGAAATTTTAAGTGTACAACAATTTTGTTGTTGCAGAAACTTGTTTTATCTATTTATAAGATAATTGTGTCATTAGCACATTAGCTTATGTTTGTCCGCCCGTAGATAAAATAGATAAATCTATATTTACTTTATAAGTAAGAATCTCTCAGTTTCAAATGACACCTTACACTCCTACAAAACAGTTCCTAATAAATATTGCACTTAGCAAACTTAAAAATATAGGTTTAAATACATTTTTAAAATACTGTTAAACACAAAAAAACAATATACTTATTATGTGGTAAATGTGACTTCCCAAACTTACAAATAAAATAATAATTATTGCTATTTAATGTTTTGACTAGTGTTCTAAAAAAATTTCTGAAGTACTACTTATTCTTATTACAGTGCAAAATGTGTGAATTTACATTTCTTATTATTTCACAAATAATATTTTATAGCAGTATAGCACTTGCTAATGCTTATTTACAACTTTTTTAATGGCAGTTTATCCAATTGGAAAAATCAACCTTGAATTTTTTTTCAAATATTTCATTTTTTCTTTTTTGTTCAATCCCAATAACACTGACAACATTTTCATTCAATTTGTTTGCTTTTTCGTTGTCAGGTTGTCACACATCCTGTTCTATACCTTGCATAATAATCTTCGTTTCTAAAGAAATAAAACGAAAAAATATCAAAACTACGTTTTATTGCTATATTTAATTCCTTAATTTTCGTACAAAAATATTTATACTTTTGTTTACGTAAATAACTAATCGTAATAATCAGCATATTATGCACGCCGTTTAAGACCCAACCAGAATCCTTTTTCCGGCGACATATTCAAAGATTTACGATTGAATTTGATAGGTATTTGCGTTTTTTCAATTGGAGTGAATTCAAAATTCGTCAAAAAATAATAGAACAAAAGTTTAGTTTCAAGAAGAGCAAATCTGGACCCGATGCAACTTCTTGGTCCTGTCCCAAACGACATAAACGTGTACGGATTCATTTTTGCTTTATTTTCGTCACTAAATCGATCTGGAATAAAACGCTCGGGTTCTGAATAGTACTGAGGATCCCTCTGGATTGCGTACATTGGGATGACTACCACATCGTTTATTTCTAAACGGAGAGGCTTCTCATTGGGCAATTTTGGTTCAATTATGTATGGTTTCGTACAGATTCTTTCAGTGGCTATGGCATTTGGCCATTTACGTAAGGCTTCTATTGAAGAAAATCAAAATAGGTAAACAAAGTAAACACCAATTGACAAAAATAATACCTGACACAACCATATCCATGTATTTCATATTCATTAGAGCCTCGTAGGTTATTTTTCCATCACATTTTTCCATAGTTTCGTCAATTTCTTCTAGCAGTTTAGTTTGTACGTTTGGATTCACAGCTAATTCATATGCCATGTAAGAAATAAGCGTTGAAACACTATCGTAACCAGCAAAAAAAAATAAAAGAGCTTGGGCAGCAATGTCCTCATTTGTTATTTTTCTCAGTCCAAGTTTCTCATTTTTGCTAATTTCAGATTCTTCGACTGAAGCAAAACCAGTATCCGGAACAGTTCCCACATCGTCGTGTTTCAAATTATTATTTTTCAGTTTTAATAGTAGATTGATCATATCAGGTCTGACAATTCCGTGTTTTTCACGACTTTCTATATTTTCATTTACCACTCTTGTAAAGAAGTTGGAAACTTTTCTTGGGAACAGTGGAATTTTTAACCACTAGAATGTTGATTGGTAATATTAAGACATTAAAAGGTGACAATAAAAAACTTACCCCCAATAGTTTTGGAGCAATGACGTTGCCAACAAAAACTAGCATAAATCTCAACGAACGAAAGTTGGTTAGATCAGCCCCCATTACGTAAAACTCATTATTCGGGTCTTTTAGAGAATTGCATTCGTATCCGAAAACTATGTTTGCGATAATGTCATTTGCGAATTTCGTGGTAATTTCTTTCATTTCAACAGTGATAACTTGTTCTTTTTGGTTCAGAAAATGATTAATAAATTCTTCAGCAGTTTGAGACATTAGTGAAAACATGTATTTCATTTTGCTGCTTGTAAATGCCGGACTAAGTGAGGATCTCATTTCACGCCATTTTGCCCCTTTCAGAGAAAATAAACTTTTGCCAAATAGAGGGTCAGCTTTTTCTGACACAAAGGGTCGTCGATCGACAAAATGATCAAAATCTTTTACAGTGATTTGTTTGATCAGATTGGGGTCTCTGAGTAGTAAACTAGGAGTTAAGAAATCATAAAGTCCAAAATACCTAAAATAAGAAAATAAATAAAAATTTTAGTTACGTATAAAATAAAATAAACCTCGTGTTTGGACTGGCCTTATAAAAAATTTCTGTCATTTCCGGTGGTGAGTATTTTCTTAAAAGCATGGGCCAACTGTTTCCAAGAAGAAATAAAGGATTACCCTGGACAACCCCCTTTCTTTTCCAGTGGCTATGGTGGCGAGAAAGTGCCCAATAAAGGGTAATTAATGCTAACCCAACCAATATCCAAAACATTTTTTTGAATTAACTAAAAAAATATATTTTCTAAAATTTGTTTAAACTAATGAAATATTTTTACCTTTGATGCAGTGTGCAAGTCTGCTCTCTACTCGTGTCGGGAGCACTGTATAAAAGCTTCGAGGTTTTGCTTTCTATTTATACTTTAATCTAATCAATTGTTTTGATCGCAGAAAAGATAAGTCGAATTATTACGTGCTTCTCTCTCAAGAAGAATGCAAGAAGTTATATTTTAAATTACAGCATAAAAAAATATATAAATAAACATTATTTTATATTGTGTCTTCAGCCAACATGTTACACTTCTTCAAGTGTTAAATTAACACTTTTCGCATTTTACATATTTTATTTAAAAAGTACTACTTTAAAATGAATGGCTTATTAATGTTAAAGTTTTCAATAATGTTATATAAATTATTTCAATGATTTAGAGCTAGTTTTAAAATCCAATTTAAAGGAGCTTTCAACTAAATGTTGTTTAGAATTTGCTAATTACTACGGACTAATTGACAAGAATTTCACATTCTAAACCAACATTAAGTTTAAAGTCCCTTTAATTCGATTATGAGACTGGCCCTTAATAATTTATAAACTGAAATTCTTACGATTACATGTTTTTGTGTAATTTTTGTTGTTATTACCCAATTAAAAAAGTAAGTTTTTTATTCCAAGGATTGCTTTATTTTCCTTGTCTTTGCTTTGTAAAGTAATGAAATAAAGCACGCAAAAAGAAAAATAATCCCGTTGTAAAAATTATTGTTACAGTTAATAGTGTACAATTTTGTGTTTCTTAAGAAAAAAAAAACATTCTATCTCATATAGATTGGAAAATCCAAAATAATTACAACAAAAAGCAAACAGATTGAGAAATAAAAAATATATTAAAGTCAAAAATAAGAATCGAAGAAAATGTACCTAGGTAGTTTAAATTTGTGAATAAGTCAACAAAAAAATATACCTACTCTTTGGCGAATTCAAAATAAATTGATTGTAAAGCTTCCTCGTTAGAATTATGATGAACTAAATAGCTCAGAAAAGCATGTTTGTTAAAAATGTTTAAACAATAAACAAAAATCCCAAACCCAAAGTTAAGTAAAATCAATAAATCAAAAGCTTTAACATTGTACATATATGCTAAACCGAAAGCATATTTTTTAGCAGTGTATCATCGTCTATCTAGAACCGCGTTTCAATTCAAAATGATAAATCATTTTTTAGTTTTAAGATAACGAAACAAAGGTTTGGTTAGCAAATCATCATGATTCAGCCTAAACTGTTTTTATCTGAAATTTGAACAAATACAGCGCCCTCAATTGCAATAAATGGTTGTTTGCTAGTAGAGTATTATGGGTTGCCTATGTTAAGACGCATATTTTAAAATTAAAAATTAGAGTTAAAAAAATTAAGACTATTTCTTGCAAAAATTGTTTTTTTTCCAACTCTAGTGGAATGAAATAAAACTAAATAAAAACTTCCTAATAATAAATTTCAAGTTATACAATCATATTAACTACAAATTGTATTTTTTTTCCAAGTGTGTCTTAAGTAAATTGCGTTCTCACAATTTTTAAATCGAAAATTACATTTTGGCATTTATAACATTTTTTATTTCCGGTCTTCAATTTTATTCGAATCAAAATAATAAAACTTAGTACCTAAATCTTAGTTCTTGTTTTTTATTCTGTTTGTTATTGTATTATTGAAGTTTTTAAATTGCTAATTAATAATAATTATTAATTTCCAAAATATTTTTTTGATTGTTTCAATTTGTCTTGTTTTCAAGAAATAAAAAAATGCTAAAACCGATTTGATACGTGTTTATTAAATCTATTTTTTTTAAGTTCTCTAGAAAATCTTTTGCCTATAAAAATTATCCTGTTGCAGATATTATATTATGAAACAGAAAAAAAAACAGTTTTTGCAGTTTTCGGTGTTTTACCTCGAGCTAAACCAGAAGCATATCTGTTCGAAAATTAGGAAGGCAGCCATCTGCGTTTTAAATTCGCTCATTTTTATACATACGAGTATTATTAGGTACAGTGGGCAGCAAAATTATAGAATAATCTTATTTATTTAATATTAAAACGGAAAATATTTTGTTCTGACGAAAATGCTCGAACAGGTAATTTTTTTTAAATATAAAATTCTCAACTTTATTTAAAATTGTATATTTTTTAAAATGAAAATTGACCTGTTTGAGCATTTTTACAAAAACAAAAAAAGTTCAATTTTAATAAGATTATTCCATAATTTTGCCGCCCACTGTGTACTCGTATGTAAACATTTATTAGTATTATATTTTATATTTTTTAACCACACAAAATGAAATAGTTACCAGATTTAGATGCTTCTGATGTATAAAATCGCTCTTCTGCACTCAAAGATAAACCACTTGATAAAAGTCAGATATAAATTAAGCAGCCCACAACAAAATGTGTTAGTATTTGCACCAGGTTGGAGCTAGTTCAAGGTTGTTAAAACACATTAATTGTGTATGGTACGTATTTATCCTACCCAAGCCCCCCTATATTATGTCGTCATTGCATAATTGCAGCTCTCCTTGTTTATTTGCTTTAGAAAAATCAACGAAATGTTGTTGGTATTGTTAGCCCTTGCTACTGCTATTTTTTGCTACTGGAAAATAATATATCTCCATAGCTATTGGAGAAGAAGAGGTGTGACACAAAGCAAGCCCGTTTTTTTATTTGGGGACATCTGGCCTATGGTTGTTCGTAGATATTCAGCACCTGAATTGGTTGACCAGTTTTATAAAATTGATCAAAATGCGAGGTAAGTTATAATAATCTTTTTAAGCAATAGATAATAATTGATAGAAATTAAAATTATAGGTACTGTGGTGTTTATCAATTTCTCTTACCGGGTCTTGTAGTAAGAGACCCTGAGCTGATCAAACAAATAACAGTTAAAGATTTTGATCATTTTGTTGACCGTCGAGTGTTTGTTAAAGAAGACGTTGATCCTGTTTTTGGTAAAAGTTTGTTGTCACTTGATGGTGAGAAGTGGCGCAATATGAGATCTGCTCTCAGTCCTGTGTTCACCAGCAGCAAAATGAAATACATGTTTCCTTCAATTTCAACGTGTGGAGAAGAATTTGCCCATTATTTCTTAAAACAAAACAAAGACTTGCTTGAATTAGAGATGAAAGAATCCATCACGAAATTTACTAATGATGTTATCGCAAATACAGTTTTCGGATTCACTTGCAACTCCTTGGAAAACCCAAACAATGAATTCTATAAAATGGGAGACGAAGTCGGTAATATGACTTCAATGAGAACAAGAATTGTTTTTCTTATGAACACTTTAGCACCAAAAATACTTTCTGTAAGTTTGAAAAACATTAACATACCAAATTTTAATTGCTTTTTCTAGTTTTTCAAAATAAGTCTTTTTTCGCCACGAGTTTACACATTTTTTCGACAAGTGATCGCTGAGAATATATCAAGTCGGAAAAAGCATGGAATCACAAGACCAGACATGATTGACTTGTTAGTCAAAGCAAAAAATAATAGTTTGAAAAATGAAGAATCAGACGATTTGCCTGAAGCCGGATTCGCGACAGTTACAGTCACCGAAAATGGAAAGAAAAATAAGAAATATCAAATAACAGATGAAGATATTACAGCCCAAGCCCTTCTTTTCTTCTTTGCCGGTTTCGACAGTGTGGCGGGAGTAATAAGTTACATGTGTTACGAATTGGCAGTTGCCCAAGACGTCCAAGCAAAACTTCGAAAAGAAGTTGATGAAACTCGGGAAAGGTGTGATGGAAAAATTAGTTATGAGGAATTAATGAAGATGAAATATATGCATATGGCTGTCTCAGGTAAAATTTATTGTTTATTACTTTATTTCTTTACTCTTTTTTGCAGAAACTTTGCGAAAGTGGCCAACCGCGATAGCATCCGATCGTGTCTGTGTCAAGCCCTACACCATTCAACCTAAACTTCCAAATGAAAAACCCTTACATTTAAAAGTGGGTGATACTGTTAACATACCAATTTATGCAATTCAGAGAGACCCCCAGTATTTCCCAGAACCAGACCGGTTTATTCCAGAACGTTTCAGCGAAGAAAATAAATCGAAAATTATTCAATATACGTATATGCCATTTGGGACAGGTCCAAGGAGTTGTATTGGTTACAGATTTGCTCTCTTAGAAATGAAAATTCTAATGTTTCATTTGATCTCAAATTTTGAAATAGTTCCGGTTGAAAAAACACAAATACCGATTAGATTTAACCGAAAAGCTGTAAATATGAGTGCTGAAAAAGGATTTTGGGTGGGACTCAAGCGACGTGTGAATGCCTAGTCTAGATACGCAGAACTTAATTTTTCGTATTTATGAATAAGTACTTATTTTTGTAAATAAATATGATTTGTAATACTATGTTACAAAATAATTTAATAAAAAATATATGAATGGTACAAAATAAATCCATGTGTGTACGTCCAACAAATAATTTTTTGGTCCATATGTGTACAATCCTGCTGTGGACAAGAGCGGGTTAGTAATCAAATAAAAAAAAATTATATAGAGACAGTTGACCAGACAAAGTGTCATAAATGTTTGGGAAATGGTGGTCACTTTCAGCACTTGCTGTAACTTTTATTATTCGTTGTGCATTTTAATAAACCTTATTATTATTATTTTAACTTGACTATTAAAATTCCATGTTTTGGATTTATTGAAAAAAAATACCAATTTCCAATTTGTATCAATGTACTTACATTAATTTTCAAAAAAAAAATTGACAAATTTTATAAAATAAGCTTTGGAGCTTTAGAACTTAATAATTTTAAGATCTGTGTTTTAAAATTAAAAGGTTTTTCCTAATGTTTTTTTCTGGATTTATATTTTGCATACAGCACAATTATACAAAAGAAAGATTAGGAAATATAACATCACTGCGCAATTCTTTATCAAATTTGTTAAATTAATAATATTACGTTACATCGTCATTTCTCCTGCGTCAGTTTCTCATTTCAAAAATTATTTATTATTTATTAGTTATTAGATAGATTAAATGTTGTTCATTTTATTAGAAGTTTTTCGTTAAAACAACATATTTCATTTATAAAAAAGATGTAATAACTAATAATCTATTAAGAAAATAATATTCTGTGAGATTTATCTAGGCGTCTGTTTCTTTTACTATTTGTCAAGCTTAGGTATGAATTCAGTTGTTAAAAAATTGTGAAAATTTTCCGAAAACAATTTTTTTTGTTACATATTTAATTATTTTTTATTTTATTTTAATTGTTTGCTCGTAGAATTTTTAATCATTTGATAATGTATTGGCGCATCTTTCTTCAAATCATTAAAATTAAATCGCTTCCTTGGAAAATTATATCTTTATCTATTAAACTACGTACCCTTAAAAAACACAACTGAAAACAAATTATGTAACATACAAATTAATAACATCTATGATGTAATGTAATATCAAAATAGTTAAACTAGTCGCTAAAATGATCATGAACTAATGCCCTGTTTTTGAAAACAAACAAAAAACTACATAATATTTCCGGCCACATGCAGAGATTTCAATAAAAAATAGTCTAATCGTCTTAATTAAAAGGTACTTTAATTATAGATTTGCGGGTCGTAGGTCATTGAATCTTCCTTTTATCATAATCATTTTCTAACCAACCGCTCTTAACAAACGAGAATTTTACGATTAAAATTTCGCAAAAGTCAAGGTTATAAAAGTATGTATTTTTATTTATAATATGTAATCAAAAATGCGTAAAAACGTTTCACACATAAACATGAAATCACAGACTGATAATGGGTTGCTATAGCAGCAAAGAACCGAGGTAATCAAAGTATGAAAACACGTTATCTTTGAGGTATTTTTAAAATTGTTTTTTTTTTTTCTGAAACAGTCTGATCACGGTGTCAGCGTTATTTTATTCAAGGTAAAAAATTAGAAAAATGTATGAGCACAAAAATATTTTATTATAAAACATTCCATATAGTATACAGACATTAACAATCTAATATATTAACAAAATCGGTCTAATTCAGACTGTAAAGATAAATAAAAAGGTAGATCACAGTTTAGTTTTGTTTGACTCGCTTTTTGAATCCCAACCAGAATCCTTTTTCGGCGGTCATGGTGAATGGATTTTTAGTAAGTTTCAACGGGATTTGTGTTCTTTCAACTGGAATCAGTTCGAAGTTGGCCAAAATATAGAAGAAGAAAAGTTTTGTTTCAATAAGGGCAAATCTTTGTCCGATGCAATTCCTAGGTCCTGAACCAAACGGCATGTAGGTGTATGGCTCGATATTAGCTTTGTTTTCTTCACTGAAACGCTCAGGGTCAAAGCGGTCTGGATCGGGGAAGTACTGAGGATCCCTGTGTAGAGCATAGATGGGCAAAAGAACAGTGTCATTCTCCTTCAAATGAATGGGTTTTTCATCTGGTCTCGTGGGTTCGATTGTGTAAGGTTTGGTGCAGACACGATCAACAGCTGGGGCATTAGGCCACTTTCGTAAAGTTTCAGAAGTGACCATATCCATGTATTTCATGTTGACAATGGCTTCGTATGTGACTTTTCCATCGCAGTTTTGCATAACTTCATCAACTTCTTGACGGAGTTTTTCCTGACAGTCGGGATTCGTGGCCAATTCGTAAGACATAAAGGACATGAGAGAGGCCACGGTGTCAAAACCTCCGAAGAAGAAAATAAGTGCTTGCGTTGCGATGTCTTGGTCGGTGATTTCGGTTTTCATTTTGTTGGATTCTTGGTAACCGGTGGATTTTTTGGCATGGTTTTTGGCTTCCATTAACAAGTGGATCAAATCAGGGCGGACGATACCATGTTTTTGGCGACTTCCGATGTTTTCGGTGACCAGTTTTTCGAAGAAACTGTTGACTTCTTTGGAGTAAAAACTGATTTCCAAAGACTACAAACAAACGAATGTTAATTTATATTTATTTTTCAATGTTATTGATCATTACCTTGCAAAATTCTGGAAACAAGAAATACCCCAACAATTTAACGTTTTTCCAAAAACCGCTAAAATCTTGCGATTTCTGAGCCAATGAGTAGAATTCGTTTTTGGGTTCTTCAAGAGAGTCACATTGGATTCCAAACATGGTACTAGCCATAACGTCATTAGTATATCTCGTGAATGAATTCTTGATGTCAAGAGTGATAACATCTTTATTTTCCTTCAAGAGGTTTTGAGCAAATTGTTCTCCTCGTTCGGATATCAATGAAAACATATATTTGAGTTTGCTGCTAGTGAAAACGGGACTAAGGGTTGATCTCATGTCACGCCATTTTTGCCCTGATAGAGGATCAGATTCTTCAGGAATTACAATTCTGTGATCCACAAAATGTTCAAAATCTTTCACTGTAATTTTTTTGATAAGTTCAGGATCTCTTATTAAGAGTACAGGTGTTAGAAATTGGTAAATTCCGCAATATCTGTAATTTATGATATAAGTTGCTAGGTACACTAGGTTTTTCCCTAAATCTTACCTTGCATCTTTGTCAATTTTGTATAACATATCAACCACTTCGGCATTGGTTTGTTTCCGGAGCATAGGGCCCCAGTAATCTCCAAAAATAAAAACTGGTTTTCCCTGTTTGACTCCCCTTTCGGTCCAGTATTTGTAAGGCCGGCTGAGTAACCAGTAGGTTACCAGCAGAACAGCAGCGAGGATAAGTGCCCAAAACATTGTTACAAATCACACAAAACTAAATCACTAATTAATACTAATTGCCCAAGTGGGTAAGAGTGAATGAGTCGACTCAAATTTCGCTCTTTATAAAGTAATCGGTGCTGGGGGTTCGACTGATTACGGATTTTGAAATATTTATCACACATTTGTTGCAAGAGTATTAAAGTGCAGAAGTCACAAAATATTTTCAGTTTGCGTAACATTCCTTTTTTTAGAATTATTCCAGAAGTTGTTTCAAGAGATGAATGAATAACAGTATGGGGAAAAACTCTGATTGGTGAACTTTTGCCAAAAGTTTATATAAAAAAAAACTTTACGACTTGTACGCATGATTTAAAAATATTCTATTGGTTGTTTATACATTTCTTACTTTGTTATAGATAATTCCTAACGATTAAATTATCTTTATTATTTTACAATGTTGAAATCGCTAAAATGTTAAAATGCTGGAAATTTACTGTAGCAAAATAATATTAATTAGGTAGTACTTATTTCAGTTGAACTTGAAAAAAAAAGTTTTAATTGTTATTTACAGAATTAATAAAAAACATACCTACTAAAAGAAGGGGGAACCAAGAAGTGCTAGTTTATAGTTCTCTCTTATATTTCGAAAACGGTGTGTTACAAAAAAAATGGTTATGTACCAAATTAAAAAATATGAAATTTCCTACAAGACGATTTATTTTGTTTGTTTTTGTTTTGTATCTTAAATAGTTTTCGAGAATCAAGATACACGCTAGAGCAAATATCGCAATAAGGATTGTTAAAAAAACATTTTCTTGTCTCACTTTGTATCACGCTGCCTAAATCTAAATTTTACGGCAAAAGTGTTTGTGACGGAATGTTGATTGTAAATTGCAAATTGTACTTTACCTAGACTTCTGAAACTTGGAGAAAAGCCTCTTCGGAAACCCCACATTCCTCCAAGAATGTGGGGTTACATTTTACTTCCTGCATTAAAATGTTCAAATTCACTTAAACTTTGTCACCAATTTATGTTGTTTGTTTATAAGCACTTAGGGTGAGCAAAACACTAATATTATTATTATTTCTATTGGTATTTTAAGATTTAAGGTTTTATTTGCCAAGGTACAAATTCTTCGTTTTTGAATGAAACTAAAGTCTACAGTGATTGGTTTCTCCATGGTTACCCACATTATAATAATGGCCGACTTCAAACGGACCAATCACATCATTGTATCAAATTTTTGAATGAATCCAAAAATCTAACCTGATTGGTTTTTTACATTATTTAAATGGCTGACCTTAAACTGCCCAATCACAATGTTTACAATTTTTTACGTTAATTACGTGATTAATTCATTATTGGAGGGTGCAATATATTAGTGTATTAGTGTATTAGTGTATTTCAAAAACAAATTGAGATACAAAAAAAATCTGAAAATACCATCTGGTACAAAATCTTTAATTTTGAGGCTCTTGAAAACAAAGACATTCATTTTTGGTATATTATTTATTATTTTAAAAGTGTAAATTGGGTTTTTATCAAAGATGTCAATGTTAGTTTCAATTTTTCGAATTTAGATGGTGCTGCAATAAAATAAATATTTCGGTCTACAAAATTTGAGTTCATTCAGTTCATTATTTTCTACTCTACGATACTTATTCGAATTATTCGAATAAAATTTTTGTCAAAGTGTCTTATAGTTATAAATTAAAAATTCTGTTGTTGCTCATGCATTTTACTTCTTATTTGACTGGACTATTTTCTCAAAAACGGTGCATCGCACCAAAGTAACATAAAATACATGTTTTAAAAACATCTGAATATAAAAGAAAAATTTTCAGTAAGCTTCTTCGAAATCAAAATTTTACGTCTTACCATACGCCTTCCTCTTTACTTAATTTTTTATATCGCCAGTAGACTTAGCGCAAAAAATTATTTCGGATCAAATTTTTCTAAATTTATCTCAATCGCTTACTGTGATAATTGAAAAAGGCCGCACTCTATAGCTCCTTTAGGAAGCGTTTCCAATCATACGAGTATGTTCATAGAAATTTTTTTTATTTAACCCAAGGAATCATTAGCTGAAATCATTACTCAGGACACCTTATATCTACATAGAACACATAATAGACTGATACAGTTTACAATTTTATATTAAATCTGCAAATTTGAGTTAAATAAAAATAATTCTGTTTGTATTCATACAGCATGCATGCGATGTGAGAATGATGAAACAATCTGATGAAATTATTCAGTAGGTTACTTTAATAAAAACATACGAGGTTAACTACTCGTAAATAGGTATGTATGTTTGTACATATACATAGATACTCATATACAGGTGCGCCAGAATTCGCGCCCCAGAGAAAAATGCAATGTAAGATAGTATACCAGAAAAATGAGGTTATTAATGTAAAGGTCGTTTTAGAGTTTACATTATGAAAATGACAATACTACCCGAAATTTTAATTCTGCAACTGTACAATATTACTTATTTTTAGAATAAAGTTTTTTTTTCTTTTGTCTCCAAATAATTGTTGTTTATGTTTGATAACAACGTATTAAGTTTATTATTTACATAGTCCTTGTTGCCACGAGCTTATATGAACATCACAGAACTGTTTTATTATTTGTTTTATTTATTTATTATTTATTTTTTTATTTATTTTATAAAATATTATTTTATGCCTAGCCATAAATGTAGAATTTTTACTTTTGCCATTTAGACACAAAAGTATTAGTTTTTGACGTTTGTGGATAAAGTTTACCATTATTATTTTTAATTTCTCTGAAAAGGTTTACGGATATGCAGTGTCTACCCAAATCGGTGAAACGACTCTTGTAAAAGATAAAAAATTCTCGATTTAAATTTTCATTTTTTGGGGATTAGCCCAGCTTTGTTAAAGATTAATACAGGGTGTTTCACATAATTTTACGAGGTCTGCGCCTGCAAGATGCAATCAATAATATAAATTCCGATACGAACTCGATTACAAATTTTGAAAAATTGGATAATCTTCTCTATGTAAAGCAATTTTTTCTGTTATCGAAATCGTTCTTATTTTAAAAGCACCAAATAATAAATTTTAGCTGATTTTTTAGTTGCATACCTAATTGAATATTAGACATGATATCACAACCGCATTCACATTCTAAAAAAAAAAAACTAAAGCATCAAATAAATGAGTATAACGGCTCAAACATAGAACATCGTTCTATGTTCTATCTTATTTCATTTTATTTTGAATATATTTATATTTAATCCCTAAGATCTATTAAATTTACCAAAATTCAATGAGTAAGTAACACATTTCAAGAAATGTAACTATTATACGTATACAAAGTGTCCATAAATGAATGTGGGATCGTAGTAGGCATGAAAGTTTGCCGCCTCTTTCAACAAAAATCAAACAATGTTAGTATATGGAAAAGTAAGGTAAGATACCAGGAACATGAATGTTTAAAAAATTCTATCTGTCAAAAAAATTGGTTTTACTGGTTGCCTAGACAGATAAAAATTGCTACTTTTCAGAAATTACATAAAAATAAAATAATTAAATGCATTGTCGATACGTTTCAACACACTCAAACAAATTACGTATTTATTGTACACTTGTTACAAAATAAAGTAACAATAAAAATAAAAGAAATGGTTCGAAATTTTGCTCTAAACATTTTCTCACTCTCATTTTCATATTTTCATAGTATATTACATAACGAGCACGGAAAGTGATAAATAACGCACAAGCGGGAAAGTTGCGCACGAGGCGTTAGCCGAGTGCAGGCAATACCGCGAGTGCGTTAGACACTTTCCTGAAAGTTTTGTACACTATTTTTCCTACAACCATAAATATTTTTTTCTTACGAACATTTTTTTTCATAACGATTTATTTTTTATAATGGATACAAAAATAAGTTGAATGACGATTTATTTTTTATAATGGATACAAAAAAAAATACGTTACATGAAAAAATACAAAACATTCGAGTGTGAATTGTGCGTTAGATTTCTAACACACAGTACGAAAACAGGCGTAGCCTGACACATGAAACCATGCTTCATCCGAGAAGAAACTCAAGTCTAAACTCAAATCTAACAATCTGTCATTATTCAGGTTAGTCTGAAACCAATTACAATAATTTGTTGTTACTTTGTATGGATGGAAACGCAAGTTCTTTTTAACAATCTTATGACACGTACTGCGAGGTACCCCAGTTTGAAGAGACAGGTAGTAACAAAACGATTCGATGTATGTGAGCTGCGATGGACTTTAGCTTAGATAAGCTTTTCTTACATTCGGAGGCAACCATTAATAATACCTAGTATTACCTCCTCGATCCTGTAAAGAAGCTCAGTTTTTATTGTTGTCTCTATGAAATTAGCGGTGATTTTGATAATTTGACATTTATTCAGTAAACAATGAAACTACATCAATTGTTTTTGAAAAATTTATAGTCGACTGAGTTACTTGATAATGCTACTATCCTATATCATCAATTTTAGTACTATTTGCAGAACCATTTAGCCATTTTAAATTTTAAAATTTAAGTGATGCGATAATTATGCCGGTAAGTGTAGCTTAAAGCCAAAATTGCGGACGCAACCATTATGCATCACATTTTAAACCATATAAATGTACAGATAATATTCGAGTGCTTTGTAGAATACAACGGACAAATATTAATCACAATCAAACTGTTTGTTTTCAGTCTTCTGACCTTGGCCTTCGTTCTGCTAATTTGAGTTATTTAGTATCTAACATAAATACTTCAACTAGTTGCTACTAGCTCTTTTTATTCTTTTAATTTTTACCACTTCAAGAAAATAAAATAAAAATAGAACAACTCTTAATATATCTTATTAAAGCAATCCGGCATATATGTATTTACTTTTCAATGAAGGGGGTAATTTTAACTTTATATATGTATTTAGTTTTAAATGCGTATACAACATTAATTAAACAATGGAAAAAAACTGACAACTAGTCTGCTTATTCTTTATTATTTTCACGTCGTTTGAGCCCAAACCAAAATCCGTTTTCGGCCGTCATACTGAACGACTTCCTATTGAGTTGTAGTGGGATTTCTGTTTTCTCGACTGGTACAATCTCAAATTTGGACAAAATATGGAAAAACAGAGCTTTGGTTTCAAGAAGGGCAAATCTGGATCCAATGCAATTCCTAGGCCCGGCCCCAAATGGCATATATGTATAAGGTTTAATATTATTTTTATTTTCATCACTGAATCTCTCCGGATCAAAACGGTTAGGTTCTGGAAAATACTCCGGATCTCTATGAATGGCAAAAATTGGCAACCACACGACTGAATTTTTCGGCAAATGGATTGGTTTTTCTGCCGGATTTTTAGGCTCAATAGTGTAGGGTTTATTGCAAACACGGTCGGCAGCAACAGCTGTTGGCCAAAGTCTTAACGTTTCTAAAACAAAAATTGACAATTGTCACTCTGTACTTATACCTAATTCGTGAACTTACCAGATATCACCATGTCCATATATTTCATTTTCATCAAAGCTTCATATGTTAGTTTTCCATTGCAGGATTCTAAAGTTTCGTCAATTTCTTGACGGAGTTTTTCCTGAATGTCAGGATTGGTTCCGAGTTCGTAAGACATGAAGCACATTAATGAAGAAACTGAGTCAAAACCGCCAAAGAAAAAGAGAAGAGCTTGAGCTGTTATATCTTCGTCGGTTATTTGTTGTTTGACCGTTCCGTTTTTACCGATATCTGATTCTTCAACTGTGGCAAAACCAGTGTCCAAAGTTTGTTCTCGTTCTTCATGTTTAAAACCATTTTTTCTTGCTTCCAATAAAAGATTGATCATGTCAGGTCTAACAATTCCATGTTTTTCTCTATTGGCAATGTTATCCTTGACAAGTTTTCGAAAGAAGATGCTAACTTGTTTGGGAAAGAAAGTTACACCTAAATACTGAAAATTCGCAATTAAATATGGGTTCTGCAAATTTAGTTTTTTAATAATTACTCGAAACAACGCTGGACATGTTATAACTACAAGAAATTTTAAATTTTGCCAAAACCCTCTAAAATCTGTTGCTTCTATTCCCCTTAAATAAAATTCATTATTGCGTTCTCTCACTGAATTAACTTTTACACCAAAAGCTGTATTTGCGATAACATCATTCGTAAATCTGGTAAAAGTATCTTTCATTTCAATTGTAATTATATTATCCTTCTGTTTTAAAAAGTGATCAATAAATTGTTCAGCACTTTCGGATATTAACGTAAACATGTATTTCATTTTGCTACTAGTGAAAGCTGGACTGAGAGTACTCCTCATGTCCCTCCACTTTTGATTAGTCAAAGAGAAAAGGTTTTTGCTCCACAATGGGTCAACGTCTTCAGGAATAAAACTACGATGATTTAAAAAGGAATCAAAATCTTTTACAGTTATTTGTTTAATCAAATCTGGATCTTTCAGTACGAGAGTTGGTATAAGAAATTGGTACATTCCACTATATCTGTTAAAAAAAATTACAAATGATGAATTAATTAAGTTTTAATACTAACCTGGCACCAGGTGCAATGTTATATACCATTTGAACCATATCAGCAAAAGACTGTGTATGTATAATAGTACCCAAACTGTGCCCAAATATGGGCACTGGGTTTCCTTGCTCTACACCTTGATCAGACCAGTACTTCAATGGACGAATTAGGAACCAGTAAGAAAGTGCAATTATTGCAATTGAAACTACAATCCACAACATTTTGGACACTGTTTCTAAGGGATGTGCGTCTTATCCGCGAATATAAATACGACTGATCTATGATGATCAATTCCGCGAAATGTAATCAAACGCAGTGTGTTTGTTTTGAGGTTTTGACCTTGGTACTTCTATATGTATCTAATACCTAAGTAATAAACTCCTATAGACAGGTTGGATATATAAATTTTTGTTCTTGCTAATTTCCTATTTTCTTAATTCGTAATTCCTTCCTAATTTGTAACAGTAACAAATAATAATAAAAGGGTCCATTTGAAACAATGAACATTATTGGTGCGGGGTCATATCCCAAGGTTTCATAATAAAACATTTAACTCAAAGAGAAAATTAACAAATTAAGTAGTTACTTTAACTGAAAATGAGTAACGACGTAAAAATAAAAAATCGTAAAAGGATCATCTAGATAAAAATGAGATACATTTTATTTTATTTATGACATACTTATCTATAATACTTCTTAAAATTTAATCATCGATTAATTTTTAAAATTTTAGTTTTCTATAATATTAATTTTTAACCGATCAGTAAAATAGTGTATTAAAAAGTAAGTTTCTTAAGATCAGTCTTGAAGCATGAATGCAAGTTTCAAAAACGAGTGGCGTAGTCACAGCTTATTTTAAAGAATGAGTTGTTCGAGGTCTTATCAAATGAGTTCTATATACAATTTTTTGTGATTTGCCCTTTTTATGCCGTTTTTGAACAAAAATTTTTACTTTAAGCGATTTAGAGATTATTGTGACGTTTGGTAATGTTTTAATTTGAGAATTTAAAGAATTTTAATGAGTATTTAAGAACTACTTAGGTATATTGGATATTTTTTATGTCAATCGACATCCTTAAATAAGTAAAGACACTTTTATGGATATAGGGATTTAAGCTGACAGAAGTTAATATCTCCAACAATATGAATAATTAAAATTTAATGGCGATTTCTGGCGTTCCTAATCAAGATACACATTTGGCGCAATGATTTGATTTGTTCAGCTTTTTGAGATGCGTCGATCGATATAAAAATTATACAATTTGAGTAGTCCTTAAATTTCCATATAAGATGTGCTTACTAGTCGTTTTTTGACTATTAGAGATTCAAAATGGAGGCAAATTACAAAAATACTTTTGCAATACTAATTTGTTTATTTCTTCATTTTTCCATACAATCTGAATTCTACATAGGTATCTTTTTTTTCAAGATTTTTTGTGTTTTTTTCATCTGTTCCTTTTTTAATAATTATAAATAAAAGCCATAAAACATAAAAGAATATTTATTGTTCTTATTTATTTTTTATTTACATTTATGAAATTATTTTTCAAATACACTTTTTACAGCTTATCACTTCCACGCTGTTTAAGCCCTAACCAAAATCCATTCTCGGCAGTTATATTAAACGATTTCCTGTTGATTCGCAAAGGTATCTGTGTTTTTTCCACAGGAATAATTTGAAATTTAGATAAAAAATGAAAGAATAATGTTTTAATTTCAAGTAGAGCAAGTCTAGATCCAATGCAATTCCTTGGTCCGGTCCCAAAAGGCAGATACGTATAAGGCTTAATATTTACTTTATGTTCATCATTGAACCTTTCGGGATCAAAGCGATTGGGTTCAGGAAAATATTTTGGATTCCTGTGAATGCCAAAAATAGGAACCATCACGAGATCACCTTTCTCCAATTGAAGTGGTTTCTCTGTTGGGTCTTTTGGTTCAATTACGTACGACGTACTAGAGACTCGATCAGTCATACCGTTTGGTGGCCAAAGCCTTAAAGTTTCTAAAGCAAACAATCTGTTACCTCATTTATAATCGCGGAACTCACCTGAAACCACCATATCCATATATTTCATTTCTATCAAAGCTTCATAAGTGAGTTTTCCTTCACAAGTTTTGAAAGTCTTATCAATTTCCAAGTGGAGTTTTTCTTGAACATCAGGATTGGCTGCTAATTCGTAAGACATAAAACTCATGATTGAAGAAACTGGGTCAAAACCACCAACAAAAAAAATAATGGCTTGAGCTATTATGTCTTCATCTGTTATTTTTTGTTTAACTGTTGCGATTTTACCAATATTTGATTCTTTGACTGTGGCAAAACCTGTGTCCAAAGTTTCCGATTCTTCATATTTCCAACCATTCTTTCTTGCTTCTAATAACAAATGTATCATGTCTGGTCTTACAATCCCGTGTTTTTCTCTATTTGCAATATTATCTTTTATTATTTTTGTGAAGAACTTTCCAACTTTTTTGGAGAAAAAAGTAATTTTAAGATACTAAAAAGTCATTTTTAAACCATATTAACACAAATTTAGTTATTTGATACTTTAGCTAATTTAGGAAAAATAAGAAACGTCAGGAATTTCACAAATTGCATAAAACCCCCAAAATTTGTTGCCTCCTTTCCCATCAAATAAAATTCATTGTTACGATCTTCTAGTGAATCAATTTCGACACCAAACGCTGTATTTGCAATAACATCATTCGTGAATCTGGTAAATGTATCTTTCATTTCAATTGTTATAACATTTTCACTCTTTCTCAAAAAATGCCCAGTAAATTGTTGCGCACTTTCGGAGATTAAAGCAAACATGTATTTCATTTTGCTGCTTGTAAATGCCGGACTGAGTGTATTTCTCATGTCTTTCCATTTTTGATTAGTCAACAATATCAGAATTTTTCCCCATAACGGTTCACAATCTGCGGGAATAAAACCCCTGTGATTCATAAAATAATCAAAATCTTTTACTGTTATTTGCTTGATCAATTCTGGGTCTCTCAATACAAGCAGTGGCTGAAAAAATTGGTACATTCCACAGTACCTGAAAAAATCAATAACTTAAAAAAATCGCATCTGATTTTGCCACCCACCTGGAATCAGGAGCGATGTTATAAACCATTTGAATCATTTCAGAGAAAGATTGTTTACGTAAAATTGTACTTAACATGTGCCCAAATATGGGCACTGGATTTCCTTGGGCTACACCCCTTTTCGTCCAGTGTTTGTATGGACAAATTAAAAACCAGTAAAATGAAACAAATACTGTAATTGCACTTAAAATCCAAATCATATTGGCTGAAATAATATTCGACATGGTTTTTTATCAAAATCTACAAATGATATGAGATGAAACGTAGTTTGATTGTTTTGACCTTGGTTACGCTCTTTCAGTTATCTAGTTTTAGGCGTTTACAATGAAAATGAAAGTAATTATTGTCGGGTTCTATTTTCAGGACTCGTTATTCAATTACTGCTACTCTTATTTAATCAAGATTATTAACTTCCGGTTTCTGCGCTATTTTAAGTTTACCTATAGATTTTGTAGGAGGATGATTAGAAAGAAGCAATATCAGCACCATGTCTTTAACATACAAAAAGTGCTTGTTTTGTGTATATTAAATATTGAATATTTTACTTTGTATAAACTAGTCATAAATTCAACAGAATATACTTATTAGTTTAACATTTTGTTACCAAACATACTAGTTTTCTTTAATTTTTACGCCGCTTAAGACCCAAAAAAACAGTGCTTTAGTCTCAAGAAGAGCGAATCTAGATCCTATGCAATTCCTCGGTCCAGCTCCAAATGGCAAATACGTGTACGGCTTAATTTTAGCTCTATTTTCATCACTAAATCTCTCCGGATCAAAACGATTCGGTTCGGGAAAATATTTTGAATCTCTATGAATGGCAAAAATTGGCACAATTATGCCAATATTTTCATCCAAATGGAGCGCTTTCTCTTTTGAGTTTTTTTGGTTCAATTGTGTAAGCTTTGTTACAGATACGGTCAGTGGAAACATTTGTCGGCCAAAGTCGCAATGTTTCTAAAAAGACAAAGGCAGTTTTTTAAATGTTGGATACAGTTGAGGGGTTCACCTAAAACCACCATGTCCATATATTTCATTTTCATCAATGTTTCATAAGTAAGTTTGCCGTTACAAGATTCATAAGTTTCATCAACTTCTTGGATAAGTTTTGCTTGAACATGCGAATTGATTGCAAGTTCATACAACATGAAACACATTAATGAAGATACGGAGTCGAAACCACCGAAGAAAAATAAGAGAGCTTGAGCTGCTATGTCCACGTCAGTCAGTGCTTGTTTAACTGTTCCATTTTTCCCTATATCTGACTCTTCAACTGTAGCGAAACCTGTGTCTAAAGTTTGTTCTTGTTCTTCATATTTCAATCCACTTTTTCGCGCTTCTAGTAATAAATTAATCAAGTCACGCCTTTCAATTCCATGTTTTTCTCTTTTTGTAATGTTATCCTTGACAAGCTTTATAAAGAAATCAGCAACATTTTTAGAGAAAAACCTCCAACCAAAAAACTAAAATTATAAAATAAAACCCTATTCCCATCAAATAAAATTCATTGTTAGGTTCTTCCAACGAATCAATTTTGACACCAAAAACAGTATTAGCAATCACATCATTGGTAAATCTTGTAAATACATCTTTTATTTCATTTGTAATTAATTCCTTATTTTGTTTTGTAAAAAAATGCGTAAATTGTTCAGCGTTTTCTGATATTAAGGAAAACATGTATTTCATTTTACTGCTGGTAAAAGCCGGACTAAGAGTACTTCTCATATCTTTCCACCTATGGTCAGTTAAAGCCAACAGATTTTTTCCCCATAACGCATCACAGTCTTCAGGAATAAAAGCCTTATGGTTCATAAAGTGATCAAAATCTTTCACTGTTATCTGTTTTATCAAATTTGGATCTCTTAGAACAAAAACTAGTGAAAAATATTGATAAATTTCACAATATCTAATAATTAGGAGTTAAAAAAATAATTGTTGTTTGCTAAACTCACCTGGCATCAGGAGCAATATTATATGCCATTTGGATCATTTCAGATTTGTGGTACCCAAAGAGTGTCCAAATATGGGTATTGGATTTCCATGCTCGACGCTTTTTTCCGACCAGTATTTGTGAGATCGAGTCAATAGGAAATATGAGATTGCAATTACTGCGATTGCAATTAAAATCCATAACATTGTAATTAGTAACTGGTTTGATATAAAATGATTGTAAAAATTTAACCAAAGCAGATAATCTATTAGATAACCTCGACCTTGCGTTGAATACTCGACGAAAACCTGGTTTGTTTAACCAACAATTAATAACAATTCGCATTATCTGCGAAACTGAATGACAGAATCTTTCCTTTCCACATTTATATATTTCTAGTCTCTCCAAAGAAGCTTTTAGGCGATTCTTGAAGATTGTTTTAAGCGAATCATTTTAGATAAAGTTAAAGTGCATTAAATTATAATAAAACTATAGAATAAACAGATTTATTTAAAAGTTTATGTCAGGAGTTACACTTTATTTTATTTTTCACGCCGCTTAAGACCCAACCAGAAGCCATTTTCAGCTGTAAGCGCAAACTGTGTTTTATCAAGCTTTAACGGTATTTGCGTTTTTTGTATTGGAATAATTTCAAATTGGGATAAAATGTAGAAAAATATAAGTTTGAATTCGAGAAGAGCAAATCTGGAGCCAATACAGTTTCTCGGTCCAACTCCAAAGGGCAAATACGTATATGGCTTAATATTAACTTTATTTTCATCACTGAATCTTTCAGGATCAAAACGATTTGGGTCAGGAAAGTAGTTGGGGTCCCTATGGAGCGCGTATATTGGTATCCACAAGGGTAGATTTTTCTCTAAATGGAGAGGTTTTTCGTTTGGTAATTTGGGCTCAATTGTGTATGGTTTGTTGCAGATGCGATCGGCAGCAACACTTATCGGCCATTTCCTTAATGTTTCTAGAAAGTATAAATACTTAATTATTATTTATTAACAGTTAATGAGATTGAACAAACCTGATACTACCATATCCAAGTATTTCAAGTTCATTAAAACTTCATAAGTTGGTTTTCCATTAACTGAATCTATTTCTTGAAGAAGTTTTTTTTGAATGTCTGGGTTAGTTGCCAATTCATACGACAGGAAACACATGGCTGAAGACACAGTGTCAAAACCAGCGAAAAAGAAAATGAGAGCTTGTGCAGTTATGTCTTCATCGGAAATTGGTTCATTCAAATTATTTTTTCTTGCTTCCATCAACAGATAAATCATATCAGGTCTGATTATCCCAAACTCTTCTCTATTTGCAATATTCACTTTAATTAAATTAGTGAAAAAATTGGCAACGGATTTAGAAAAAAATCTGATTTTACATAATTTACAGATTTCAGGAAATATAAAAAATACAAGCAATTTCATGTTTTTCCAGAATCCCTTAAGATTTGTGGCTTCTTTCCCCATCAAATAAAATTCATTTTCACGCTCTTTTAATGACTCACACTTAACACCAAACGCAGTATTTGCAATAACATCGTTAGTAAATCTCGTGAAAGCATCTTTCATTTCGACTGTTACCACATCCTCATTTTTTGCCAAAAAGTATTGAATGAAAGATTCGGCAGTTTCAGAGATTAGTGGGAACATGAATTTCATTTTACTGCCAGTGAATGCCGGACTAAGGGTACTTCTCATGTCTCTCCACTTTTGATTGTTTAAAGCAAAGAGGTTTTTGCCCCAAAGTGGATCACTCTCTTCCGGGATAAAAGTGCGATGGTTTAGAAAATAATCAAAATCTTTTACTGCGAGTTGTTTGATCAAGTCTGGATCTCGGACAAAGAGGGTTGGCATTGTGAATTGATACATACCACAATATCTAAGATTTAAAAATTATTAAAAATAATGATTGGTCTTGAAAAATACCGACCTGGAGTTTGGAGCAAAGTTGTATACCATTTGAATACATTCGGCAAACGATTGTTTATGAAAAGTTGTACCGTTGAAGTGTCCAAATAGTGGTTTTGGGTTCCCCTGATTTACACCTCTTTCAATCCAGTACTTATTGGAGCGGTAGAGCAAGAAGTAGCCTAATATAATTATCACGATAATTAACAAGAATAAAATCATTATAACTTAAATAAATTTTCTTGACTATTTCATCTGGGTTATCACAGTAAGACTGTATTTGTCTCTGCACATAATTTTACGTGCCAATTGTTTAAATTATTCAAATAAATAAATTTAACCTTGGTCATACCCTTTTATCGATTTGACCCTAGATGATAAGTTTAAAGTGAGATTTATTTTTACTTTCCTGTTAAAATTTTTGTTACAAAACTGTGTAGGCATAAATCAAACACATATTGAAACATTTGAGAAAAAGGCTAAAAATGTGCTTATCGACTGTAATTACACAAGAGAAGAGATCTATTTTATCCGGATAAAATTGAATTTCTTTGCGATAATTTTGTTGCTTTTTGGTACCCACAAAAGGCCTACGATAAAAAAAAACGAGTCCAAAGGTCGAGTTTTACATCTGGTGATTTGTAAAGTCAATTTTCTCAAAAGAAACCAAACTCGACTTAAATAATAATAATAAAGGTCTTTATTAATAAATTAAAAGTAACACAAAGATGAATAGGCGAAGTCTAGCTTGAAGCTATTCAACTTAACCTCAAAAGAAAATTAATAGAAAAAAAAAACAATTATAACATAAAAATAAAAATAATTATTATAAACAATATAAAATTTAAATAAAAATAAATTCGGAAGTTAATTAATAACTAAAAGTAAAGACATCAGAAATCACTGCCAGTCGCTCAAAAACAAAAAGAAAAACCAAGAAAGAATTCTTTAAGAAGAAATGAAGAAAAAAAAACAAAAATTATCCAAAAGTTATCAACTCAGTTGAACAAAGTTAATTATTCAAAAGCAAGTTCTTAATTTGAGTCTTGAACGTAAACACTGAATTTTCAGAATTAAAGATTTGGATGTATTTGTTATATGTTCTAATTACGTTATAAGTGAATCATCTTTATCTTGTAGAAAAAAAAAATCCAGAGTAATTTAATGAATAATAATAATTATTAAACTGTCGCTAAAATGACGTTTTTGTGTTTTGTTTTTCGGAGTCGTTTGTTCTAGATACATATTGTCTTCAATTTGTTCTTGATTCAACGTATCAAAACGTACGAAATTCGTCATTTTGCACTTCAATTTTTAATTATTTGTCAATTTTTAAAATAGTCTGCTAAAAGTTTGCACATATTTTATCCAAAGTTAGGACGATTCGGGCTAACTTTATCCGATGTTAAAGTAAAAAAATTCATCGCCGTAAGTATTATAGGATTTTTTCTATATGAATTAAATTGTCGGCAGTTTTCTTTCAAATTAGTGCAGCCAATGTTTGATTGTTACGTCGTTTAGCAAACGAAAATACCTGATGACTTTTCCATAGCAATTGAAAACAGATTTTACATAAAAAAAATTTGTTTGGTATATACCGTGGTTGCATTAACGGTCCCGCCCAAAATTGCCCTAATCTGGTAGAGGAGTGGAGGTGGAAACGTCAAAATCACGTCAAAATCACGTCAAAATATTGTAACCTCACATTTGCATTACAGAAAACTTCAGCTTTTAAATGTTATCACTGCGATGTATTATATTGTGATTAGAGAATATCAACCAAATGATTTCCCATCAGTATCCGAAGTCGTAAGAAACGCGTATATTTCCAATGTCTTAAACGCCTTCGTTTCGGCACTTTTTAACGAAGTATTTCAAGGACTAAACTCTTTTTGTACGTCTCACAAAATCAATTTTAGGTCACTTTTCAAGCAATTGTATTATTGGCAGCTTTCATGTTTATTTTCATGGGTGTACCGTTACAGTATTGTTTATTATCAGTACCCATAGTACTGATTATGTTGTATATTTTAATATACGGTTCGTTTTTAATGAAAGCAGCTGAATTAATGCACAGTAAAAGGGCCTTACAGTGCTGGGTCGCTGAAGCGTATGAACCTTATTTTTTCACAGAGAAACCCCAAAACTGTTTTTACAAAATTATTCCAGAGGAAAAGTTTCTCAATGAGGGAATAAATGACACAAATTATAGGAAAAGAGTAAGTATATTTTACACATTACACTGTTTCAAATGACCAGAATTAATTGTACTATTTTTTTTGTAATTGATACACCAGCGTACAAACTTTTTTACAAATTCGCAGTTTAAAGGGTTTGAGTCAATATAAAGAGCTGTTGATTGCAAGTCTCTCAAAACCGAATTATGCAGCGATGACAACTGATTGTTTTCCAGATTAAGGATTTCAATGTAATTAATCTTCTTAAAAGTATTCATATCCACGTTCTCTATAACATTATTCCCCAAGTTCAGTTCTTTAATATTGTAAATTCCTTTAAGTTGCCCCAATCCTAAATGTTTCATTTGATTGTCATTCAGTCTGATAAAAGATTCTTCCCCTTCTTCTACATTAGAAAAAGTGCCTTTAAAACACTCATATGGAACCACCTCAATTTTATTAAAACTTAAATCAATTTGTCGCAAATAGGGAGTGCCTTTAAACATGTGGGTATGCAAGTGTTTCAAGTTATTCCTACTTAAATCAATCACTTCTAAATTTGTGATGTTGTAAAAAGCTTCCGTTTCAAGGGATTCGATTCCATTCATTGCCAAGTATAGTTTACTTATGGCGAGTCTACTAAAAGTTCCGTTTTTAATCACTTTTAGTCGGTTTTTGTTCAAGTTGAGTATTCGTAATTTTGGAAGATTCTCAAATGCGTTGTCTTCAATCTTACTTAAACCACACTCCCGAATTTTGATAAGTTTTAGTTTCGGTAAATTCTGAAAACTTCCAGTTTTCAAAATGGGGATTGTTTGGTTGTCAACCCAAATATCTGTGATTTCTTTTTCAAAATTGACGTCGTCTGCGTACGGCGACACAAACACTGTGTTATTTTTAACATATCTGATTTCAATATAATTGAAATGTTGAGACAAAGTCGATGGTAGAATCACAAAGATTAATAAGAGATAAAAAATACACATCTTTATTTATTCAGAGCTGTGGTTGAACTGCGATAAATAAGTTATCTTATTTTTTGTTTATAGATAGTTGGTACGTGTGCTGTAATGAAACATAATCTTTCAGAGGACTGGTCATGGTTATTTCGGTTAGCAGTAAATGAACGGTATTGGTGTCACAATTAATGTGAAAATTATTACGAGGCTTTTTTTTAGATATAGAAAAAAAGGTATAGGGTTAATGTTAACGCAAACTGCGCAAAACTGGAGTCGGATTCATAGGTTTGATTACATGGAACTAGTCATTACAGAATGCCAGGAGGAAGCAAGACAATTATTTAATAATGCAGGGTAAGAAAAATTGATATTTTTAAGTTATCTACATTTATTCGTTTTATTTAGTTTCGAGATTAAACAAATGTATCACAAGCGACTCTTTACAAGTGCTTTTACTTTGCAAATGTTTCAATTAAGAGCGGAAGTGAGATCTACATTTAAATGAAATTGTGATTTTTCTATTTTGTACTTTTATAAAATAAAGCAATTATATAATAGTTTTGAATTGATTCTTTATTTTATAAAATAAAGCAATTATTATTGTTATTAATCTGTTTTTTATTTTTGTTTTCTTATATTTACATATAATATTTTTTTATTTGAAATTTACTACTAACATACCTATTATTTACCCATAAAAGTTTTGGTATTTTTTTACACAAAGATTGATTCCAATATGTATGAAGCTTTCTAAAAGATGCTTCCAATCTTTTAGTCTTGGCCAAGAGATGACACCATTTGTTTAGTTCGTGAAACTGGGAGCTCAATATTTGTGATTTTATATAAATTAGTTTATGGTGGTTGTTTTTTTTAAATTTGAGGTGAATTATAAACGGGATTGTAAACCCTGTAGAGAATAGACATTGAAAAAATAATATTAAAAAAATAAATTTTATAACAAATAAAATGCGTTTAATTTTACACTTTATATAAAGTGAATAAAACGTATAGAACCTAGCGTTTTTTTAGCATTTATACTTCCAGAAAATAATAATTAACATAAATTATTAAAGTATGTACAGTTGGAGACAAAAAAAATGGTCGACAATGTCACTTGAGTGACATTAAATTGTAAAGCATGCTTTAGGACTGTTAACCTTATTTTTAGCTACTGTCAATTGGTGTGATTAATTTGAAATTGTCATTCATTTTAACATTAAAGCTTGAATTACCTTAAAGTGTCAGAAAAGTGACGACCAAACTATTTTGTCTCCAACTGTACCTACTATAAAAATTAAATCGTAATTTAAAAATTAAATTTTGTTTTGTTTTTAAGTTGTGCGATTTTTTTGTGAAAATGGCAACTTATGTGGATTTTTTTTTGATAGAAAAAAAGAAAAAAGTATCAAGTAGCTAAATATTTTTGCTTGAATTTTATGGTTTTGACTTACCAAACTAGTTTATGAGAGGTGGTTGTAAATTTATTGTTACCAAAGCGACCTTGAAGGAAACAAATCTTTACAAATGAGGAGTTGGGATTTCGATTTCGCCGAAGGCCAGACAGACTTTAGTTGTAACCTTAGATCATAGCCTTCATAAAAAAATAGTTTTCTAGTGCGTTGTCATATAAAAAATATCAAACTTTTTTCCAGGAGTATTATTAAATAATACGTTTGTTATTACTATGCTATTATTATGCTATTCATAAATTATACCCGTGATTTTATCATAAATCACGGATCTATCATTACTGTGCGGATATTGTGATGTTTGTTGCCAACGTACAAATGGTCATTCTGTTGTTATGGCCTACTATTTGAACACAATTTGACATTTTTATTAAATTAATTGAACCGTCAAGTTCGTCAAAACTAAAAATCGAAAATATTTCATAGTCGTGGATAAAGCATCGTATTCTACTCGCACAAAATGGCTATTATTCACGAAAGTGAAGTTTAAAAAACCAGACGTAGACGAGTGATTAAAAATGATATTGTATGCTCGTTGAATGTCTAATATACTATATCTACGACTGTAGTATAACTATTACTTATCTCACTCAAAATGAGTGAATGAGAACTTACTTTTATTCACCTAGTATACAAAAATAGACCGTAAATTACAAAAAATGTTTTTTTGAATATCTACTTTGACTTTTGTTAGCTAATAAAATATTGAACTTGATTAGTTTGGTTTGGAAATAACTTGGAACTAATATAATTACCGTTTATCACCCGAATTAGAGTGTGTGCTAATAATTCTTGTTATTTCTATCTGGAGGACGTTTTGCTAACATCGAACTTTCGAACAAACAATACCTCCTCAGACGAAATTAAATTTCAACTTCCTTCAGTTTACTTGTTCCAGTTCAAACTTTAAATTATGCATTTATTAAAGCGATTTAAGGTACTTTAAGTTTATTTTATCACTTGGAATCAACGCATATCACCAGAAAAGGTATTTTACATTATTTCACATTCTAGTTTCAGCGGTCGCTACAAATATTGAATTTCTCTCTCAAAACTGGCCAAGTTGAAAAATTTCTCACCAACACATACACTGAAATGACTAAAACCCAATTGAATAATGCATAAATAAAAAAAAAATTGTTAATAGTCTTAAAGTGTAAAAGACGCGAAAGTTATGATAAATTAATGAAATTATTGATAGAAAATGTTTCAACGAGAACATATAAATAAAATTATTTTTTCAGGTTGTATGCTCGTTCCGAAATTGGGAAAGAAATTAGAATAATTTGATTTATAAGCATTTATAAATATTAAATTATTTCCTATTTAATTAATTGTGACTGCTGCTTAGTACGACATTGCAGGTCAGTAGAGGTGGAACCACACACTCGCATACAATTTTCTTTATAATTTCACCAAACCCATTCTTGACGTTTAGTTTTTCGACCGAATCACCGATTTTTAAATATTTTTTGCCAAATTTGCAGGTGTTATCTGGAAGAGAGACTTCAGGTTACAAACTAACAGAGATTTTTAAAACCCACCTGTTTTATTGCGCCCTTGGATATTTTCAGACCCGTCGGCTGAAATTTTGCAATTAAAAATTGTTTTCATTGAAATTGTAAAGCTTACGACAAATCCAACCGAAGGGGCAGCAAAGCACTTCTCCTTTCGGCCCATACAACGGCGCACATGCTTGATAAAAATCCTGAACTGATTTCTCCAGCTGAACGTCGCATGTTTTTCTTTTGCAAAAAGGTTCTTCTAATTTACCCTTAAATCCTTTCTGACAAATGCATCGTAAGCATGTTTTTTCCGGATAGAATCTCTCCCCCTCTTTGTATTCTTTACCGTCAATTATACATTTCGCAACATTGTTATAAGGTGCTAAAAGTGTTGATAAATGAATGCAGAGATAAGTTTACGAAAATATTTACGACAACTTTGCCCAGAGGCACAACAATCGTCGAGGGAGTATTGTCTGTAACACCCGTGTCCTATCGGCGAATCGAGCCATTCGTCACAATCCAAAATCGCACAGTGAAAATTCGCACTTATTTTACATTTTGTATTTTCAGAAAAAGTTCAATTAGACTTACGATTCTTTTTCTTTAGTGCAACGGCATGATTGGTAACAGCTGCCGTTAGATATTTGGTTATCTACAATTTCTCCAATTTCGTAAATTTTGCTTTTGTAAAAACAATGCTTTTCTGATGATTCTAAGCCATGACAAGCGTATCTCGTAGGACAAGGATTAGATTCTTCGTAATGTGGCGAGCATCCCATATCTTCGTATAATAGAATTCCCAAGTTGTCGCATTTTTTGGCTAAAGTAATTTTTTATAAATCAGTTTTATTATTATCATACTTACACAGTACAGGGGTAATTAATGTAAAAATTACATAACAAAAATTGTGCTTCATTTTAGATTCATGAGAATGTTACAACTAAATGAATAAGTTTCTCAATATTTATTACAAATTAACATATTTATACTATCAATGAAGATTAATAGAGTCAAGTTTCTCTTATCGCTGTTGACGATAATATTTGTTAATTTAAATTATATGAAAACGGGGTTTTGTATGAAACAGTATATACTCGTACAATTGTGTTAATATTTAATCTACTCATTGCGGTTTTATTACAGATTTATTGTGCATTTTCAGTTTTGCTTAATGCAATCATGATAATTAAAGTTTAATAATAAAATACAGTTCAAAAAAATTCCAGTATCGAAAAATATGCCATAACTGTGACTGTATAGTATGGGAGAGCTAATCTGAGTATTCAATGGAATAAAATTTTGTTTGCATCTAATATTACTTATTTTGCAATATAGGTAAGTCCAACATTTTTGGAGTTTTCAAGAATAAAATAGGAGGTTGACGACGACATGAAATTTATTGTCTTTTTTGAATAAAATAATATAAAATCATTTATATGACAGTGTTGTTTTCTTTTATAAAAACAACAAAAATCCATGACAAACTATTTTAACTATTTCATAAAATAAATTTAATTCACATAATGCGATATATTGTGCATTATTATTACGTTAAACTTGTTTACAACACTTGTCATAATGTTGTTTAGTTTCCGCTCTAAACAAATTATTTTAAACAAAAAATTGTTGATGTCCAGTGGGTATCCACAGTCAAAAATTACTCTAAACTATGACTCCAATGATTCATGTGTTCTGTGTTTTAGTTCAAGTGATTTTAAATAATGCAGAAAATTGCAATAACATGGGAACTTTACTTTACGAAGACTTAGGATGTATTCCTCAATATAGCGAGTCAAATAAAAACTCTCTGTGTCCTATTAAATACTCCTGTAAAGGTCTAGGACCATGGTATGATTATTGCCATTTTAGGGGCAACACATATGAACTTTCCCAAATGGTTGAAAAAAATTTAACTTCTCTATCATGCGACGAATCTTGTGTTTGTAGCAATTTCTTTACTGGGTGGGTTTAAAAATGGGGTCAACTATTCGATTTAAATCCTGATTTAGGTACAATTTTAACTGTGCTATCTTGGATTGTCCTGAATGGCTAGGAGAGCTAATACCGGAAGGGTGTTACAGAAAGTATACCTTGGAACATTGTTGTTCGACTGAAAGAGCATGCTGTAATAAACTTATTAAGTCTCTTTGTTTCTTTTAAATGTGGGTTTTAGTTCCTTTTGATGAAATTGATGAAATCGCAAAATGTGTCATTGATGGAGAGGAGTATTTAGAAGGACAATATTTTTACCCGAGAAACTCTTGTTTGAAATGTATTTGTCAAGAAGGGTTTAAAGGTAAATTAGAGGAGCCTTTTTGCAAGAGAATCACATGTGGTGAGCAGCTTAAACACGCTATATTTCTTCAAAAAATTTGTGCTCCTGTCTATTATAAGAGAAAAGATGAACCGTTTTGTTGTCCTAATTACTGGATTTGTGGTACGTTTAAAAATCTTTTTTTTGCTTTTAATAACTTTGGCCTTTAAGCTAATGGATCGGAAGTTATCAGAGGTGAAACTATATCAGGTGGGTAGTTTTGTTCCAAACTTATTTTTTCAAATAAAAATTTTAGATTATGTTTGCATGTTTGGCGAGCGAACTCTAAAAGTCGGTGAATGGTTTAAAAATGGTGATGAAATTTTATGTGAATGTTTAATTCCGCCTTTGGTGACCTGTCATCTCTTTGATAAATATGACGCTTAATTATACTCGTAATTTAAGTTGATTAAAATAATTGTTCAATTGCATTTTTTAAAATTAACTTTCCAAATTGGTACAATTTATTCTAGGAAAAAAATATACGAGCCTAAATAACATAATCAATACTCGTTTAAAAAGTACGATCTCGATCAGCAGTCGTCGGATTACCAATCTGGCAAGTATAAATTAAAAGGTGTTTCCGGAAAATTCAATTAGGATGTAATTTAATGTTTTTTAACTGTTTCATTTTTCTTAGCGGTTTCGAATTTGCTCAGCCTGCAGGCAATGAATCCATCAATTTATTATCAACATTACTTTAATTAAAAGTTGGTAAAAAACGGACATACCGAGGCCATTCTTTTGATATGTTTGCAAAGTTAATTTATCATAAATTAAAAAGTAATAAAACTTTTCGCTTTTTTTCCTAAACTGTTACGTTAAAATTAGCTTCTTATCATTCTTTAAGCAATAATTGAATGTCCTTATGTACTATTCTCCGGCTTATTAACTTCTCAGCCACGAGGTATGAATATTTAAATTTATGTAAATTGTGTTCGTGATGTTTTTTTGTCCAAATAATATATTTTTGAGCTCCTTTGGGACATATTAAGTAAACACAAGATATTTTGTGAACGCCACGTCGCTGGAATTTTCAACAAAACGAATTATAACATGACATATCAGATGTCCAAACTCTTGAATAGCGAGGGTGGATTATAGTAAGATAATTTTTTTGCTGCACTAGAACAGTGTTATGCAATTTAAAGGTGACGCGTATACAACACGAAATTGCTATAAAAGCACTTGTGTGGTCTAACATGCGTAAACACGACAATATGGTGATTGAATAATTGAACAATAAATCAATAAATTTATTTAATAATGAGGGGGTCAGGTTTAGAAAAATTGCGAATAATGATTTAATATAATGCAATAATTAGCTCAGTTTTTAAGGCCTTGTTGTAATTTTTATGAAAATAAAGTTTAAAACAGTCGTTATAAAACATAGTTTAGATTTGGTAATTTGACATAACCAATACCTCCAGCTATTTACTATACTTGACATGTACATACCTATTTGGGTATTCTATTCAGTATTGTTCTGTAACAGATTGTAATTCTCTGCTCAGCAACCAATTGAATTTTTTGTAATAATTAATTAATATTATTGAAGAGCGTTAAAACAAATAAAACATATTTAAGAAGATAATTTGCTTGTCTCAATATATTTTTTTATTTATTAATAATTGATTAATATTTGAAATTGATTTGAGATTAAAAAATTTTCTCCGTTTCTGTTTCGCAGTAATGAATCTTCTTGAAAGGAGCAATTTGCCCTCGGCCTTAAGCCATGAAGAGAAAAATGTAAACATTAGAGCCTGAAATATGCGCTTTTTAACTTTAATCCGGATTAACAGCTTTTGTTCCTAATTTAATATGTGCCTAGTCTAATATATTTAATAACGGAACGAATTATTTTTCTCTTAATTCTTTGAAACACATCCCTGAAATCCGATAGTACAATCTGTAATTATTTCAAAATCCCTTGACCTATGATCCACTATTAGCTCTTGAAATGCTTCGCTTGTGCAAAATTCATTACACTAATTGATTAATTAATAATGAAACATAAGCTAACAGTTTGTAAAATTTATTAACAATTAAAAACCAGGCACTACTTCTTCTACAAAATCTAAGAAATTGCGAACTCGCGTAAAAACTGTTGTTTTCTTCTCACCACCAACTTTTCTCCCGAAAGACACCAAACCGATGAGTTTGTCGTCCACGACAAGGGGTCCCCCGGAGTCTCCCTGAAAAGCAATCGTAAAAATTATATATGCGGCGTGATATATTTCTCGCCATCAAGGATGTTACGACTATTATGCACGATATTGGCTTATGGCAAAGAAAATATTGCTTTTCACATATTTATTTTTATTTGAAACGTAAATGCTTTAATACGTTTCGCAATATTTGGCGGATTCAGGTGATAAATGGTAAAACGCAAAGTTTTTTTTTTCGTTTGAAACTCCTTAAAAATCCGTTTTTTTTTCTTTTTATTTGTACCATAGCGTCGCTTTATTGTATCTTTGTTTGACACAAATGTATTTACTTTCCCCCAATTTTTCACATAATTTCAAATTCGGTTTTGGCACAATATTGGGAAGTCGCCTTTTATTCTCTCACAGTAAAAGCTTTGGAAAATTCCGCAAAGCAAACATTTTCATTGCGTGTAACAAAACAAACCACCATAATATGTTATTATACTTGCATGTATTATGTGATTTATATATTGGAATATAATATACATTATAAATTTCACTATACTATAAGCTTTTCCACACTTCGTTTTGACGAGGGTTGGAAAATAATGTTTTTATAAAATAATTATTTGGGTAGGCTAATTTTATTATTTTTTTCTGTATTAAAAATTATTGATTTTAAATACGGTATATTGACATTTTACGAGTTGACACACAAACAATGTTGATAATAACGGTAATGCCAGGTGTCACAGTTTGTTTTTATTCAGTTATAAGTTTTTAAATTAATTAAACTAGAGTAGTTTTTGTTATTATTATTAAGGAGTGTATAGTTACTATTATGTTAATATTATTACATTTACTTTTTGGTATTTATTAAATTTAGTTAACAATTTGTTCAGATTAAGTTTAGTAATAAATAATTATAATTTAACAAACTCATGTTGAATTTGACATAGAGTTTGTTCCTTTAATTTTATAATGTTAAACAATGTTTTGTGCGCATCTACACGGTTATTTCACCTTTAAACAGAGATTAAGTTGGAAAAATTAAAGATTTTTTTTTCATTTATTTTGTAAAAGAAGTTGAAAATAACAAATATGACTAGAAGAAATTGGTAAATTCAAAATTTATTTTTTTAGTATTTAATTATTAAAAAAATTGTTAGATATATAATTATCGTTGCTAAAGCTACTCTTTAATCACATAAGGTTAATCTTTGCATTATTTACACCTTCAACACCCACGTTATCAGTGGGTAAATTAGGAATAAAATTCATCATTGCCTTTTTGTATTGATTTCTCTTCTAAATGAGATACAAAACAAATTTTAGTTAATTTAACAATGCGCAAGCAAAGATACCTATATGCTTGAAGTTTTTAATGTTCCTATTGTTACAACAGCAGTAATTAATAGCAAATTCTTGGTACATTAATAAAAAACTTACAAAATATGTGGTTGTCCTACTAGGCCTCACACAGATCATATTCCTCGTAATTTTCGGATGAAACACCCCCGGAAAATAATCCTGACACTTGTCCCAATTTTCCACCGTGAGTTTTGTGGCCCTCAAATACTTGGATGGAGTCCCATACTCCGTTCTTCCCCATCCGGAAATGGTGGCAACAGTGCCTCCTTCATGGTCGGAATTCGAGATGTCAATGTTCCTCGCTTTTTGACTATACTCCACGGGTTCCTTCAGAATAATTACTGAAAAGTCGTTATCCAATTCGTGGTAACTAAAATCGGGATGTTTCATAACAGTGTCGATCTCATGGAACACCCCATCTGGGTCATTAACGTGATTTGCACCCACTAGAACCGAAAGATTTTCCCTTTCTTCGTCGTTCCTCGTATGAGTACAATGGGCCGCTGTAAAAACAACCCGGGGTTTCACCAACGCGCCTCCACAAATGATCCGTTTTCGGTGATTCCTGCGCGAGACCAAAGCCACCTGGTAAGGAAAATCTGAAATGTCGACCACTGTGCCGTAGATTATTCGCTCCATGGCGTCATTAAGCGGCAGAAATTGGGCTTTGGAAACGAAGAAATTTGGATGAGAGACGGCGGCGGCGATTTGAGGGGTGCTACTTACGGCTTGCCGATAAAATGACTGCACCGAAACATAACAATTGCAACATTGCGAGCATTTGGAGTGAATAGAGCTGCTGGCATTTCTTTTATACTTGTTGCGGATGATAGGGTTTTCATTCTTCCTGAATTACACTCCGTTGTTCTCTCGTATTCATAAAGATTTGTTGAGGAGAGAGAAAGTATTAAGTAAGCGCTTATTCAATCGGCATACACAGCTCACTTCAGTCTGAATTAACCAATCAAATAAAAAGTTGGAATCGAAGAAAATTATAAACTAACTTTATGTTTCTTCGTATTTATTTATTACATTTTTCTCTAGTGGGTATTTAGATTTTTTGATAGAGTTTTAAAGTAAAGACAATTATGGTAAAAATTAATTAATAATTTTTGGCGACTATGTTTTAAAAGATTTTAAATGAATTGCATTTTAAATCGTAATCATGCGCTACAAAACGATTTTTTCGAAGTAAATTACTTTTAAATGTGACAAGGCACTGGTACCAACCACCAAATTGTAGGTATTACTTAATCAAAAATTAGAGACTAAGTAAAAAATATTTATACACAATATCTAGTTCAATAAGTACGCTCTAGTTACGTTTGAAAGCATCGAACGCAATTTGTTATGCACTGAACCTTCACAAGACGTATTTACTCGTAATATTTTTAAATAATTATTAGGAGGTATATACAGAACTCGCACCCCAGAGAAAAATGCCATGTGAGGTGAAATCAGGAACAAAAAAATGTTGAAAAAATTCTATCTATAAAAATTTCAAAGTTATGAAAATTTAAATTTTGCTTTTTGACTATTTATTTCTGTTGGAAAAATAATTTTCCAAGTTTCTTGCTACAGGCTATTAGAAGAGAAAACAAGGAAACAGCATCTTAAGTTGTAACTCTGTTTAATATTATTTTATTGGCAAAATTTTTGTACCTTTACTAAATAATTATAAAAAATATACAGTGTGTTAGAATTCGCACCCCAGAAAAAAAATTAAAGTAAAATAAGATACCAGGAACATGTTTAAAAAATTCTATCTGTCAAAAAATTTTGACATTAATTATTTGACATTTGACAATTTTTTATGTCTATTTAATGATACTGATGATCTTGTACCTATACGTTTTTTTTATAATTATTTAGTAAGGGTACAAAAATTTTGCCAATAAAAGCCCAAATAACATTAAAGAGAGTTACAATTTAGGATACAGCTTCGTTGTTTCCTCTTCTAATAGCCTGTAGCAAAAAACTTGGAAAATTATCTTTCCAACAGAAATAAATAGAATCAAAGTGCAAAATTTAAACTCAAATAACTTCGAAATTTTTATAAATAGAATTTTTTAAACATTTTTTATCTTACTTGAAATTTTTCTGACACACTCTGTACGCACAATGTGGCGTAAACTATGAGAACTGTTGTAGGGTATTTATTAAAAAATATTTGTAATTATAAAAAAACACTTGTTAAAATTAGTTACATACAATATTAGGTATAGTACATAACAAGCACGGAAAGTGACAAATAACACACAAGGCTCTCCGCCAACCGCACAACCTATTACGTTATTTTCCTAACACACACGTGTGTTACGAAAATAATGCGATTTGTTCAAAAAATTTCAACTTTCGTTGGTAATTGACTATATGGAAAATGTCACTTTCGTATATGGTCATGGAAAAACATATTTACAATGGGAATGCGGTAGCTTTTTATTTATTTATCAAAAAAAAATATTTTAATAAATCCGAGCATAATAAAACACTTTTCAAAATATTTAAACGTGTTTATTATAACAATTGTTTTACAAGCCTCTGAAAAGTAAAAATTTTGCGTTAAAGTTGTGATGACCTTAAACAAAAGATAACAAGATGGGTTAGTAACTATCCTAAGGTTCACTGCAGAAAAAGTATACCCAGCGCTACCTCCGAGGCTTACAACACCGTTACAAGCAATTTTCTAGAAGTCGAAGATTATTATTGAAAACATGTTCAGCAGGTCTGAAGTAATTTTCTGCTTAGACTTTACGAAACTAAACCTTTCCTTATAGTTTTGTTGCGTAATTTATGAGAAACCAGAAGAATTATTACTAGATACTGGTCGAGACTATGAAACACAAGAATTCTTTTGAAATGATGTTTCTATAAACTGGAGTGACCCTGAAACAATGACTGAACCAAATTCTAACAATTCACATCTTTCTTGCTTTTGTCAAGTACAGTAAGGTGGCAAATTTAAATCGTATTTGGTTTGACTTTAGAAAAAACTGCCAAAAACATATTTTATAGTTTGTTGATACGATTGAAGGAAAAAGGAAACTTTATTCATCGATTAGGCCTTTTGTTCACTTTTTTAAATGTTTTAACCAAGTGGCACCTACAGAGGCGGTTTTCCTCCTACGTATTCTTTCATTGATAATATAAAGCCCTTGCGTCAATGATCACAAAGTCTCTTCCTGATAGGTTAAAACCAAATTCCTGTAAGAGGCCTGTTCTGCTATTGGCTAGTTCAACGTGTATTAAGCTCCGCAGCTTTGGCGTGCTTCAGTGCGCCTCGATACCTGTGTATCAGTGCAACACACTTGTTCCTGTAGCAGCACGCGTCCTGGTGCGTTTATTGTCCGTGCTGCGAGTCCTGCTGGTGCTTCAAGACGTTTAGGGTAAAGATAAACGGTAAGTGATAGATTGCGAAAAAGTTTTCAAACTTTATATTGTCGAAGTTTTCATTAAGTTCCGAAATCATCAAGTTTTGAGTAGTTTTGCATTAACCTAAATAATAATAAATTATAAAATAATAATTTTAAACAGTTATCAATCGTTATTTTTTAAACTGATTCTTAGATTGTAAAATGCACAAAAAATAAATTAAAGTAATGATAAAGAACATAAAAATTGCGTTGCGTGTTATTTTTATGTTATAGTATTTTTTCAGCTAATTATAAATAGTGATAATAATGATTTCCCAGAAGAAAATATAATATTTAATTAATTGCTCCATTTCCAATTTGTTGTAATTTTGACACTACAAATAATAACTTATATTTATGACTTTGTTAATTTAATTTAGTTTTATTAAAGTATTAACACATAAAAAAATTTAAAAAGATACTTTAGTTAAATACAATTAAAAAAATATTAGTGAATGTTCAGAACTCAAGAAACATTACGTTCATTTTGTTTCTGCATTATAATCATCAATTGATTTAAAATCAATAAACCCTCAAATAACTGGTTTAATTTTTTACTCTTAAATTATTGTTCTCCATTTTTCAACTTATTATTCAACTTAAAAAGTTGAAATGTAATTGTACTTTTATTGTTTTCATTAATTAAAATAATAATTAACAATTAGCTTGTTGATAATTAAAAATCGGTAGACTTCTTTTAAACTTTGTTTTAATTCTATAAAATACTTTCTTAATTAAAAAAAACTTTTTGATTTTTTGACTTGGTTGATTAGACTTTATTATGATATTCGATGAATCATTAATTGTTCTATTATCTCTTGTTCAAATTCTTCTTTTAATAATTTCCATTTTTAGCTTGAAATTTTCTGTCAATTTTACATCGTCAACCCATCGGTCATGTGGGGCGTGTATGGTCTCAAGTTAATTATTCGTTTACTCTGTCGCGTTTATCCCTCTCTCGTTACATATTCTGTGTATATTTTAATGAAGTCGATTTTATTTTAATCTCTGAAAATATACCACATTTCAGTTATAATTTTGTACCTGAAAGAGTTGTAATAGAAACAACTGATTACATGATGTAGGAAAGTTGACATATCAATCAATAAAATTGTTGTCTCTCTACTAATTGCTTAATGTAGATTCACTTTTTTCGTGTCTGATTGTATCAAGGCTTGTAAAAAATCAATCAATAGTCAAAGTACAAAAAATGAACTTGAATAGAAGGTACTGTATTTTTTTTTTACTCAATCAGAGGGAAGTTTGCTTTTGTGACAAAAAATAATGTGACATTTATGTCTACATAAATTGATTATAGAATTTATCAATGTAGCGGAATAACAATTTTCACGTGGAAATAAAAGCCAATTACTCCCGTGTCGCTTTTTTGTGTCCACCGTAATGAATTGTGCAAAATTTAGCTTAATTTTTTAGCATTTGAATTTTCACTTTGTTATCCACGTTATTCAAAACTAAAATAAGTGATTTTGATAAAATTATATGTTTATGTAGCTGTCAAAAATTTCTTTAAATACATTTATTTTATTCAGATGTTAATTTTATTATTCTCTGTATAGTTCTAAAGATTAAAAGTAAAACTTTTTGGTATGGTTAAACTACAATTTTTGCACGGTTTTTGAAAAAAAATATAACTGTTGAAATGAATAAATATTCTATTACCGGTTACCTACCTGTAGAATAATATAAATCACTTACTAGTCAGCAAATCTGAAAAAGTTCAAAATCGAGATAGTAGTGGTAAGTTTTCGGACCATTGTCCTGAAAAATATGACTATTGTTTCAAATTTGGCCTTCAATACTGATTTATCAGTGGAAGGTTGAATTACAAATCAAGTGTATAGCAAAGGGTGCGATGTAATAAAACAGCAACAGGCTATAAAAAGCCTATGGTTATAAGAGTATAAAAAATATGACACGAGAAAAGCAACCGTTGCGCTAATTTGTCGATAATTTTACGGTTGGTACTTGAAGGTAGAGCACGCAAATGTGCTCATTTATGCGTAACTGTTATAAATGAGCGTCTAGACAAAATAATTGCTATTACAAATGATTTTATAACGTTGGAAAGCAAATCAATAGATATCTTATGGAAAATGTGGACATTTCAGTTTTAAATCGGGTGTAAGTTCAAAATATTTTTTTAAAGAGAGCATCGAAAATTGGAAAATAATTTTTTTATTTTATAATTCTTATAATGACAAAATTGCAATTTGTAGGTAATATTTAAAACTCCGTGTCTTGTGTATAAAAACTTTTTCTTTGTTGTATTTCGTAGTTAGCTTTTTACATTTCAGGTGGGATTACCTGGAAAAGGACAAAGAAATTTAAACTGGAAACAAGTCAAATATAATATTTATAAAGTTTGTGGAAGTAATATTTGAAATGATTTTTGTGTTTTGATAAGAAATTATGGAGAAAACTCAAATATATTGACTTTAGGTATAATTGGAATTGTTATTAATTATTATTATTCATTTCTGTGGTCTAAAGCAGTTATCAGGTTGTCACTTTTATTGGACATGGAGTGGCATTTTGTAAAATTATGTTACGTTTATTGGACCATAAAAAGTTATGAATATAATTGACAGTAAGATGAAATAATATTCTAATTTTGCTTGTAATACAATGTCATATTTGGATAATTATTATTAAAGTCGGCTAAGTGTAAATACGAAAATCTGATTGTGGATTGCCTGGTTGTGCCTTTGTCAAGAAATAGTTTATTATTATATGCCGAGTAACGAAGAGTTTCATTACAGTCGAGCATTGGTAATAATTCACCGAGAGCGAAGCTCGAGGTCAGTTAAAACGTGAGCCTGAAAAGAAGCTACATACATACACTATCTCATTCGCAATGTTAAATATAATAACAATTTACTTTAAATTCTGAATGATAAAGAAATCATGGTGTAACAAATTATACTCGTACCTACCTAAGTTAAAGTAAGCATGAAAACAAAAAAATAATAATGACTGTAAAAACTGCACAAAAGCGGCGGTTGTATAAAGAAATAACCTTTCATTTTTTTAGTTAGTTAGTATATAAAAAATGTTAAATAACAACACATACTCTAATTAATTGTAATAATAGTGGGGCTCATGACAGTTATGCAAGCCACTCTTCAGGTATGAAATTTTTGGGGTAGGTATGTAATAATTTCCCGGCTAGTTTCAGTAATCATCTGGTTTCCAACTATTGTCATGTAAAATTGATGCATTACAATATGATTGCGAATAAAAACACTAAATTGTATTTGGATCATTATTCAAACTAGTAAAATTTAGGCGGTGTCATTATTAGTTAAGTGCATGTAAGTAATGTTCAAATAGATTAACAAAGGAGATGTCTCTTTGAGTTACATTACATTATTTTAACAAAGTCTAGCAAAGATTTAATCTTCGGATATCTTGGGGCGAAAATAAAAGCAATTTGGTCGACAGTTTAGAAAAGCAGGTTTTTTCTAATTTGTGGTGGCTCACATTTGTTTTTCATAATTGTTTCAAGTCATATGTTTTATTCATAAGTATGTATAAGGATAATTACTACAATTTACGACATTTTTTTAATATAAATAAATTAGTGATGTTCAGAGATATGATAATAAAGTGGGGTTCGATTAACATGTGTTATTATAAATTTTGCTTCAAAATTTTAGACAAATTCCCCAGAGGAATTGCTTTGTGCTATTGGCCGAGGGTGCTTATTAAATTTGAATGTTACTGGAAGTCACTGTTTTAGTTCGTTTTAATTAAAATTTAATCTTGGCATTTAGTTTCTATTGATTGGATGCTAAACTCTTTGGATAAGTGTTAGCGAGTTGGAATCGAAAATTTACTTCGTATATACGTACATACGGAAATAACTTATTTCGACTGGGAATTGTCCTCTCAAAGCTCTCATTCCAACAGTTGTTTTATCGGTGATCTTTATTATAATAAAGACGAGATTATATGCCACACGTCTAGGATTTATTGGTGTTGGACATGAATTCTCATATCTTTCTTATGCAGACCGTGGTCAATAAATTTATAAAATTTATCCCATCAAAATTGAGTTTTGACTAATAAATTGAGAAAAGTCACACCATAAACACATAACACGCTGAAAGAAGTTCAAAGGTTTTTGTATTTATTAGGTGACAAGTTTTATAAAATGTGTCATATTGGTATGAAAATGATAAAACGTCTTTCGATACGTTTTATTTCAATAAATTGTGTTCGTTTTTTGTATGGTTGATTATCCCCAAGATAAAAGTGGTTTTATGTTTTTAAACAAAGCCTTTGTTAGCGCTTTACGTCAAATATCTCATAATCATGAGCTTACAAAGTGCTACTAATATGTTCTCCAGTTTGTCATTAATCTTTAAAAAAATGCGAAATCAATACCTAATAAAAATAATCATCACACCTTTTAAGAGATTTTTTATTTTAAAAATGAAAGTTTGAGTATTCGAATTTTTTTACAATGCGGTATCCTAAATAATTGCAACTCACGAATGCATCACACAACAAGTCTTAAACCGAAGCTCATTTTCAAAGTTAGTAAACAGTTTGAGACATTTGATTGGTTCATAAATCTGGCTAAAGTTCAGTTCGTTGCAACTATTAATTCCCCTTCAGTATTTAATTTATACAGACTGGATTTATGCTTAATTAAAATCTTTGTTTTGTTTTAACCACTTTTGAAAAAAGTAATACTATCTACTTAAAAAATAATAAATGAAACAAAAACAATATTCTTTAAAGCAATTAGGTACCATTAATCATTTAAACTTGATTGCACTTGTCCTAATAAATAGTCATATACAAAATAAATAAATAGTAGTAACTAAACACAATTATTATCCATTAGCTATTATTGTGCGAGCAATTTGTTACAACCAAATCTAATTGACAAATGGGTATAATTTATTTAAACTATTTTCAGTATTAAGTATTATTACATTATGCGATGTAATTGACTTT